GAGTCAAAATTTTCATTTTGAAAAAAAATTTCAAAATGAAAATTTTAAAATTTTTCAAAAATTATGTCATCATGACAAATTTAATCAGTTTTAAGCGTATTGAAATTATTTTTTAGGCCTAGAATTCTATATTTTTTAAACTTTTTTGACTGCACAGTGCAGTTTCTGAATCCTTAAATTTTCCGCACTGTGCGAAAGTTTTAGATATATTTTTTTACTGTGCAGTTTGAGACCGTCCTTAGAGTCCTCCTGAATCTAATTTCAATTCATTTATTGTTTCTACTTTCAATAACTGACAAGTTTTTTCAACTGCACAGTGCAAAATCTAAAACTGGAAAAATCAACTCACTTTGCGGACTTTTTCAACATTTTTTTGTAATGTGCAAGTTTTTCAGACCCAATACTCTACATTGATCTTAATTTCACAACATAATTTAGTTTTTAAATTGTCAAAAACGACCAATTTTTCAACTGCACAGTGCAAAATTCAAAACTGAAAAAATCACCGCACTGTGCGGACTTTTTCAAAATTTTTTTTGTAATGTGCAATCTTTCAGAGCTTATACTCTACCCTGACGTTAATTTCACTGTGAAATTTGGTTTTTAACTTGTCAAAAATAACCAATCTTCCCACTGCACAGTGCAAAATTCAAAAACGCAAAAATCACCGCACTGTGCGGACTTTTTTAAAATTTTTTTGTAATGTGCCAGTTTTTCAGAGCTTATACTCTCCATTGATGTCAATTTCACTGTGAAATTTGGTTTTTAACTTGTCAAAAATGACCAATTTTTCCATTGCACAGTGCAAAATCTAAAACTGAAAAAAATCACCGCACTGTGCGGACTTTTTTAAATTTTTTTTGTAATGTGCAATTTTTTCAGACCTGTTGATCTACATTTATGTCAATTTCGCAACATAATTTAGCTTCTATATAGTAAAAAACGACCAATTTTCCCACTGCACAGTGCAAAATTCAAAACTGAAAAAATCACCGCACTGTGCGGACTTTTTCAAAATTTTTTTGTAATGTATAAGTTTTTCAGAGCTTATGCTCTCTATTATTGTCAATTTCGCGACAAAATTCAGTTTCCCAATAGTAAAAAATTATCCATTTTTCCACTGCACAGTGCAAAATTCAAAACTTTTCCAATCTTCCAATTTCTGCAAAGTAAACAAAATCCAAACATCACTGCTCACACTATACATCCCAAACAGTCGTTTTACACAACTTTCGCGCCTGTTCCACCTGTAGTTTAGTCGAATGGACACTTTCAATGTCACGTTTTAAAAAATATTATCAGTTTCCATATGACTGTTTGTAACGGGAAATTCGTGATCGTTTTTGATGAGAATTTCACTGAGTGGCACCTAAAACTATTTTTTGTTTGATGTTATTGACTATTTCTCATATCGCGAAGTAAAATTCTCACAGTAAGAGATGTTTCCCCTACAAATTTGAGTCTACTGTTGCATGCCTGATACCAAAGATCATTTCCGCGAATTTTATGGTCATAATTTCATCGATCTCACTTAATTTTACGGCCCTTTCTTATCTTGCACTTGTTTACGACCCTTTCTATTTCGGAAGCAATTTTTGCACAGTGCGGGGGGAAATTTTTTCATCTTGCACTGTGCAATGGAACTTTTTTGGGGTTGCACTGTGCAAAAAAAAGTTTTCCCCTTTCGCCGCACTGTGCATCCGATAATTTTTAACTTTTTGCACAGTGCAGTCGGATGAAAAAAAAATTTGATCGCACAGTGCAATCCCGGCGACAAATTCCATTTTTTGCACAGTGCAATTGAACGAAAACAAGTTTTAACCGCACTGTGCAATGGAACTTTATTTTTCTTGCACAGTGCAGTTCAAAGTTAGACTTTGCACAGTGCAATCCCAGCGACAAATTTATTCTTTTCCACCGTGCAATTGATCGAACACGAATTTTTACCGCACTGTGCAATGGAACTTTACTTTTGTTGCACAGTGCAGTTCAAAGTTAGACTTTTGCACAGTGCAATCCCGGCGACAATCTCATTCTTTTGCACCGTGCAACTGAATGAAAACATTTTTTTACCGCACTGTGCAATGGAACTTTATTTTTTTTGCACTGTGCATTTTTAGCGACAACCTCATTCTCTTGCACTGTGCAAAGTTTTTTCTTTCTTTTTGCACCGTGCAAAATTTGTTTTTTATTTGCACCGTGCATTTTCAGCGACAAACTTATTCTCTTGCACTGTGCAAATTTTATTTTCTCTTTGCACCGTGCAGAATTTCTTTCCTTTCTTCTTTTTGCACTGTGCGAGCAACCATTATTTTTTTGCACTGTGCAATCAATTCCCTTTATAATTTCTCGGGTCCACATCGTTCCTCCCAAAATAGCAGCACACCGTTGGAGTCATTGGCCTACATTTTCGGTGGAGTGATGCATATTTTGTGACGTCGCTCATTAAGTGCTCTTTAGGCCGCCAAAATATGTGGTTTGATATGTGTACGTAACACGTTCGTTCTTCGTGTGTCGACCTTTTTTGCAGGTTCAAAACATCACGGGCAACGCGAGAGGGTTCTGCGAATCCGATAGGAGACGGGGAGACTTGTTTATGAAAGCTTTTCGGATGTTTTTTGTAATTCTTGGCCAGGTTTTTGATGTAAATGGAGAATTTTTTGGAGGTATTGTGCTGTCTATGAATTTTATAATGCATTGTTATTGTATTTTCGGCTATTGTGAAGTGTTCTGCCGGTTAAATGGCTTATTTTTTGTCTATGATATATCAGAAGGTCAAGTATAATATAAAATTTTGAACTTAAAAAAAGTTAACTGGCTTTTTATGGCGTTCTGCAAACTCAGACAACCAATTTTTTATTTTTCCGACAGTTACCAGTCGTTTTTCGCAATGAGAGAAACACTTGACACTTTTGGGTCAACTGTTTCTCCCATGCTGATTTTGCCGTTTGCAAAAAAAGTTGAATGGAACAAAGAATAGAGACTCTAAAGGTCATAGATCGTTTTTAAAACTTTTTTGGACACCCATTTTTTCTGATATTATCCTTCAGATATCAGGTCACAAAAACGTTTTTATCCCTAAATTCATCTGTTTTGTTCCCAGATTTGTGTTCCGACAACATTATCCCGAACGTTACACTTTCTTCCACCGCCTTTCGAAGGTCGTCGTTTGTTTTCTTTCCCTGTAAACATTGTAAAAAAGGCCGAAAGTACAAGTACAGTATAAAAGTTTCCTTCAACCCTCCTCCCAAATTCAAAACAGTGAAGGGATCGCTTTTTCATCCCCCTCCACAAACGGCCTTCACGCATTTATCAGCTGTTTTTCCGTGGCGCACGCCCATGAAGGGGGGCTTACAGAAGGAGGGACATTTTATACGATGATTACCGTAGTTCGCGAAATGTTCGGAAATCGGAGAGGCGAAGGGACGGGGAACCGGTTTTCTATTGTAAATTGCATTGGGGTCCGTGTAGACGACAACAATTCAGTGACTTTTGTGAAATTCGCCTCGGGGCAGATTTGTCTTTTCAGCGAAATTTCTTGATTTTTTCGGTGATTCCGGGGTAGTTACGGTAGGTAAAAAATTTTCAGAGTATTTTCCGATAATTTTGTGAGGTATTTTGGTCATTTTTGAGGTAAAATAGGAAAAAAAAAATATTTTTTTTTTCAAAAAATTTATTTTTTTTCTCCAAAAAATTGTTGTTACAGTATCCCAACTTCCTAAAAATCAGTTTCCATCAAGGCACCTTCATTTCCAATGCCTTTCCCACGTGTTTTTCACGTTTTCCGTCTCACGCCGGGCCCCCCGTCGCCCCACAATCGCCTGCGGGCGAATTCCCCAAATTTCCAAGAAATTCCCATCCCGTCCCGATTTCGAAATCCCCCCGGAATGCGTACGCTTTGTCCCCGGCGGCGTAAAGTGCAGCGCGGTTTCGGAACCGCACAGTGCAATCAACGAAACGGTGGGCGGGTTGGGCGTGGAGGCGACGAATCACTTTTTGGGGGAACCTCCGACCATTCCTGGGGCTGTTCTTTGTTCTTTCACGATCACTCGCTGCGATGGGGTCTGAATTTTAATTTGTAATTTCCCACTTATTTCTTGTGCTTTCCGACTTTTTTGTGCTTAATTATTGACCGGTGGATTCTCAAAACTTATATTTTTATATTTTACAGTATTTATTTACAGTATTTTCGCGACTTTTCCCTAATTTTTGAAGCGCCGCACAGTGCAGTTTTTTCCCAAAACAAGTTTTGACTGCACTGTGCAAGAGTTTTGTTTTGCACAGTGCAAATTTTTGACTGCACTGTGCAAAGATTTATGCACTGCACTGTGCGGCAGCGACAGATTTTTGGCACAGTGCAAAACAATTTTTTGACTGCACTGTGCAAACGTTTAATTTTGCACAGTGCAAACGTTTTATTTTGCACAGTGCAATTGTTTCGAAAACATTTGTCGCGCTTTTTGCACTGTGCAGACAAAAGTTCATTTTGTTTTTCGCGCACTGTGCACAGCGCAAAGTTTTTCTTTTGCACAGTGCAATCGTTTCGAAAACATTTGTCGCGCTTTTTGCACTGTGCAGACAAAAATTCCCTTTTGTTTTTCACGCACTGTGCACAGTGCAAACGTTTTATTTTGCACAGTGCGAAAGCTTTGTTCTGCACTGTGCAATCGTTTCGAAAAAATTTTGTCGCGCTTTTTGCACTGTGCAGACAAAAATTCCCTTTTGTTTTTCGCGCACTGTGCGTTCCCTTTTTTCTTCAAAATTTTCGCACAGTGCATTTTGAAGCCTCGTTGCACCGTGCAGTCCGTTTTTCTTCTTCTTTTTTTGCACTGTGCACTTTCAAATTTTTCTTTTTTTCGCACCGTGCAGTGAAAAAAGTGATAAAAATGACGTTTTATCGGGAAAATTGCCGTTTTTTCGATTCGAAAAAATATTTATCACATCTAAAATAGTAATTTTCCCAATTTCAGATGGGTCCCCACACAAGAACACTAGTTTCGATGCTACTTTTCACGCTTTTCCTCCGAATCCAGGCCGACTGCGGGTGCGGAATGCGTTGCATAAAGTACAGTACGGCCCTCCAATGCACTCGATGTTGTACGGCGACCGTTCGACGATCGGCGCCGCTTCTCTCCGAGGACGAACAACTGGCGCATGTGCCGACGCGCGCCCTCGAAAAGCTTCTGCAGACTCTGGGAGCGGAAAAAGAGAGTCGGAAACTGCTGAAATTGCGATCGCAGCGACGAAACCAACGGCGATTACAACATGAGACGCTGACGGATATCGTGGAGAACATCCTCGCCGAGCGCCGCAGCTAAAATACGACTTGTGCCCAAATTTTGGACCGATTTTTGGTGCTAATTTATCATGCTCTAGTCTTTTTTTTTGACACTTCCGAATGTCCGGAGATTTTTTTTATCTTAAAGTTTTTTGCACAGTGCATTTTTTTAATTTCGCACTGTGCAAAAAATTTTTGAAAAATCCGCACTGTGCAATTTTATAATTTTTTTTGCACCGTGCATTTTTTTTATTTTCGCACTGTGCAAAAAATTTTTTGAAAAATCCGCACTGTGCAATTTTATAATTTTTTCGCACTGTGCAACCAAATTTGAAAACTTTTTCGCCCGCACAGTGCAATTTCCGCGACTTCACTTTTCGCACAGCACTGCAGGATGAGCCAAGTCTTTCCCCTTGGGTGGTCAACTCTTCCCCCCAAAATTTTGTTTTTGTCAAGATTAATATAAACTTCTTTATGTTTTAATCTGCATGTTTCGACAGGACAATAACCCCACAAGTAAGTCAAATTATCCCTCTTTCTCACTCTGCAACAATTTTTTGCATTACGTAAGTTTATCCTTGCATATTTAGACATTGTAGTAAGTATATAAATTTAGCTGAATGCTGTTCGTTCTTGCGATTCCATGAACGAAATTTGAAAGTCTTCCCCACAAAAGAACCGGCGTCGAGCCTTCTTCGTGCCAGAATTGTTTCAGCATGAAAGGACTTACACTTTTTTTGTTGATTCGATTTTCGATATTACACTAGGTACTTTTATCAAATTGCAGGCAAAATCTAACGTTTTTGAAGTTTAAACCCGGGAATCTACAAAGGTGAGCCATTACTAAACCGTCCCCAACATAAATATTCTTGCAAACCCGGGTTTAAGATGTTTTAGGATCTAAGTGATCAAGTATAACGTGGATCCAAAAAATTCTCAAATACCTCGCATACTGTTCTAAACATGTTTTAGATCGACTAGGGACCTTTGAAATATGGTTTGCGAAGTACTAATACACATCTATGGCCGCGGATACATCAAAGTTGTTCCATACCTAAAATCTGAAAAAAAATCAAAAACGACAATAAAAGGGGGGAAATCACTGTTACGACGTTAAGAATGTTAAAAGAAAGTTTTATTGTCCATTTAGACCATATATGACGTAAAATGTGACCTAATCTCGCCTTAAACTTACGAAAGTACCTAGTGTAATATCTAAAATCGAATCAACAAAAAAATTGTAAGTCCTTTCATGCTGAAACAATTCTGGCACGAAGAAGGCTCGACGCCGGTTCTTTTGTGGGGAAGACTTTCAAATTTCGTTCATGGAATCGCAAGAACGAACAGCATTCAGCTAAATTTGTATACCTGCAACAATGGCTAAATGTGCAAGGATAAACTTATGTAATGCAAAAAATCATTGCATATTTAGAAAGAGGGTTAATTTAACTTACTTTTAGAGTTATTGTCCTGTCGATGTATGGAGATTAAAACATAAAGAAATTTATATTAATCTTGACAAAAAAGAATTTTGAGAGGAAGAGTTGACCATCCAAGGAGAAAGACTTGGCTCATCCTGCAGTGCACAGTGCAATTTCAATTTTCGATTTTTCAATCGCACAGTGCATTTTGAAAATTAAATTCCCACTGCACAGTGCAGCGAGAATTTTGCCTTCTTTTGAAAAATCCGCACTGTGCAATTTTGTAATTTTTTTTGCACAGTGCAATTTCAATTTTCGACTTTTCAACCGCACAGTGCAATTGTCGCGCCCCAAAATTTGTCGCACAGTGCATTCTAAAAATTAAATTCCCACTGCACAGTGCAACGACAAATATTTTTCATTGCACAGTGCGTTTTGTCGTCGCAAACTGAATCGATTTTTCGCACAGTGCAATTTCGATGTTTGACTGCACGGTGCATTCTCAAACTTTTTCTGCACCGTGCAATCATTTTCAAAAGCTTCAAAAAAGCCCTCCGGACATTCGGGAAAAAAGGTGACGGGTTCAAATTCTCGGCCTTCATCCTCCTCGCGATCTCTGCTTGTTCCACATTCCCTCCGTTTGACCAATCTGCGCGCCTGTAGAGCCGAATTGTTGTAGTTGTTGGGTAGTACAATATATGTTTTGTTAGTCCTTTCCCGATCTCAGCCGAGCTCTTTCCTCTCTATTTCGCTCTCTCTCCGACGAAAACCCCGTATTTTAGCCCCGCCGTTGTTTGTAATCTATTTGTTTGTACGCGTGGAAAATGTGATAAATCCATCAGATTTAAAAAGATTTCAATAAAAAATATTTAAAAATTGTATTTTCTTGTTGTTAAAGTGTAAAAAGCTTCAGAAAATCAATGATTTTGACATTAAAAAGCCAAATTTATATCAAAAAATGAGCAAAATGTCTAGTGCAATATAATTTTTGAAGATTTTTTTTTGAAAAATGAGATTTTCAAATTGAAAACGATATGAAAATGAGATTTTTAGCAAATTTGCGGTTCAAAAATGACATTATTCTTCAAAATTCGCCTTATTTTAGGGTCAAGATGTCTAGTGTAATATAAAATTTTGCAATTTTTTGATTAAAAATTGAATGAAAAAAAAAAGAAAACGCTTCTAAAATACGATTTATGACCTATTTTTGTTCCTAATGTCTTGTAAGATGTTTAAGATCAAAAATTTTTTATATGTCATCATGATATTTTTTTAAATTTATTGTAAAAAAAAATTTTTTGTAACAATCGCAGGTCATAAATCGTATTTTAGCAGCATTTTCTATCTCTTCCATTCAACTTTTCCTCAAAAAATTGCAAAAAATTATATTACACTAGACATCCTGACATTAAAATAAGGTGAATTTTGAAGAATAATGTCATTTTTGAACCGCAAATTTGCTAAAAATCACATTTCCATATCCTTTTTCAACTTAAAAATCTCATTTTTCAACAAAAAATCTTCAAAAATTATATTGCACTAGACATTTTGTTCATCAAACAAGGTCAGGTTCAGCTCAAATTTCATGAGTCATTATCACAAGTTGCGGACAAAGAAGTAAGAAATAACAACTTGTCTGTTTGGCACTCCCTTACATAGACTCGACCACACACTCCCTTTTTTCCCGAAATTAATCCTGTTTTTGAGCAAAACTAGAAGTCTACGGTACAGTCAAACTTCCGCTGACGTCATTTTTGCATGCTCTTTAGATAAAAAATGTTTTGAAAGTAGGAGTTTGGAAGGTTACATCAAGATGAGCAAGATTTCAAAAACTGCACTGTGCGAAATTAGGAAAAAGAGAAAAGTGGGGCGCACAGTGCGGAAAAAGATGAAAGTGGGGTGTGTGCACAGTGCAAAAGAAAGAAAAAAGTGGGATGCACGGTGCAAAAAAAGACGGAATTGGGGTGTGCACAGTGCGAAAAGAGAAAAGAGAAAAGAGTTCCCCGCGATGGCGCACGGTGCCAAACAACGCGGGGTTTGGCCGAGACTTTTGTCGCTAAAGTGGGATGCACTGTGCGAAAAAACGCAAGAAGTCAGGTGCACGGTGCGGAAAAAAGATGAAAGTGGGGTGTGCACAGTGCAAAAAAAAGACAAAAAAGTGGGATGCACGGTGCGAAAAAAAGAATACAAAAACATGGTGTGCACAGTGCGAAGAAAGATAAAAAAGTGGGATGCACGGTGCGGAAAAAAGACGGAATTGGGATGCACTGTGCGAAAAAACGACAGAAGTCAGGTGCACGGTGCGGAAAAAAGATGAAAGTGGGGGTATGCACAGTGCAAAGGAGCGACAAAAAAAGCGGGATGCACTGTGCAAAAAAGATATCGGTCTGTCGGGAAAAAAACGGCGGATCGTCGCGCCTTGGAATCGCCCATCATCGCTTTGCGACTGCAAGCCGCGGCTTGGGATTTGGTGCGCGACAGCGGCGAGGCGAGACATTTTGATGCGACGATCCGCCGTTATTTTTCCGACAGACTGATACTAGTCCTTCCGGAAAGTCGCCGGACGGAAATCGGCGACATGCACTGTGCGAAAAAAGTCAGGGTGCGAGCGACAGCCGAAAAAAGCCTATTGCACTGTGCAAAAGGCACGAAATTGCACAGTGCAAAGTGAACTTTCGTTTTCGCGGAGTGCGTGTCGCTGATTTCAGTCCGGCGACTTTCCGGAAGGACTAGTATCGGTCTGTCGGGAAAAAAACGGCGGATCGTCGCGCCTCGGAGTCGCTCATCATCGCTTTGCGACCGCAAGCCGCGGCTTGGGATTTGGTGCGCGATAGCGGCGAGGCGAGACATTTTGCTGCGACGGTCCGCCGTTATTTTCCCGACAGACTGATAAAAGTGGGGTGTGTATAGTACTAGTCGCGGAAAAAAGTCCTGGGAATTTCTCGCGGCCGTCGCGCTCCGAAAAGTTGATTTGTCGCTGCGAAACACGGGAATCGCGCGCGACAATAAGGCAAAATCAACAAAATTGCACTGTGCAAATGCACTTTTCGGGTTCATGCACAGTGCAGGGTCGCAGAAAAATCCCCCGACTTTTTTCCGCGACTAGTATAGTACAGTGCAAAAGAAAGAAAAAAGTGGGATGCACGGAAAAAAAAGTCAAAAACATGGTGTGCACAGTGCAAAAAAACAAAAAAATCTGGGATGTGCACAGTGCAAAAAAAAACAAAAAAAATCTGGAATGTGCACAGTGCGGAAAGAGAAAAAAAAGTGAAGTAGTGCACGGTGCAAGAAAAAAGACAAAAGTGATGCACAGTGCAAAAAAAAAGAAAAGAGTTCCCCGCGATGGCGCACAGTGCCAAAATTCGCGGGGTTTGGCTGAGACTTTTGTCGCGGATTTTGCACGGTGCATTCTGATCTTTTGTTTTTTTGCACAGTGCGAATTTTTTAGTAGTTTTGCACAGTGCGAAAATTGATTTTTTCTTTTTCGCACGGTGCAAAAAAATCATAAAAAAGTCTGCACTGTGCAATTTTATTTTTCCAAAAAATCTCGCACAGTGCAGTTAATTTGTGCTTTTGATTTTTTGCACAGTGCGATAATTTGTTCCCATTGCACTGTGCAAAAATTACTCGTTTCTCACCGCACAGTGCAAAAGATTGTTTTGACCGCACAGTGCAAAAACTCATCTTCTGATCAAAGACCTTTTTCTACGGTATCTTCAAAAGAGAAACCCGTAGATTTCTTGCAAAACATCGATTTCAATGTAATTTTACTTGCAATTAATTACGCTCTTGAACTGATAAACAAATTACAAGCCGGTTACGCCCGAAAACCCGTGGGATGACGTATTTTAGGGGGTTGTTTAGACAATTTCCGGCCGCACTTTGTATCATCTTCAATCAGTTGCACGTACATTATCATAATCAAAATGAAAAAATCGAAATCGCGGGGGACGTAAAAATTTGAAAAAAAAAAAAAAATTGAAATTTTTTATAAAACTGCGTAAAAATTTTAGCCGATGATTTTCCCAAGCTTTTTGTGAGATTTTTAGCTTGCCGATTTTAGGAATTTCCGAAATTTTCAGAAAAAAATTTTTTTTAATTTGTTGCAATTTTGAATTTGAAAAATAAGAGTGCAGAGTACAATTTTTTCTCACGAAAAATCAATTTTTCTAGCGCACGGCATTCTGTACTTTTGGGACACAACCGGTCTCCATGATTTTTTTCTATTTTTTCAAAGTAGACCTCCTTCTTTAATACATTGCTCGCTAGCCGTTGAAGCTAGAGACTTGAAAATTGGCATGGGTATAGAGTAAATGTTCCGCTTCCAGAATATATAAATATTGTAATGAACCCCGCGCTGTAAGCTCCACAATAAGATGCGAAAATATTTCATTCTTAAAACTTCTTGCACCTAAAAGGTCGTTATGCAAGATCGAAATGACAAATTTTAAAATGCTGATGTGTGCAGAATTTTTTTTCTCTATCAGATACTTAAATTTCGTGGAGTTGTATACGAAAATGGCTGTGCTACGTACGAAAAACTGAGTTTCATAGTGTGTTTTTTTGAAATTTTTGGAATATCTCTGCCCTCAGGGCACAGATAAATGAAGTTCCGACTCACGTTTGTTGCCGATGATGACATATGTAGCCTTGCCAAATTACAATGTTATATCTCCAAAATCACGGGAGCTATTCGCTTTTCAACTTTTTTTTATCGAAAATGGGCTTCAGCCCATCTTTGTGGGGGGATAGTGAAGGTAGCGACTTGAAACTTGGCACTATGGTAGTCTATTTTGTTCCCAATAGCACCCGTATGATCAATTTGCTCAGTTCCGCTTGTTGCCCTGAGGGCGATTTTTTCGCACGGTGCACCAAAAATCGACCGAAATTTCCGGCCGCCCTGGCGGCCGTAATTTTAAAGATACGAAGAAGATGTAAGCGGGTAATTTGTAGAGCTCTTCGAGCTCTACAATCCATAGTTGGACATTCTTGACATCGTTGTTGTACATCAGTGAGAAAAAAGTTGAAAAGCGAATAGCTCCCTTGATTTTGAAGATATAACATTGTAATTTGGCAAGGCTACATATGTCATCATCGGCAACAAACGTGAGTCGGAACTTCATTTATCTGTGCCCTGAGGGCAGAGATATTCCAAAAATTTCAAAAAAACACACTATGAAACTCAGTTTTTCGTACGTAGCACAGCCATTTTCGTATACAACTCCACGAAATTTAAGTATCTGATAGAAAAAAAATTCTGCACACATCAGCATTTTAAAATTTGTCATTTCGATCTTGCATAATGACCTTTTAGGTGCAAGAAGTTTTAAGAATGAAATATTTTCGCATCTTATTGTGGAGCTTACAGCGCGGGGTTCATTACAATATTTATATATTCTGGAAGCGGAACATTTACTCTATACCCATGCCAATTTTCAAGTCTCTAGCTTCAACGGCTAGCGAGCAATGTATTAAAGAAGGAGGTCTACTTTGAAAAAATAGAAAAAAATCATGGAGACCGGTTGTGTCCCAAAAGTACAGAATGCCGTGTAGCGCAAAATTCAAAAAAATACGGCCAAAAAGGTTTTTTCCGCCCGTCTCCTCGTTTTCTATAGTCTCTATGCCGTAAAAATTGTGAAATATCTCGGCGGTCTCTGCAAGAACACAGTCAAAATTTTCAGGAATTATTGTGTGGATCATATAGAATAGCCAAGCAAAATTTCAAAAAAATCCCAGCCGTTTTTCCACAAAAATTTTTTAAATAAAAAATTTTTAAAAAAGTTTCGATATCTCAGCTCTCCTTGCAAATGATGACCTGATTTTTATAGCCATTGAAACAACACCTATGAGCACCATCCTGGCCAAATTTCATCCAAATCCGACACCCACATCCCTCGGAATATCACTTTTTATCAAAAAACAGATGAATAAATTATACAATATCCCAAATCAAAGCGAAAAACCGCTTAATATTCTCCACGTTGTAGGGGACCAACGTTATGGCAAAGAGTCTGTCCCTCACGAACATTCCATGTTGAATTGCAGTGGAAATAAAAATAATTTCGAAGAAATTTGCGCAAATTAAGCCAAGTTTCGGAGCCCACTGCGGAAGCGCAAAAGTCGGATTTTGTTCGCTGTAGACGCGACAACTGTGCTGAATATACAACATGATGATGCGGAGGGACTGAAAAGAGATTTTTTGAATTTCTGGGTAAAATACGACAAGATTTTTTTCTCGTATTTTAGGATTTTTTTTTTTGAAAAATTTCAAATTTTTTGAAAAAATCTTTGAAATCAAACTCAAAAAATTCAAGACAACGTATTTTACATTTTTTATTTTATTTTTTTCACTTCAAAATCGCTTTTTTACTCCCAAAACTATCATTTCCCGCGAAAAGTCTTTCAAATTCCGAGAGATCGAGGCCGTGCATTGGTGGTTCAGTGGTAGAATGCTCGCCTGCCACGCGGGCGACCCGGGTTCGATTCCCGGCCAATGCAATTCCTTTTTTTGATGCTTTTCACTACAAAATTTTGATATTTTTGGCCAAATAAAGAGTCATAAGCCATTTTCCTCACCTAATAACCTTGTTTTACCCATCAATCTCTGATATTTTTGCCTAATATTGACAAAACTTACATCAGCCGTCAGCATCAGCAGATATGTTGGGTGTAATTGATGGGATTTGGGCAAAACCACGTATGATAACAGCGCAATTATATGTAAAATCGAGGCAGTCATGAACACCGTATATCCGATATTCAGAATCGACCGGTAAATTTGATTCTCTTGACGTTGAGACCACTAAAATCACAAAACATGTCAAAACTTAGGGCAAAATTTTAAAAATGATGCCAAAAATAGCCAAAAAACCCTTTTCTCACCCTAAAAATCGCATCCCAAATGTCCAATGCGCATTGCAAAGTGCCCACAAATATGGACCAGACCACAAAAAACGCGTTCTCCTGCAAAAGTCCGGGGATTTGCGGGTCGAACGGGATCTTGTCGCCCACGCCGTAGATGCAGATCACCAAACGCGTACAGGGAATCAAAAACAGCTTATTATCGATCAAATGCAGGTTCAGCAGCGCGAAAATACAGGTCAGAATGTAGAAGTAGAGGCCCAGGAATTGATGGTAATTCTCGAATTTCCCCACCAACAATTCCACATCCGAATGGCGGAAAAGCTCCTTCACGAAGCCCTCAAAACCCAGCTCCTGCGAAACGTAGGCCCCGATTTTGGGCAACGAGATCGTGTGGAGAAACGAGCCCCACCAACGCCATGATAACGAGGAATTCAGCTCTAAAATACGAAAAAATAAAAAAAAAATTTTTTGTAATTTCCGAAATTTTGGATTATTTTTTTACCTGATGCAACATAATACAACTGTCTTCTGGATTTTATCACATCCAATCCATTGGCGTCGTCTCGGAATTGAAAACTCGGCCAAATTTCAATCGATTTCCCTCGCTCTTTCACATCCAACTTTTTCAATTCGGATTCCGTAAAACTAGTCAATGGAATTCGATGAAAGGCGTTCTTTTGGTACATAAAAAAGAGGAAAAACAGCAGTAGAATCACATAATTCTGGAGCATTCGGCTGATAATCCAGGATCTACAAGGATTTCACAGCAATACTTTGTGAGATTTCAGTATTTTTGAGTGATCATCGACACCATTTCGAATACATTTCAGGAGTTTAATAATCAACAAAAATCATGACAAAACAATAAATTTATTTTGTCGAAAACAAGTTTATCAGAAACAACTTAACGCTTTCCACCGACACGAGGGGCCTGCGCTTTCACGGTCTTGGCGGCTTTAGGCTTCTGAGCAGCTGGGGCCTTGGCCTTCTCCTGCAAAACGGACAACATTATATATTGTACTACACATTAAATTAGACTTAATTTGCAAATTTAACTGTCCAGGTATTTAAAACGGACAACACACAACATGAAGGCCGGGATCGTCAACCCAAAATTATTTTGCAGACATTCGACACCTTAATTGACTTTAATTTGCCAATTCAGGCTCTAATATGCTGCCAAAGTTTCAATTTTCGTCCAAAATTTTATCTAAACCCCGAAAAGATCAAGTTCTACAAAAACTTACTTGTTTTGTCTTTTCCTTTTTGCTCTTCTGGGCCTTAGCGGCTTCCTTGGCTGCCTTCACGGCTTGTTCACGCTGAGCCTGTCTGAATTCGGGTTTCTGGTTTCTCTTTGCCAAGATGGCTTCGATCGACAGATCACCGATGGCGCGGTTAGCGACCTGGACGGTTCTCTTGACGCGCTTCTTGGTGGTGTTGTCATCAGCGTGTAGACCCTGAAAAACGCCAAAAATTAGAATAAAGTCAAGGATGATATAAAAATATACATTGATAACGTCTAAAATGAATGTCTGGGGCTTTAAAACGAACAACACATATAATGAAGGCCGAGATCGTAGACCCACTTCAATTTCGCAGACATTCGACACCTATATTGGCTAAATTACACCAACACTGGCTCTAATATGCTGCCAACACTCAATGCAAAAATCAAAGCAGACAAAAAAGCCTTCTGGATTTCCAGAAATGATTATAAGTCCCTATTTTGTACTTCCAAACCCTAATCTCCATCAAATTCAACTCTAAACTTCTCAAAAACAAAAAAAGCAACAAAGTTTACCTTCTTGTGCTTTCTGCGGTAGAGCACGGTCCATGGGATGTCACGGGGGTTTCTCTTCATGCCGGTCGATCGCTCGGCCTTCTTGCTGATGTAGATGTTGATCTGAAAGAATATTAAGTTCATTAGACCAATAATACATTCAGATGGGCTTATAAACTGGCTCTTTTAGCTCTACAACGTCTTGAAGACGGCTTCCAATCATATTTTACACTTTTTCAACAAATTTGAAGATCTTCCCGTTACTTTCCAGAAGTATATTATTCATGGATAATATCGGCAAGAACTGGCCCGAAAACACTTGAAAACATGTAAAACAGTGCAAGGACACCTTCAATGTAGTGTGTTCCAAGCCTAAGCGCCAAAAAGATCAATCAAAACACCAAAATTTACCTTTCCATCAGAGCGCACAAGACGCTTTCCGTGTCCGGGATGGATCTTGTAACCAGAGTAAAAGCAGGTTTCCAACTTCATGGTGGTCCCTGCAAGCGATTTCAATAATTTCTCCACTCAAAGTTTTCAGAAATCCGAGAAAATACCGCGAAAAACTCGACAAAGACAAAACTTCACATCGAACGCTAAAACAATATAAATTTTACGAACACATAAAGTTACTGTACAACAACAATTTACTCCAGTAAAACCTTGTAAAATCCTCGAGGAAAAATGCAAAAAAGAAAATCGAAAAAATCTCCAACGGCAGTACCGTAGAAACAAGAGCGCACCGTGTATTGGCGGCTAACACGCAGCTCATCAGGGAAATCGTGGTGGGACGCAGCGAGTAGCAAAAAACAAAATCTCGTGCCGAAAAAAATATAAAAAAGGCGCAAAAATGTTGAAAGGTCACCTAGTGGACATTCTCTCCCAAATTTTTGAACATTTTCGCACTCGCATCGTGTCGATATTGCAGTAGATCTTCGGGGAATTCGAAGAATCCTAGGGAAATTTGCGAAAAACTAGATTTGGAGGCGTGGAAAGTGAAGAAGAACGGACATTTCTGCACAATTCACATGATTTTACCATTGTGTGCGGAGAGAAATACGAAGAATATGGATTGATATTTGTTGTAACAGGGGTTTCCGGTCGAAAATTGTTGGAAATTCATGGTTTTGAGAGCAAATTATATTGGGCACTTATCAGCTTGATGGATAAGGTTTTTGAACACGTAAAACCACAGCTTTTTCAATTACTTTAATGTGGATTATGTAGTAAAAACCCCAATCTTCCTGGTTTTGACAGTTTTCAACAAGTTCCTGTCCAAATTCCCATCAATTCTTCGGGTTTTCCCATCCGTGCCATGTGTAATATAATTTGTGCCAGAAACGCCGGAATTGCTTTCAGATTGGTCCCGGTGTAATGGATGGAGGGTAAAACCTCACCAAGAATGGGAATCAACGTGGGTTTGAAGCAGGATGAGGCCAGACAATGGGCTGAACACATTCAGTTGCTCAAGAATACCACCGACTCGATGCATGAGATTTGTGCGGCCAGAAGGAATGTGTTGGGATGTCAGGTATGCTTTTTGGTTGATTGCATTTGGTTTAGGTGGGAATTGAATTCAAATGGAGTTGAGGGTGGACTTGTTTTATCATTTGTTGCTGATATTGTTCATGACGATTTTTTTGTCCGAAAAAAACTTGGATAATAGGTTTTTTTGAATCTATTCAAACTACAAACTAATTATAGACAAGAAATTGTGCTGTAAACCTTATGCTTTACAGTAATTTTGCATGTTATTCCGACATTTCAATAGGCCTTGAGGTTCTTTTTTCGCTTTTCGAAATCTTGTTTACTTTTGCAGCTTTACTACGTGAGTGCTAAATTAATTTAATCTCTGACCATTAGTTAGCTTCATAATGGATTAAAACGAACGGAAGTTGGATAAAATTGACGGCTTTATATTATACTGGATCAAGTATAATATCAGATGGATTTAGTGGAAAATTTTTGTTTTGATAAGGGAAAAATGGCTAGAAATAACAAGTTTATGCCATGTGCGACCTACTACGATATATTGGAATAACAAATAGATTTGATTTTACATGGATATTACTTTAGGAAGCCCTGATGTACCTGACCAATGCTGTCAGAGACTTTGAAGCACTCATTTCAACCATCAAAGTGGAAGCAGAATGGGAGAATCTGGAGAAGTAAGCGGTTTACATCCCTGCATCATCATCATTTCATAACCATTTTTTTATATTTATATCAAGTGTAATATAATTTCAGTCGTCCACAAGCGTTGGCATGGGAAGTGAAAGGTGTTCCAAATCGCAAATCAAAGTATGTTGAAGTTTTTTTGATTTTATTGGTGTTTAGAGATGTCAAGACGAATGGAAATGGAGAGGATGTTAATGGAAATCCAGCAAGTGTAAGTAAAATATGGAATGTTATTGAGGTTCAGAGAGGCTAGGAGCTTAAAATTGGGTTAAAAACTAAAGGTGTTTTGTCAATTCGAAATGATCTTTTGGGACTTTTTTTATTGGGAGTGTCTAGTGTAATATAATTTTTTAGTGAAATTTGAAAAATTTTCCCCTCAATGGAATAAAGTATTCTGAGTGATTTTTTTGCAGAAATACCCGCCTCTTTACTCCAAAAACAACAAGGAAAACGAAGCCCTCAAGTATAATGGCGGTCGAATTTCGCAGCCAAAAAGTGCGATGGACATCCCTCAAACCAAGTCCAGTATGGCCAAAATCGCCTATTCTCGACAATTGCTTTGGCAACAACACAAGAAATTACTTACCGAAAAATTGACGGTCAAAAGAAGGAAGCAAAAAGATATTATTTTGCGGAGAAAGAGCATGCCCGTTCTTGGAAATGCAACCAATATGCAGAATATGGAGTCGAACTTGGAATCAATTCATGAAGAAGACCGAAACACCTCGGATTCGTGCTCATTGAAGACCCAAGTGGGATATTATTCGAAATCCGAGCCCCAAGGAATCCTGGATTTGAACAATGACGATGAATGGAAGGCCCTGACTGAAGAGGAAGAGTCCCTGGCTCATGAGGAAGCTAGTCTGCAAAAAGAAATCGAGGACGAAGAGAGCGCGTCGATCGACGAACAGATCCATGAGAATATTATTTTGGATTTCAGCGATCTCGAAAGAAGCCAAGGAAGCCGATGGAAGGCGGTCGTGGATAGGTGGGACATCAACAATGAGCCTGAAGTCAAAAATCAGGAAGTAAAGTTTCCACAACCCGGAGATACGGCAAGATTACATCAACGGTTACTGTCGCCGGTGAGAAAAAAGTGAGTTGCCAGGAAATTTGGGGAAAATAAAGAAGTTTTGGAATTGAAAGGGGTATAAGAGGGACTCAGAAAGGTTTTAGAGCCTTGAGCTGCTTTGTAGAGCGTCTGGAAATTATCTGAGGAGCAAATTTGCCATGGATAATATAACAAAATCAAAATTTTTGAAAAAATCGAAATTTTTGGTAGAGTTGCTATATGATTTGGACGAAAATTAGTATTTAGGCGTTGTAGAATGTGTTGTAACAAAATTTTTTATGAATTTTGACCTATAACATCTGTTTCATCAAAATTTTTAACCAACTGAACTCATGTGTAATATAGCAAATTTTTTAATCTAAACTAATATTTTTGGCGCTCAGAAGATTACATAAGGGCTTAGAAAGACATTCAGAGTTTTGATTTGGCAATAATCCCCTTGAGTTTCAGGAAATATGACGTCGATGTTATCCTTGAACGCCAACAAAAGGCCGAAGAAATGAGAGCCCATCTGCGCGAACGCAAAGCCGAAAGACTCCGCGAATTGCATTTTCGAGTAAGTCCTTTGATCATTATTGCATATTCGAAGTTTAGGTGGAAGAGATCAACAGAAAACGCATGGAATTGATCGAGAAAAAACGGATTCATCTGCAGAAAAAGATGGAGAAGGCCGCCGAAAATCGCCAGAAAAACATTGATCTGGTCGTGAAACAGGCCAAGGATGTGGATCAACGTGTTCTCGAAGTCAATTTTATTAATTCCCTGGAGGCAGAGAATGCAAAATATGGATTGCAGATGAAGGAATTGAACCGGGAATATAGGGTCCAAAGCCTTATGGATGGGAAAAGAAATGCCGAAAAGGCGGCGAAGAACGAACTTCAAGGTGTTGAAGTGAGTTTTAAAATAGGTTAATATGAATGAAGTTGCGATGTATGTATTGGTTTTTGGGTATTTGTGTATGTGAGACAGATTTGGGACCTTGTTTTAGACATCAGTTTTTGCAAAAATTGAAAGTGAAATTTTTGTATTTTATGATTCAAGAAGGGCAGGATATCTCACTCTAGTGCACAGATGGATTGATAAAGAAGATATTGAAATAAAAAATTGTGGATTTACATCCAATTTTCAACTTTTTACATGGATTTGAAATTTTGAAATTTTTTAGGTTTTTATGCTTCGGAATTTGCTTTTTCTGACAAAATTAGAAAAATAACTCCCTTAAAAATGAATTCCACTCTCCTTAACTGTAATTTGAAGACAGTTTCATCTAATACATCAGAAAATTTTTTTTGTGATATCAAGTATAATATAAGTTTTAGCCGGAAAAGAAGCCCAAGGAGAAATCAAAGGCTGAAAAGAAGATGAATAGGAAAAATAAGCTGCTCCAGCCGTTTCCAGAAGAGCAGAAGCGACCTTGTTCGTCAGCTTTTACATTCGGCGCCAAAGAAGATGACATCCCATCCGATAAAATTAGTGGTACTAAATGGAGATGCGAATGTGGAAAGGGATTAGTGGTGAGTTTATTTGATTTGGAATTTGTTACAAGTTTGTAGGGATATTTTTTGGCTAAATGTTTTTAAAAATTACGAATTTAGAGGAAGGACTTGGTAAAAAGTCAGTTTACATTAGTGAAATATGTAGTGAAGCCAATGTTTATCGGCTTATATTGAAGCTAGGAGGCTTGTGCTTGTTTGTAGTAACTAAAAATTACAGTATCCGCAAAAATTTTTTTTTGGTTTTTGGACTTTCAAAAAATTTTTTTTTAGGCGAAAAATTGAAAAAGTTCGTCGAATTTTGAGGTTTTATGACTTTCAGATGTCGACCAGTCTCGATATCCTCGCCCATTTCATGTCCACCGACCATTGTCGGGCCCGAAATTTGGACCCATTCGACTTTGACTACAATATCCTTCAAAATGAAGTGGAACAATGCATTTTTGAATGCAATATCGAGGATGAACCCGCCTCAAATTCGACCTCAGATGTCTCACAGGTCTTGGAGAAGCTGATGTCCACGTCGAAGCCGCTGGAATCGGTGAAAGCCAGCAATTCGAAGCTGATTTCTCAATTTCAAGAGATCTCGGCGGGGATTTTGAGTGAAATGGAGAATATTTCGAGTCTGGACAACGAAATAAATGAATGGAAACGAGCGTTCAGAAAGCGAAAGGAAGCAGAGAAGAATAAACTGGCTCCAGAGCTGAAATCAGCCCTCTCGGCGACACTGGGAAAGATTTCGGCGCTGAACAGTGGAAGGCTGATGAAAATTGACAAGTAAGGCTGATTTTGTGATAAAAAGGATTGTTTTTATGTTGATTATGATTGCTGAGAGAGCAAGGGAGAAAATTCTAATCATTTTGGGGCAAAAAATGACAATTCAAGTTTTCGTGGTGGGACCCAAAATTGATTTTGAAAATTTTTGAAATTGAATAAAAGGGATGGTTTTTTTTGTTGATTATGACTTCTGGGACAGCAAGGAAGAAAATTGTAATCATTTTGGGGCAAAAAACGACAATTCAAGTTTTCGTGATGGGACCCAAAATTGATTTTGGAAATGTTGGAAATTGAATAAAAGGGATTTTTTATGCTGATTATCATTGCTGAGAGAGCAAGGAAGAAAATTGTAATCATTTTTTGGCAAAAAACGTCAATTCAAGTTTTCGTGGTGGTACCCAAAATTGATTTTGAAAATTTTTGAAATTAAATAAAAACATGATTCCATTATGTGCCATGTGACATATAGACTGCCTTTTTACGATTTTTGCCCAAAAAATTTTCAGGTTTTCGTCCTGAGACCAAAAATTTTTTTTACGGAAATTGCAATTTTTGCTATTTTTAACCCTATCTTCTCTCGAAAAACAAGCGGTTTAGGATCATCTGCAAGCTGGCTAATCTCCTGACGGCATTGTATTACACCGAGCAGCAGAAACTCGAATTCATTTGCACCGCTGATGTTATCCATGTCCTGCAAATCCTCTCAAACAACCTCCCCGAGCCCACGTTATGGTTATTGAACTTTTTGGACTCCTTCTGGGGCGTCCTACTGAAGAATATGAAAAAAGATTTTGGATTGTTCGAAAGAATTCAACTTTTCAATGAATTGGCCGTCAAGTGCAATATTTCCGCGGTAATCTGCAAATGTTTCAACGATCCGAGAGAGGAAGTGGAGATTAATGGAGTAAAAGTCATCCCCGTGAAGTTGGCCGCAAGATTCTTTCAGTTTTTGCTGCAATGCAATCAAAAGTAGGTAGTGGAATGTAATTTTTTGGATTTTTGATAGAAAAAAGAGTTTCGGAGGGTTGTTTATGGCTAATATGGCTGTAAAATATAGTTTGTGACATTCGCTTTTGGTGTATTGAGTTTTGGGTTTCAAAAATTTGAATTCCCGCCAATTTTGGCATTGTGTTCTGGATGTCGGAAAAGGTGAAAAATTGAGGAAATAAGGTCGTACTAGGTTAGTATGGGTGTAATAAATTGTTTTAGCTGAGTTTTACTTTATTTTAGTATGTTATTTTTGATGATTTTTGAGATTTTTAAAAAATTTTAATTTTGAGATTTTCAACTATAAATTTGTTGTATTTTAGCCCCCAAGCGAACATGGCTAACGTAATGAATGGTCTAATATCGTCAACGTATGAACAAGTGGTCCATTTGAACGATAAAGGCATCTCCGAAATCCCAGATCCCCTAAAACAAGGTCTTTTGATGGTGGTGGACTTTTGGAACACGTTCTGGTCCAAAAACCTGCTGGAAACCCAAATCCACCACGAACTGACCGCAAACCCAAAGGCCGCCATCAAAATGGCCTTCATTTTCCGCACCCTTTTGTGGAATTTGCCCTCCGGCCAAGAGATCTCAACCCCGGCGCTGCGTGCAATCGGCTTCGGACTGGCCGCGCTGACCTCACTCCAGCCCCATTTCCGCGTATTTTGTCTGCTGGGCTGGGAGAAGAGCGTCGCGAAGGAGCTGGCCCACCTCTACAGTAAGATCTTTCAACCGCCGGAACTACGGTACTCGATCCTCGTCAGCCTTTTGCTAGTCACTCACCACAACCCCAAAGCCCTCAGACTCATCCGGAATGATGTGGATGTCTCCTGGTTTACGGCGTTCTTAAAGGTAAACGATTTTCGGGATCAGATGTCTAGTACAGGGTGGGCCACTCGAAACGGGTAAGTTTTTTCTTTGGATTTCTCCGCGGAGACTCCGCCGATTTTCCCGAAATTTAGATTTTTCTGTAGCTGAGACCCGCCATTTTTAACCGGTTGAATTTGAAAAAAATATATTTTGAATTGACCTTTCTATGCCTTCCCAAAGTTTTGAGGAATTATTTTCGAGCCGAAACCGCTAAAACTTTGAAAATTTTTGAAATGATTTTCAATTGACTTTCTCGGACTTGGAAAATTTTTGGCTTTTTTTGGGGGAAATCGCGGAGTAAAAAGTTGCTAGTGCTCGCCTTAAACTTGTTTAAAGCAAGTTGAAAGCCACAAGAGGGTTGTTTGTATTACCATTAGGGCACGAACATTCAAAAAAAAAGATTTCAAAAAGATTGCAAAAGTCCACACAATTGGCAACGAGCCCCAGCTCCAAGTCATTGAAGCTTGGAGCCCAGCCCGATTAAAGATAGACGATGTTCACGATCTGCAATTCGAGCTGTTCACGACTCTCATGACTCTCAAAGCTCCTACAAGTTTGTGCTGCGAGAGGAAATGGGCATTTCAGACTCAGATAGAAATATTAATAATCAGGTCGTTAAATAAAATTGTTTTTACGACAATATTTTATGGTTACCTGAGGTAAAACTTAGAAAATTTCACCCAAAAACTCGAAAAAATGACCAAGTTTTCGAAATCATTCCAAAAATTTTCCAAGTTTTAGCGGTTTCGGCCCGAAAATAATTCTTCGAAACTTTGGGAAGGCATAGAAAGGTCAATTCAAAATATATTTTTTTGAAATTCAACCGGTTAAAAATGGCGGGTCTCAGCTGCAGAAAAATCTAAATTTCGGGAAAATCGGCGGAGTCTCCGCGGAGAAATCCAAAGAAAAAACTTACCCGTTTCGAGTGGCCCACCCTGTATAATATCAGAAAAGTTGAGAGGCGGGAAAATGTGTTGATTTTATGAATTTGCGTTTGATTTGAGCTGTAATGGTATTTGACAAACAGTAAAATGTTTTTGAGTTATGATGACAGAGATTTTTAAAAGATTCCATAAAATCCGTCATCATGACACATTTAATTTTACGATATACAAAATAAAATTTGAAGATTTTTGATTCACAGGCTTTTCTTACAAGGTGTGAAAAAATTCACAACGGTTGGTTTGATTTGAATGTTGTTTCAGCTATCGGGATGACGGATTTTCTGGAATTTTGGAAAATTTCGAAAAAAATTCGAAAATTTCGGAGATTTTGATAGTTTCATGTAAAAAATGAGCGATTTGGGCATTGGAATCACTATAATTTTCATGTTTCAGCGCCTGATCAAGAAACCCCTCCTGGACGGCGTGGAAAACCTGCGATTTCTGGCACCGGAGCAGCTCGAACCGATGTTAACCTTTTTTAGCGGATAACTAGAACCACCTACGAGTACTAAAACTTCTAATATTGTATTTTCAAACACTCATGTATAAAGTTTTATTCATTTTTTCTTGTTTACCCGGCGAAATGTCCACTTGTTCGACACAATGTCAATATTTTATTGGGGGGTTTGATAATTTCCGCTGTTTCCTTTCATTTTTGCGGATATTTTTGGCTAATTTGCGCGAGATTACGTACATTATGTGGATCGGGTTGTATGAAGCGATAATTGAGCTTTGATTTTCAGCCTATGTGATGTCGCAGGATAATGGGCAGGCCTCTATGGATAACAACGGTGAGCTCGAATTTTGATTTTTTCTTGTTGAAATTTAGGTCCAACATGAAGAACAAGGTCTATTCTCTCCTTGGGGGGAGTAGTGTTGCATAATTTTGAGAAAAATAAGCAAAAAATTAAAATTTTGTCGAGAGAGCACCTAAAACAATATATTTTTGCGTCTAAAAACGCCGTTTTTGAATGTAAGAAGTTCGGAAAGGCTGGATTATAACGGCGAATGAAATTTCAGAGGTCTCTGGAAACGCAGAAAACAGCGCCGACGGCTCCACACGCAGCACTAGCCCTCCTCCGTCTAGTGCAAGCTCCTGGCTGGAGGCATGCATCGGCCAAAACGGAAGCCCCGAGCGATCTCCCTCCGAACACGGAATAGTCGAGGTGTCGGATAAGGACGATGAAGAGGAGGAAGTGGAAGATGAAGCCATCCAATATAATCTCAGGTAGGGTAATATAATTTTTTGTTTTTTTGTTGAAATTTTAGGTAAAGTTGAAGGAAGTTTTGATGGGAAATGGAAGAAAATGGAATAAATGTTGTTTGAAAGCCATGGCTCTGGTTTTGAACGTCATTTTTGACCAGAACGAGGCCTTTTTTTCATGTTATCCATGAGATTTCAGATGTTCAAGTCTTGGGCTCGGCTCCCTGCGCTCCCATCGTCTTCCCCCAACCCTGATGGCGTGCGGGCATCCCGCTCCGTCGACGAACAAGAACCAGATCAAACAGTGGGTGAGCAACGGCCGGTCCTGGTGCCAATCCTGCAACCCGCAGACCAGCCAAAACCTGATCCGCAGCAGCGAAGAGCGGTCGGGCTGGCGCATGTCGATGCTCCAATATGTGGAAAAGAACGTATTCCCACCGCACGTCCTCAACATGAACGAAACGTACATCTATTCGGGCGATAATGGCGGGAAAATCGTGGTCCCGAAGCTGCAAAACCAAGTTTTCCTGATGGACCTCGACCTTTTCATCCCCATTGTGTGCGCCGAGGACCTGTGTCAGGTCCCGTTGAGGGCCCTGACCTGCTTCCGGTCCTTCGTTTCCAATGATACCAGGGTCGTCGACTTCTTTCAACGTCTCCATCCCCAAAGTCTCTGCCATTTTTCGGTGGGCCTCATCGAAGCCGCCATTCGAGTCATGGAAGACCCAACCGAAACTGGAGATGTGGCCTTTAGAAGGTCGAGGGTCGCTTTGCAAACCTTTTATCACACTGCCGCCAGGGTTTTGTTGTAAGTTTTTTGGGTTGAAGGCATGGAGAAGATAAAAAGTGTCAGGGTTGGCGAAAATAGGTGGATAGACGGGAATTTTATAATCATAAAGGTATAATAGACTCTGAAATTTGTGGTAAGAAAGGAATTGAATTGAAATTTTGATTTTTTTGCAGTGATATTGTACTTGATACCTAAGACAATATAATTGCTGATATCTCGGGAAATTTTGGAAAGATTGCGGAAGTTGATGGCTAATAATGTAAAGAGAGGCATGATCGGTGTTTTTTAATGATTTTTATTGAAAAAATGTTTGTGGGTTACTGTAATTTTGAGATTTTTATATTTAGGGTGTCTAGAGTAATATAATTGCCGATAACTCATTTTTTGCAGAAATTAATGCAAATTGATTTTGTAGAATACAAATAAAAGAATGTTGATTAATTTTAGCACCTTTGAGCAGCAGAATTCGTGATGGGTTACTGCAATTTTTCGATTTTTATAGTTGGGTGTCTAGAGTAATATAATTGCCGATAACTCTGGAATTTTACACAAATTTAATCAAATTGATGTTGTAGAGTGTAGATAAAAGCGTGTTAATTAATTTTAGAAGCTTTGAGCTGCGGAATTTTTGATGCGTTACTGTAATTTTGAGATTTTTATATTTAGGGTGTCTAGAGTAATATAATTGCCGATAACTCTGGAATTTTGCAGAAACTTAATCAAATTGATGTTGTAGAATACAAATAAAGGAATGTTGATTAATTTTAGCACCTTTGAGCAGCAGAATTCATAACGGGTTACTGTAATTTTTCGATTTTTATAGTTGGGTGTCTAGAGTAATATAATTGCTGATAACTCTGGAATTTTACAGAAAATTGGTCAAGTTGATATTGTGGAATGCAGATAAAAGCATGTTAATTAATTTTTACAACTTTGAGCTGCAGAATTCATAACGGGTTACTGTAATTTTTGGATTTTTCCAGCTTCCGCGAAACCATCGGACGCCACCAGCTGGCGCAGTGGCTGAGCCTGTTGCGCGTGGAGTTCCTGCGCCACGACATGATCCTGTGCATCTTCGTGGCCATCAAGGACCTGCACAAATGGTTCTTCAACGCCGACGATCTCTACATCCGCCTCCTGACGGACCTCATCATAATCTGGAGCAATCCCGCTTTAATGGCCGAAAACCGGCACGCCGTCCAGCAAATCTTTGTCAGTCTGCTAGAGACTGAGCCCACATTCCTGCAGGACTGCTACAAGGCCCTGGAAAGGGAGACCTTCTCGGAGCTGCTGGCCATAACCGACAACCTTGTTCAAGCCGTGAACATGTGCAGATCTCGCGAATTCGAAACCGAAATCATGGATATCAACGGGTCGTTCAGGGAACCCAATCTGGCACATCGAAAGGTAAAATGTTTTTAAATTTTTTTGAAAATTTTTTCGGGATTTGCACAGTGCAGTCGGGAAATAAAAAGGATTTGGGAATTTGCACTGTGCGATGGAAAGTTTGTGCTTTTTTCACTGTGCAGTGAAGATTTTTGAAAAGTTTGAGGTTTTCAAAATGTTCTGCAATGTTAACTTCATATTTTTGTAAAGAAAGAAATTTGAATTTTTTAATCGCACTGTGCGAAATTGAAGTTTTGTTTTTTTGCACGGTGCAGTCGAAATTTTTGGGATTTTCGCACGGTGCGAAGAAAGTTGGTGGAAAATTGTAGTGAAAAAAAAATTGTGAGGCATCGTGTTTTAGAATTTAACGTTTTGAAATTTCCAAAAATTTTGATTTCACAGTGAAAAATTTTGTTTTTTACTTTTTGCACTGTGCGATTTTGAGGTTCTGGGTTTTGCACTGTGCAGTGAATATTTTTGAAAAGTTTGAGGTTTTCAAAATGTTCTACAATGTTTATTTGATATTTCCATGAAGAAAAAAATTTGAAATTTTTAATCGCACTGTGCGAAATCGAAGTTCTGTTTTTTTGCACGGTGCAGTGGACATTTTTGGGATTTTCGCACGGTGCGAAGAAAGTTGGTGGGAAATTGTGATGGCAAGACGTTGTGAGGCATCTTGTTTTAGAATTTTACATTTTGAAATTTCCAAAAATTTTGATTTCATAGTGAAAAATTTTTGTTTTTATTTTTTCCACAGTGCGATTTTCAAGTTTTGGTTTTTGTACCGTGCAAAGTGAGTTTTTTAGAATGAAATTGATTATGCAATGTAAAAAATGAATTTTCAGTGCTTCCTGCACCGATATAACCTCCAATTCATGGTGGATTTGTTCGAAATCCTGGACCGCGAAATCACCGAAGGCCGCAGCTACAACCGCTACGAATACGGCGTGCGCCTACCCATGATCATCGACATTATCTACTTTTGCTCACTCTTTCGCAACAATTATGACCCCGTTCTGGTGCAAAGCCAAAAAGCCATCAAAATTTTGTGTGGAATCTTGAAAGCGGTAGGTTTTTTGGAAAAAATAAAGAGTTTTTTTGGGTAAAGAGGGCTTGAATGTTCTTGAATTTTATTTATTGAGATTTTGGAAACTTGAAATGGGCAGAAATGCCAATTTTTTGACGAAAATGTGGATTTTTTGGTAATTTTGACAAATTTTTGGAATTTTTGGATATTTTGAAGCAAATTTTTATTGAAAAGGAAGGTAAAATAGCTGTAGAATAGTGTGTACTGTGTTTTTAGTTGATTTGAAATTTTCTAAAATACGATGTTTTATAAAAATGTTTGGGGTTTCAAAAAATTTTTTCATTTTTAAATTTTAGGTGAATTTCGCGTTAAAAGACCGCCCGGTGGCCTCGATTGTCTCCGGCACGCCCCATAATCCCTCCAGAATCCCATCGTATGTGAACCGAATACCCCGCTCGGACGTGCCGATCAGCCCGGACCAAGATGAAGATCAGGAAAATGGCGCTCATAAAGTCCCAAAACAAAAGCAAACAAAGGATTCGGATAGTAAGTAGAACTCTAAAAAGCTCGAATTTTAATTTTGAGCCGTTTTAAAGCGAAAAAATTCCGGAAATTTTGAGATTTTTTTGAAATTTTTTGATTTTTTTGGGTTTTTTTGGAAGTTTGAAGTAAAAAAGTTTTGATTTTTTAATATTTCAGAGTTCTCCGTGGAGCGATACATGAAGGACTCAATCCGCCACCTCCTGAACAAACACAAAGCCGACGAGAACGGCGGGAAAACGGAGAAAGAGGAGAAAAAGGAAGAGCCCGAGGAGCCCATGGAGGAGGACGAAAACGCCGACAAAACCCTCCAAGAAGCCAAGGAAAACACCGCCCAATACCCCCCAAAAGCACCATCGATCAAATCGCTGGACTCGGGGGACGAGCCGCTCCCCAAACACGCCCGTTTGGACCCCAAACACCTCGCCCTGGTCAAGGGTAAGGTCATGGAGAATATTGGGGCAAGAAAATGGCGATAAGAATGAGTTTTTTGAAGATTTGGAGGGTTGTAGAGAGTTATGAGAGTTTTGGAGACATTGAGGACTAAGTTTATGCATTTGAAACAGAAAGCCAAAAAATTTTTGGGTCCCACAGCGAAAACTTGGAATGGCTGATTTAGCGCTGCAATTGGTGTAGATTGATGAAAAAAGGTTTGTAATGAGCTTTTAAAGCATTTTTTACAGTGTTTTTATGGTTGCAACAGAATGCCAAAGATTTTTTGGGTACCACAGCGAAAACTTGGAATTGCTGATTTAGCGCTGGAATTGGTGTAGATTGACGTGAAAAGGATGAAAATGTGTTTTTCAGGTGGTTTTAGCTGTGTTATTACGGTTCTAGCAAAATACGTAAAAATTTTTGGGTTTCACAGCGAAACCTTGGAGTGGCTGATTTAGCGCTGGAATTGGTGTAGATTGATGTGGAAAGGATTATAATGTGATTTTAGAGCGTTTTTATCAGTGTTTTTACGGTTGCAGCAGAATGCCAAAAAATTTGGGGTCTCACAGCGAAACCTTGAAAAGTCAAATTTTTCCATTGTTTGAATTCTAATGAGTGTAATAGAGTTTGAAGACTCATTTTACGATGTATTTTTTAGGTGCCTTGGCCGAACGAACCCGCGAATTGGCCGACGAAGCGATCGACGAGGAGGAGGAGGAAGAGGCCGAAGAAGAGGAGCTCCTGGAGGACGAAGACGATGAGGACGACGAGGACGAGGGCGACCGCATCCCCAAACACATCGAAGGCATCTTCGGCAACCGCTCCGACTTCTTCTTCAGCCAATATTTGGCGCAGCGTGCGCCCGAAGAGAGCCCGAAAGCCGAGGAGGAGCAGGCCTACCTCCCCTATCTCCGCCTGTTCCAACTGATCGCCAACCGAACCCTTCCCCAACACCTTTTCATGTCGCTGAAACAGGCCACAATACGATGCATCGGCGGCCTATGCAGACACTCGCTGCGAAACCAACTCGCCGCTGGGAAATTGGACATAATCAACTTGGTCATCCAATGCACTATGAAGCAGGATGTGGATAGAGCAGCAGTGGTGAGTTGATCATCATTTGAGGGGTAAAAAAAAACGCTTTTGAACTGATTTTTTTGGGAAAAATTAGGTTTTTTGAAATTTTTTTTTGAAAATTTTTTGAAATTTTTTTTTATTTTTGGCATTTTTAATGGGTAAAATACGTCTGCATGTCCTTTGCAATGAATATTGAGTTTTTTGAACCGATTTTTTGATTGAAAAGTTGTGATTTTTTGAAATTTTTTGGATTTTTTTTTATTTTTTTTTTCAATTTTTTCGAATTTTTAATGAGTAAAATACTTCGGGGTGACTTTTGTAATTCATGTTGAATTTTTTAGACCGAGTTTTTTGGGAAAAATTAGGTTTTTTGAATTTTTCTTTTAAAATTTTTTGAATTTTTTTTTGGATTTTTTGGCATTTTTAATGGGTAAAATACGTCAACATGTCCTTTGTAAGGAATATTGAGTTTTTTGAACCGATTTTTTGATGGAAAAATTGTGATTTTTTGAAATTTTTTTTGCAAATTTTTTGGGTTTTTTTGTATTTTTAATGAGTAAAATACGTCAGGGTGACTTTTGTAATTCATGTTGAATTTTTTAGACCGAGTTTTTGGGAAAAATTGTGATTTTTTTGAGTTTTTTTTTGAAAATTTTTTGGATTTTTTTTGGACTTTCGGTATTTTTTTAAGGGTAAAATACGTCACGTAGGGTTTTGTGTTTATGTTAAATTTTTTTAACCGATTTTTTGATAGAAAAATTGTGATTTTTTGATTTTTTTTAGAAATTTTTTGGATTTTTTTTTGAACTTTCGGTATTTTTAATGGGTAAAATACGTTGAATTTTGTGTTTATTGAATTTTTTGGACCGATTTTTTGATAGAAAAATTGTGATTTTTTGAAATTTGTTGGGTAAAAATAAAATTTTTTTTTTTCAAAATAAGTACAAAAATGAAGAGTTTTGATATTTTTCAGCTGCATCACGGTTTAACCACCCTCCGAGCACTGTGCGTGGATTGCCACGAGAACCAACAACGACTTTTGGAAATTTTTGAGGTAAGGAGATATAATAATTTTTTCCGGAAATTTGGGTTTTTGAATTTAAAAATTATGGAGAAATCATTTTTTTATGTGTGTTAGAGAGTAAAGAACGTTTATGGAGTCTTTGGACTGTAATTTTAGCGATTTTTTGGTCGAAATTTTGAAAATTTTCATTTTGAAAAATTTTTTGAAAATGCAAATTTTTTGGTGGCGATGATACTGTGAGGTCTAGTGGGATGTTAGTAGGCATTTTTTGTTTTATTTTTTCTATTTTTTGGTTGATATTTTCAAAAAATCCCGTTTTTTCAAAAAAAATTTTTTATGAAATTATGCAAATTTTGAGGTTGAAATGAAAGTTTGAGGTGTGAAATGGAGCCAATAGATGTTTAAAAATGTTTTTCCCCCATTTTTCTATTGAAAAATCTCTAAAAAATCCCGTTTTTCAAAAAAATTTTTTATGAAATTATGCAAATTTTGAGGCGGAAATAGCAGTGTGAGGTGTGAAATGGGCCTTATAGATGTTTAAAAATATATTTCCCCCATTTTACAACTCAAAAATCTAAAAAATCTCGTTTTTTTCTAAAAAATTTTTTATGGAATTATGCTAATTTTGTGGTGGAAATGACAGTGTGACGTGTGAAATGGAGCCAATAGATGTTTAAAAATTGTTTTTTCCATTTTTCAACTCAAAAATCTCAAGAACTCTTGTTTTTTCAAAAAAATTTTTTATGAAATTATGCAAATTTTGAGGTGGAAATGACAGTGTAAGGTGTGAAATGGGCCTAATAGATGTTTAAAAATATATTTCCCCCATTTTTCAACTCAAAAATCTCTAAAAAATCTCGTTTTTTCCAAAAAAAAAATTTTTTATGAAATTATGCAAATTTTGAGGTGTAGATGACATTGTGAGGTGTGAAATGGGGCTAGTCGATGTTTAAAAAATTGTCTTTTTCCATTTTTCGACTCAAAAATCTCTAAAAATCGGGTTTTCAGAACTGCTCCCAGTTCATCGACGGCCCCCGACTGGTGGCCGCAATGGGTTGCCGGATCCTGACCGACGAGAACGGCAAACAAAAGTTGGTGCCGCTGGTGGAGTTGGTGGCCGCCAACAATCCCCCAGCGAACGCCCCGAACGCCTCGGGCAACTGACTGTAAAAATAGGAAGAGTTCTCAACTGCCTCGGGTCGGAAATGTTATCGAATATATGTTCTAGATGCTTAATGGTTCAGATTTTCGGAGTTGTAGGGTCTTCGAAGGGATTAATCGGGAGTTTTTGGAAAAAATTTTGAAAATTTTTGGAATTTTTGAAAATTTTTTTGGAATTTTTGAAATTTTTTAAAATTTTTGGAAATTTTTTGGAATTTTTGAAAAATTTTTTGGAATTTTTGAAGAATTTTTTGAAATTTTTGAAAATTTTTTGGAATTTTTGAAAAAATTTTTTAATTTTTGAAAAATGTTTTGGAATTTTCGAAAAATTTTTTTAATTTTTGAAAATTTTTTGAAAATTTTTGGAATTTTTTTTTAATTTTTGAATTTTTTTTCGAATTCTTGAAAAATTTTTGGAATTTTTGATGATTTTTTTGGAATTTTTGAAAATTTTTGAAAATTAAAAATTTTTTTTGGTCCTAAAAAGTAATGAAAATCCGATTTGAAGGCTGTAAATTTGATTTTAAACAATATTTTTTATGTAGATTTATTTTAAAACAGTTATTTATTCAAAAAAAAGTTTAATTTATAAACCAAATTTACCGATTTTTTTCGAGATTTTTCGGATTTTTTAGGCTAAAAATCCCGGTTTTTCCCCAAATTCCCGAACTTTCCCCCCTCCCAAAATGTCTCCAGAGAATTTCGGAAAGTCCGAAGCGATTATTTATTCTATGTATGTTATCCTTTCCAGCTGTTTGTAACTACACATTGACGGGTTGTTAAACTATATTAACGTTTTTACTCGAATTTCCATCATTTTTCGTATTTTCCATCTCTTCATTATTCGCTCCTGTTCATCTCCTGGTTCTTGTTACAATTACCGGGCTAATTTTTTTTTTTGAATTGAATAAATGAAATTTTTTGAATTTTTTGGATCTTTTGGATTTTTTTTAGAAAGATTTTTTTAAAATATTAAATTTTTTGTATGTAAAATATGATCGTTGACCATTGTTATGTAGTGTTGAAGATAGTTGTAAATTTTATTTTGAGTGCACTGTGCAATTTTTTATTTTTTTGGTCACTGCACAGTGCAAAAGAAATTTTTTTATTTTTCGCACTGTGCAAGGAGGATTTTGCAAAAAGTTGTGGTAGATATAGAGCCTGTTAGATACGAGGAGTAAGTTTACAAAGCTAAAATTTACGAAAATCTTTCTGGCACAGTGAAATTTCCATCTCTTTTGGATTGCACAGTGCAAAATAAATTTTTTGGTTTTTCGCACTGTGTAAGGAGGATTTTGCAAATTTTTTTGTGGAAATACAGCCTGTCGGATACGAGGAGTAAGTTTACCAGGCTAGAATTTTCGAAAATCTTTGTGGCATAGTGAAATTTCCAAATATTTTTGATTGCACAGTGCAAAATAAATTTTTTAATTTTTTGCACTGTGCGATAAAATTTTCGAGAATCTTTGGACAAGAAAATTTTGGTTAGGAACAGAAATAAATTTGTGGTCAGTCGAGAGTGAAGAATGTTTCCATTGGACTGCAAAATTGCCAATTTTTATTCATCGCACTGTGCGAAATCTTGATTTTGGTTTTTCGCACTGTGCAAGGAGGATTTTTCCAATTTTTTGACAGATATGCAGCCTGTCCGATACCAGGATTAAATTCGCATCGCTAGAATTTCCGAAAATTTTTGTGGCACAGTGAAATTTCCAAATTTTTTTGATTGCACAGTGCAAAATAAATTTTTTGGTTTTTTGCACTGTGCGATCAAATTTTCGAGAATTTTTGGCCATGAAAATTTTGGTTAGGCCAAAAAATAAATTTGTAGGCTCTCGGGAGTAAATAATTTTTCCATTGGACTGCAAAATTGCCAATTTTTTCGCTGCACTGTGCGAAATTTTCATTTCGGTTTTTCGCACTGTGCAAACAAAATTTTCAAGTTTTTTTGTTTTTAAATTAATTATCAATGATCAATTGAGATGATTTCACCACCAAGATTTTATTTCCGTTGTTCTACTACCACTTTTTTGATAAAATTGTAAAAATTTTGAAATCTGATTTTTCCAATTTTTTCGATTTTCAATTTCAAAAAGAAGAATTTGACAAGTTTCCTGGGCCCTCAGCAGTTTGTTATTCCTGGCCGGGGCCCATTCCAGAAGAGTTATGCAATCCAATTAAATTGATCATTAAGGTGCAGATAAAAGGAGGCCAAATCAAAAGATTTGTTTAGCGGGTCTGGGTGGTCCGATCTCCGATTGTCCGGAAAAGCGGGGTATTTATGACTACTCGGGAATTTGCCGGTCATATTTCCCATTAATGTCTCAATTTTTTGCAATTTATGAGCTTTGGGTTACGGTAGAAATAAAAGATTTTGAAAGAATATGCGTATTTTACAAATATTGGAAATTTTTTTGCAGAAAATTTTTTAGTGCAATTTGCTATCCAATCGACTCAACAATCTTTTTTATAACGCAGATTCAAAAAAAAATATTTTTTTTGGTCCCGCCACGAAAACTTGGAAAGTCGAAAATATTGGTTAAAACATGTCCAGACCATTTATGGGCTCTAATAATAAGACACTGATAATTTTTAAACCGATTTTTTGACTTTTCAAGTTTTCGTGGTGGGACCAAAAACGATTTTTTTAAATTTCGTATATTTGAAAATCGGTTTCCCAAAGGAAATAAAAACAATTTTTTTTCTCGTGTTTTCACATTTTATTCCACGAAAAACGCCTTGTTGCCAAGACTTTTTGGCCATAAATCTCGCAGACACGTAAATTTTTCAATTTGTTTCCAAGGATCTCTAATTTGCGTTTTTCGAATTAAAAGTGGAGTAATTTTAGGCTACAGTATCTTCGACTTGACTTTAAAATAGATTTTTTTTTATTTTTTGCATCGTGCAATAAGTTATATATTTCATTTGCACAGTGCAGACAAAAATTTTCTTGCACTGTGCATTTGGAAAATTGATTTCCGCACTGTGCAAGCAACATTTTTTCGCACCGTGCGAAAGTCAAAAAATTTCGCACAGTGCAATGGGAAAATTTATTTTTGCACAGTGCAAAATTTCTTGAATTCCATCGATTGCGACCCCGCACGGATTGCGACCCAGCATCGATTGCGACCCAAAATGGGGTAAAGCGACCCCGGGATGAAAATTCTTTGATTCTTTTCGGGAAAAACTTGCTTTAGGGGTTTTCGAGGGTGCTGATTTCGGAAATGATGTTCATTTTTTCTGAAACTTACTAGTTTTCCTTAAGCAGTAGTGTTAAAAAGTAATTTTTTTAAATTTCTCCAAAAATACTCGATTTAGGGGTTTTCGAGGATGCTGATTTCGAAAATGATGTTCATTTTTTCCGAAACTTACTAGTTTTCCTTAAGCAGTAGTGTTAAAAAGTAATTTTTTGGAATTTTTCCAAAAATACTGGATTTAGGGGTTTTCGACGGTGCTGATTTCGAAAATCATGTTAGCTTTCCTCTTCATAGTACTATCTGGTACTATACAGTGTAAGGTGAAAATATGGCTCTTGGCGTTAATGGTGTTGTTTTGATGCTTAGTACTCCTCAAAAACACGTTTTATATAATTGGTACTGTCTGGTACTATGTAGTACAAGGTGAAAATAGGAGTACTAAGGAACAGAACAACACCACTAACGCCTAAAGGCCAAATTTTTACCTTGTGCTACATAGTACTAGACAGTACCAAACAGTACCAATTATTCAAAACGTGTTTTTGAGGAGTACCAAACATCAAAACAACACCATTAACGCCAAATACCATATTTTCACCTCGTACTGTGTAGTACCAGATAGTACTATAAAGAAGAAAGCTAACATGAGTTTCGAAATCAGCACCCTCGAAAACCCCTGAAGCAAGTTTTTCCCGAAAAAAATCAAAGAATTTTCACCCCGGGGTCGCTTTACCCCATTTTGGGTCGCAATCGAGCGGGGTCGCAATCGAAGGATTCCAAATTTCTTCGGCACCGTGCAATCGAAAAAATTCTTGCACGGTGCGGGAAAATTATTTTTTAGCACAGTGCAATCAAAAAAATCTTGCACAGTGTAGTTGAAAAATCATTTTTGCACAGGGCAAGAAAATAATTTTTTTCGCACCGTGCGGTCGGAAAAATGTTCGCACTGTGCAAAAATTCATTTTTTTCGCACAGTGCATTCAGAAAAATCATTTTTGCACCGTGCAAAATTTTTTTTTCTCGCACTGTGCGGTCGGAAAAATTTTTGCACTGTGCAAAAATTCGTTTTTTTCGCACTGTGCAGTCAGAAAAATCATTTTTGCACAGTGCTAAAAAATAATTTTTTTTTGCGCAGTGCAGTCGAAAAATTTATTTTTGCACAGTGCAAGAAAATAATTTTTTTCGCACTGTGCGGTCGGAAAAATGTTTGCACTGTGCAAAAATTCGTTTTTTTCGCACTGTGCAATCAGAAAATTTATTTTTGCACAGTGCAAAAAAAATTATTTTTCAGTGCAGTCGAAAAATTTATTTTTGCACAGTGCAAAAAAAATTATTTTTCAGTGCAGTCGAAAAATTTATTTTTGCACAGTGCAAAAATTTCTTTTTTTCGCCAGTGCAATCGAAAAAATTCTTGCACTGTGCACAAAATCTTTAAACTTTTTTTTCAAATTGTCAACTCTCCATCATTTTCCATCAAATGCGCGGCCGGAAGAAAGGAAAGGAGGCCAACTTCTCCTCTGATTTACCTTCTCTTTGACACCTGTGCGTTCAATATTGCTTTAAACCGGTGCGAAGAAAGGCCGGCGCCCGGATTGACCTTTAATCGAATTATTACAGTGTTCGAATTGCTGTCCATTAATTTCGCAAATTACTGGGCGGTAAATTGGGGGCCCGAAAGGGTGCGGGGTTGCGCAAGAGGCAGATGAGCAATTTCGAAGAGGGACAGATGGCGCCGGAAACGACAGCATTTAACCTGCCTTCCGGCGACGGATGGATGGGATTGCGCCTAATTGGGGATGGCCGTTGGCACTAATTTTTGATTGAAATCATTTCAATTTCGAGTTGAAGGGGAGAATTTTGGGTCTCGCAGCGAAAACTTGAATTTGTCGCAAATGGATCGGAAATGATTAAAATTGAGATTTTCTTATAAGAACACTCCTAAAATACAAGAATTTTTATAGTTCTTCAATTTCAATAATTAAAAAAAACTTTTTTTTGGTCCCGCAGCGAAAACTTGAATTTGTCGCAAATGGATCGGAAATGATTAAAATTGATATTTTATTCTTGGTACACTCCTAAAATACAAGAATTTTTCTAGTTCTTCAATTTCAATAATTAAAAAAAACTTTTTTGGTACCGCAGCGAAAACTTGAATTTGTCGCAAATGGATCGGAAATAATTAAAATTGATATTTTATTCTTGGTACACTCCTAAAATACATTAATTTTTGTAATTTTACAGTTTCAACCACATTAAAAAAACTTTTTTTTTGGTCCCACAGCGAAAACCTGAAGTTGTCGCAAACGGATCGGAAATGATTAAAATTGATGTTATTGGCTTCGTAGATTCTTAAAATACAAGAATTTTTGTAGTTTTCCAATTCCAACGACATTTCTAAAAATAAATTTTTGGGTCCCGCGACGAAAACCTGAATTTGTTTCAACGGAACAAACAACATTTAAAATTGATTTTATTCACTCAGAATACTTTTAAAATACGAGGTAGTCAACCGTTCTTTTATTTCAATACCATCCAAAAAATTGATTTTGGGTCCCACCACGAAAACTTGATTTTCCAAAAATCGTCTAAAATCCGATTGAGACATTCTTTTTCACCCTCTAAAATAATGTTTACAACAATCCAATCTCCGAGCACAATAGATCTATAATTTTATTGGTTCTTTTAAAATTATTATGCATCCGTTGTGAAGTGTCTCAATGGCGATTTTCAAATGAGAGAGAAAAAAAAGAATGTTTTCGGTGGAATATACAGGTTCTAATCGCTGCAGGCGGGCGATGAGGAGAGTGAGGAGCTGGGCAAGAACTGGCCGTTGAAGGGCTCTTGGCCGAAGGGATGGCCGTAGTCGCCTGAGGGCACGTCCAGGGCCGGCAAGTCGCCGTAGGCTGGGGGGTTCACCTGAAAAAAGGCGTATTTTAGATATGAAGGAGATGAGATATAACCTTGAAATTTGAAATATACATTGTCCATAGAATGTATTTTATTTATCAGTTACAATTTTCCAAAAATATTCCCAAGTTTTCGTTGCGAGACCATTTTTTTAAAAAAGCAAAATTCTCCTAAAAAATCGGGGTTCACCTGAAAGAATTCGTATTTTAGATATGAAGAGGATGAGGTAGAATCTTGAAATTTGAAATATATATTGTCCATAGAATGTATTTTATTTACCAATTACAATTTTCCAAAAAAATCCGCATGTTTTCGCTGCGAGACCATTTTTTCAAAAGTGGTCGAAATTGCCGAAAAATTCAAAATTCTATAAAAAATCGCAAAATTTCTAATTTCAATTAATCACTACTACTTTCACACCCTCTAAACTTCCCTACAATCTCGTTAACCCCCAAAAATTCCCTCAATTTTTCGCTGTAGGACCTAATTTTCCCAAAAATCACCAAAATTCGATTTCTTTTCTCAATTTCCAAATTAAAACCCCTCTTTCGCGAAAAATTAAAGTCACTATTATGCCTATTAGATCATTGTTTATACAATGCGTCAAGGGCATCCAGGTGGGCAGGCAAAAGGAGCCGAGGGATTAAGGAAGAGTGCGAACAAGTTCGAAAATGTTGACACAGCTGCTGGCAGCGCGCTTGATTTCCATGCTATTTGACTTTTTGTGGCGTATACTGTACTCTACTCTCTGTTTCAATAGTCTGCGATCGCAAAATTTTCGATTTTTTTCAAATTTTTCAATTTTTAAAATTTTGGTCCACCCTTGCCATAGCTCAAATTTTTTGATAAAATATGCCTTCATAACATTCTTGCTTCTTTGTCTACAATTTACAGACTGTTCTTGGCTTTAAAACCATCAAAATCTCGCTTTTTCCCGAAATTTCCCAATTTTTCCCTCGTTTTTTTCAAATTTTCCGTTTCTCCCTTACCATAACCGAATTCTGATGGTAACTCATGTCCTGAGGCGGGGTGGGTGTTCCATTGCCCCATAGATTCGTCGACTGTTGGTATTGTTGGATCTCGATGGGGTGCATCATGTTGTTGTCGAGCATGGTGGTGGGCGAGGTGGCCATGATCGGCCCCACGCCGCTTATCCGGACGCCATGAAGGGCTTGTTCCTGCAAAACAAGGCTTACACTCATTTTGCAACGTTCAGTGACCGACTTGTCATATCGTTTACTGAGTGTCCGAGGGTATTTGGATATCCATGACATGCGGCTTCAGATGGCTTAGACATCAGAAATCGGAGTTGAAAAAATTGGGAAAAACTTTGCCGAAAATTTATGAAATTAAAAAAAATTGTTGGGAAAGGCAGGGAAAGCCTCGAAAATACAGTGACAGACCTGATCCAGGGGCAAAAAAGGTGCCATTTTGAGTCCGGGAAGTATCAAAAAATGTGGCAAAATCTCTCCTTCTCCAAGTGAAAAAACTCCGGCTTCAAAAAGCGCCCTTCAAAACGGAGTTTTTTCACTTGGAGAAGGAGGCATTTTGCCACATTTTTTCATACTTCCTGGATGCAAAATGGTACGTTTTTTGTCACTGGATCAGAATCACTGTATTTTAGAGGCTTTCCCTGCGTTTTCCAACATTTTTTTTGATTTTCAAAAATTTTCGGCAAAATTTTTCGCAATTTTTTCAACTCCGATTTCTGATGTCTAAACCATCTGAAGCCGCATGTCATGGATATCCAAATACTCTCGGACACTCAGTAAACGATATGCGTATCGTGTGCTCTCTCTTGACTTTATAAGACGGCCATCGTGGGCCTCTCATGTTCGGCATGCCATCTGCCGCGGACAAATAAAAAAAAAAAGATTGCGCGAAAGTCGGGCGCAGCCTGTTGCGAGGCCAGGTGATGCCTGCTCCTCTCCCTTCGACTTTAATTGCACTCCGCATTCAAGAATTAGACTTTTTGATTCCCTCAATTTTACGGTTCAGCGGGTTTGAAGAAAAAATTCACCAAAATTGGCGGAAAATTTGATGTTCCCAAACTGTAAATAAAGTCGAAAATAGGCTACTGTAATTGTTGTTGATGGTAAAATCATCTGATAAACTCAAATAACTCAAAAATTTCCATTTCAAAGCGTTGAAATCAAAATCAAGTTTTCGCACAGTGCAGTCGAAAAAAATTCAATTTTGCACCGTGCAAAGGGCAAAATTCTGCGATTTTCACTGTAAAAAGCAAAATAAAATCTGCGACAAGCACTGTGCAATATACCAAAATTCAATTTTTATCGCACAGTGCGGAAACCCAAAACTTTTTGTTTTCGCACAGTGCAGTCGAAAAAATGCAATTTTGCACCGTGCAAAGCCCAAAACTCCGCGATTTTCACTGTGCATCGTAAAACAAAACCTGCGATAAGCACTGTGCGATAAAACAAAAGTCAATTTTTATCGCACAGTGCGGAGAACGAATACGTTTTGTTTTCGCACAGTGCACGAATTAGGTTCGTATTTTTTGCACGGTGCAAGTGCCCTAAGGGGATGAAAAACATAATAGCGACAAAATTAAAGACCATTCATCATCCTAGACCGCGAAATTTATTTAAAGCATATTCTTGCACCGTGCAATTTAACTGTCTTTTCTCTGCACTGTGCAAAAAATAAAATTGCCCAAATTTCGGTAAAATTACAGTAACCTTTAGTCGAAATTGTTTACAAAATCTTCCTAGCTTCCCATTAGACATTCTAGTAACCGTAAGTTTTTCTATAACTTGCGCAATTGCCCTTTAAAATACGATTTTTCAAGTTTTTGGTCACTTATTCGCTCATTTTCGGTAATTGCCATGTTTTTATTCGACGATTGGGGCTTGAGAACTCTCGAGATGACCTCAATATTATTTATGCATTAGCCGAGACTACCCATTATTCCGCGGGGTCAAAGGGCACTTTAGCGTGCGTTAAAGAGAGTGCGATTTTTGAGGGTTTCCCCCCAAAACTCTGTAAAACAAAGCCTCTATATAACAAACTATTGGCTCAAAAAATTTTTTGCTAATTTTTCATTCCTCTCCAGCCATTTTGGTTCGGGTTTCCCGCATTTTCGTTCCAATCCCTTTTATTTTTTTATGTTACCGTAACCCCGGGTGTACATTCGAAGGCGAAGGAAAAGAGGAATGGCTTCGCATTAATCTAATTTGGTTGCGCCGCACTCTCGGCTCATTTGGGGAGAGAGGGAGAGAGACTGGTTCGAGTGTATAATCATGTAAAAAATGGGATATTGCCTCAGGGGAAAGGGAACCGCCACGGGCGAACGAGGCATACCGTATGGCTCCGCGGGGGGTTTGACCAAATTTGACGGGGGTTTAGAGTCGAAAAACCTCAAAAAACTGACAAAAATTTATCGCACCGTGCAGTGAAATCTTTTTAAAATTTTGCACAGTGCAGTAAAATTATCATGAAAAAACCGCACTGTGCGGTAATAATCGGCAAAATTTTGCACTGTGCGAAAAACAACAAGTCAAAAAAAGCACTGTGCAATCAAAAATATTGCTTCTATTCGCTGCACAGTGCGATAAATTTGTCATTTTTTGTCTGCACAGTGCAATGGACAAAAATGTCAATTTTGCACAGTGCAAACGACAAAATTACAATTTTTTTTGCAGCGCTCAGGAAAAATCTCATTTCCTATCCTACTACGCATTGCTTTCTTTAATACTGCAATTCTGCACCGTGCAATAACCACTTTTTTCGGCTGCACAGTGCAGCCAATAAAAATTTGATTTTCGCACACTGCAGTGGGCAAAAAAGAAAATTTTTTCGAAAATCGTACAAACACTCAAGTCTTCTCTAACTACAAAAATTTACTTTTCAAAATCACCATTCCGCACCGTGCAATAACCACTTTTTTCTTTTGCACAGTGCAGTCGAAAAAAATTGATTTTCGCACCGTGCAATGGGTGAAAAACAAAATTTTTTTGGAAAATCGTAGAAACAGACTATCCTTACTCTAACTGCAAAATTTATTTTCAAAAATCACCATTCCGCACAGTGCAATAACCACTTTTTCCTTTTGCACAGTGCAGTCGACAAAAACTCGATTTTCGCACCGTGCAATGGGCAAAAAAGAAATTTTTTTTTGCACAATCATAGAAACATACTATCCTTACTCTAACTACAAAATTTACTTTTACAAATCACCATTCCGCACCGTGCAATAACCACTTTTTTCTTTTGCACGGTGCAGTCAACAAAAACTTGATTTTCGCACCGTGCAATGGGAAACTGAAATTTTTTTTGGATACTCGTAAAAACACAACTAGTCTAACTCTAACTACAAAATTTATTTCTAAAAATCACCATTCCGCACTGTGCAATAACCATTTTTTCCTTTTGCACAGTGCAATCAACAAAAACTTGATTTTCGCACCGTGCAATGGGAGAAAAAGAACTTTTTTTCGAAAAGCCTTATAAACACGCTAGTTTTACTCTAATTACAAAAATTTTATTTTAAAATCACCATTCCGCACAGTGCAATAACCATTTTTTCCTTCTTCACAGTGCAATTTCCCAAAAATCCCAAACTTGTCGGCAAAACCCACTTTTTCTTGATGCTGTTGTTGTTCTCTTATGGCGTTCTGTTTCTTCTTGTCTTTGCAGCGCTTGTTCTGGAACCATACTCTTATGACTCGCTGGGAAAGGCCGGTTTCCGCGACCAATTTCTCCTTGGTCGAGGTGTCGGGCCGTTGGTTCAGTTGGTACATGTGTTTCAGGATCTGCAGCTGTTTCTCGCTGAGGACGGTGCGGACTCGCTGAATCTGCAAGGTTTTTCGAATTGAAATCGCGGCTTACCGGCTTGTCTTTTCGGGATTTCCTCGAATTCGTCGTCGTTTTGCGCGCCGATCCGTTCACCGAGCTGGTCGAGGAGGTGGATGACAACGAATCGGTGTGTTGATTTATCGATGGGAAGGAGGGGGGCCTCAGGTCGTCCTGGATGTCGGTTTTGCAGCTTTTTGAGTCCACAAAAAAATCGTCCGATTCGCTACAGCTGGCCTAAAATAGGCAAAAATTAAAATGAAAATGCTTCAATCACGCTGTAAAGGGTGTAAAAATTCAATCATCAAAGGTTTTGCACCTTTGGGTTACTGTAATTTCCCGCAAAATTCAAAAATCACCAAAAATTTTGGTTTTTTCGCCAAAAAATTGCAAAAAATCTCAAACTTCGAGTTAAAAACGACTGGTAAATCTAATAAATTTCAGATAGATACTATTTCCAGACTATTTAAATACTTTTTCCGGGTTACTGTAACATTTTTCCCCGTAAAAATTACAATTTTTTAAAATTTTTTCCAAAATTTTTAATTTGAAAAATTTCCAAAAAAAATCATCAAATCAAAAAATTTTCTTTTCCAAATTACTCTCTACTCTTTTATGCATCCCATAAAAGCGAAATCCCAAATCAAACTTACCCGAAAACAGTCGTTGGGGCAGTAAATTTGGCCCGCGCCCTTGGCGACGAATTGCGTGCCGGGAAGGAGTTGTTGGCCGCAATGGAAGCACGAAAAACAGTGCTGGTGGTAGAGGCTGTCGCGCACGCGCATCACCATGTCCGTCGGCCCGAGGGGACCTTCGCAGCGTTGGCATTTTCGCGAAAATGACCTGAAATGCGGGGTTTTTACGAGTTTTCGGGGAATTCTTTAGAATTTTGCAAAAATTAAGAAAGCACAGCGTATTCTAGGAAATTCAAAGTGCTCTAAATTTATTTTTACATAATTAGAAACCCTTTTAGATCTTTATTTCGCCTTATTTTAGCCCTTAAACTCAATTTTTCGACTAAAAATCCAAATTTTCGGGGAATTCATTGGAATTTTGCAAAAATTAAAGAAGCAAAGCGTACTTTAGGACACTCAAACTATTCTACATTTATTTTTACATCATTTCAAACCCTCTTAGACCTTTATTTCATCTTTTTGACCTTATTTTAGCCCTTAAAATCAATTTTCCGCCCAAAAATCTAAATTTTCGGGGAATTCTTTAGAATTTTGCAAAAATTAAGAAAGCAAAGCGTATTTTAAGAACCTCAAACTACTCTACATCTATTTTTACATAATTAGAAACCCTTTTAGATCTTTATTTCACCTTATTTTAGCCCTTAATCTAAATTTTTCGACTAAAAATCCAAATTTTCGGGGAATTCTTTAGAATTTTGCAAAAATTAAAAACGCAAAACGTATTTTAAGAACCTCAAACTACTCCACATTTATTTTTACATCATTTCAAGCCCCCTTAGACCTTCATTTCACCTTTTTTTCACCTTATTTTAGCCCTTAAACTGAATTTTTCGACCAAAACCCAGATTTTCGACGATTCCCAAGTTTATTACCGTATTTTAGGCCCTCATCCATACTTGTTGCCAAATTTACTTCCTCTTACATCAAATGCCGCTCAACTTTTTTGCGGTTCCGGTTGTTTTTCGGTCAACTTTTTCGTTGCGCAACCCTTTTTTCCTTTTTTACCGTATGCCGAAAACACCGACGGAAATGGCAAAAAGCGGCATGCAGGAAGGAGAGGGATGGTTGCGTGTGGCTATGACACCAGACTCTTGCACTCCCGACCTTTGACATGACTTTTTGGGATACGGTAAAAAAGCGATTTTCGTGGGAAATAACGCGTTTTTTGTGGTTGAAAATAAAATAAGTTAGTGTAAAAAATCGACAATAGTATATCGAGTTCGTATTTTACCCATAAACTTTATTTCCAAATGCGATTTCCAGCTTTTAAAAAAAAGTTTTGGTACCGCCACGAAAACTTTTGAAGGTCGAAAATGGGGTCAAAAACACTCTGGAATTGGCGGAAATGGTCTTCTGGGACATTTGGATCAATTTTTATTTTGCATTTTGTATTTTGTCGCGCTATTTTTCAACATCTTCATCAGCAATCGTCATAAAAAACAGTTTTTTTTCTTATCAATTAAAAAAATTTTTATAGTTTGAGTTGGAGTTTTCGAGCCCGCAGACACTGTATTGTAGCCTGTTTTCGGCTCAACCTTTTCCCGGGGACCTCTAATTTTGGTGCGCCGCAAAGGAGTGCGACTTCTCTGAGCGTGAAATCGACCTCGCGTGTGTGTGTCCCCTGTGATCTGAAATCCGACGCCCTTGAATAAACTCTCTGTCAACTGGACCCGAAACACACTCACACGCGAACAATAAGACCTGTGTCTCTTTTTGCGGGTAACCTTTCCGGTCAACAAGTCCAGCGGAAAAAGACAGGGGGCCTGGTGGAAAGTCTCGAAATTCTCTCGGTTTTCGGTGCTCTCTCAAAGCGAGAAAATTACAGTAGCTTCTAGAAGCATTCGGCTAAATTTTAGGCCCATAAGGGCTCCACTAGCTAGCTTTGGGAAAAAGTTATGATCAATTTTTCATCAACACCCAATATTAACCATGACAAATCAAAAAATCTCGAATTCTCGAAGATTCCGAAGGATCATAAAATTTCAAAATTACAGTATCCTCTCAACATGTTACGTCCCATTTTAAGCCCATAAGGACTCCACTAGCTAGCTTTGGGAAAAAGTTATGATCAATTTTTCATCAACACTCGATATTGACCATGACACATCAAAAAATCTCGAATTCTCGAAAGCCCTGAAGAATCTTCGAATTTAAAAATTACAGTATCCTCTCAACATGTTATGTCCTATTTTGAGGCCATTTCCAGACAGCTAGTTATGATTCCAGACCATTTTTGAACTTATTTTTAAACATCACTTGATATTAACCATGACAAAACAAAATCGCTTGTTTCTCAACGAATCCATCGACAATCTCACATACTTTTCTTCTAATTTAGGCTGTCAGGGGCTTAAAATCACATAGCAACAATAGTTTTCATAATTTTTACATTTATCCCTGCTTAAATGTAACTTTTTTCTTCTCCTTACTAATCATCAGAAATTCAAAATTCATCATTTCTACTGAAGAATACAATAAGCCAAAGTGCAAAAACACATTTGGACTTATTTCTAATTCATTACTTTCACTCAAAATTCACTCAGCCACACAAGCTGATGAGGCTTATGAATCAGAGTTCTGCACGGTGCGGCTAATGAAATGCAAAAATTAAGGTGGCACTATGTCGAAAATGGATATTTTTTCAAAAAATTAAAAGTAAAGGCTCATACCTTGCATCATAAACGTATTTAACTCAAAAGAATTTCAAATTTTTTATATTATCCATGTCATGGATAATATAATTTTTGCCGTTTCCTTTGCAAATCCCTCGATTTTTTGTCGAAATCTGACCGATCTTTGCTTAATACTCTCCAAAAATTGCGCAATACATAACTTTTTTGCATTTCCGTAATTACGGGGCGATATTATACATGGCCGGAGCAACAGCTCGATATTAAGAGATTAGGACATCCTGAAAAATGATCCGCTTTGGTTTAGCCGATTTGTGCGTCCTGAGAAGGTTTTCGGGTTTAATTTTCCCTAAAAGCCTTCAGCCCAGCCTGCCCGCGACCTCTCGGATTTCGGCGCGTTTTGCGCGAAAACAGGCGAAAGAGCGCGCGGTTCGCGGAGAGCGCCGAGAGCGCAGACGAAGGACAAGGGAGTGGGAGGAGAGCGCCGAGAGCGGCGAGCAGGTTCGGCCGGAAATCCGCACCGGAATTCGGTGTGTTTGTTTGGACTGGACCGGCCAAAACGAGAGTCGTGGGAAGTCTACTGTTTCAGGTTTCCCCCAATGTAATCCTAGTGTAATCCCCACGCTACGGACGGCATCCGCCTCCGAAACCCGAGAACCGGGACAAGTTTTCGGGACCACATTATATTATACTGGGATTGATGACCGAAAAAGGTCGAGAACTGATCGGAAAGTTTTTCGAAGCGCTTGAAACTTATAGTGTACAATTCAAATAGCATTGTAAATAATACCGCAAGAGCGTTTTTGGATTGGCCAAGCAAAAAATCCAAAATCGAGAAATCTTTTCAAATAGGTACCTAAAATCAAAAATCGGGCCAGAACAGAAGTCTTATATAAAAATTATTGCATTTTAAACAGCCATAAGATTAGTTGCTTCTTAATCTAGTTAAAACCATTTTTTACCTCCTAAAATACGGCTAAAAATCAGGTCAAAAAGTCGATATTATCCATGAGGACCCATCTGATGTCTAAAATAAGGTTTTTTTGGCAAACTTCTGGGTCAAATTTAGAGCTCGATGTCTCGAAAAGACGCCCAGACCCTTAGGCTAACTAAATCAATCTTTTACCTCCTAAAATACGCCTAAAAATCAAGTCAAAACCCGAAATTATTCATGAAGACTCACCTCAAGTAGTCGTCGCGGCAATAAGTCCTTCCATTTCGCACGAAGACGCTGCAACTCTCGTCCAGCGGTCGTTGGCAGTCCACACACTGAAACGAACGTTGGGATAAGACCGTTCCCGGCGCGAAAAGAGCGTATGGAACGGGGAGAGCGGCGCGAGAAACGAGCGGGCCCCGACCTTCACGATTGATTTGGCTACGGGACTTCCGGATGACCGCTCGCCCCGATTATTGTTGTTTTTATTTGTTGTTTTGAGGGCCCGCAGGGTGAAAAACAACCGGAAGAAATTGAAAATTTGGGAAAATCGACAAAAATCGGGCGAAAAATAAAAAATTTTTTTTTTATTTACAAAAATACGGACTTACCTTCAGGCAATTGATGTGGAATTCGAAATTAGGCTCTATTCGAAGGATATATCGGTCGGATATCACTGAAATCAAAAAATTTTGAAAATTTGCATATAAAATTTTTTTGGGAAAATTCGTATTTTAGGATTTTTGAATAACGAAAAAGTTGTGAAAATGGTGAGAAACCAGTTTTTAATGGCTATTTTTGAATTTGGCATTCGAAATTGGGCCAAATTAGGCGAAAAATTAAAATTTGCATATTTAAATTTTTTGGAAAAATTCGTATTTTAGGATTTTTAGATATCAAAAAAGTTGTGAAAAGGGCTCAAAACCAGTTTTTGAGGGATAATTTTCCATTTGGCATTCAAATTTGGCCCAAAAAATTAAAATTTGAATATTAAAATTTTTTTAAAAAAATCGTATTTTAGGATTTTTAGACATCGAAAAAGTTGTGAAAAGGGCTCAAAATCAGTTTTTGAGGGATAATTTTCCATTTGGCATTCAAATTTGGACCAAAAAATTAAAATTTGAATATTTAAATTTTAAAAAAAAATCGTATTTTAGGATTTTCAAATATCCAAAAAATTGTGAAAAAGGCTCAAAATCAGTTTTTGAGGGATAATTTTTTATTTTGCATTCAAATTTGGCCCAAAAATTAAAATATTCAAATTAAAAAAAATTTTTTGAATATTCAAATTTTTCCAAAAAAATATAATTTTAGCCTCCGAAATGTCTAAAAATAATTTTTGATGACAATTTCGGTAGCCGCCAGCCTGCAATTCAACTGGGCTAGCCCGCCGTTTGCGTCAAACTGATATTGCGCTTGAGCGGGCGCCGATCGAGGCCCCCAAAATTATCGGAGAACAAACAGAAATTTCGCAAGAGTGCAGTCTACTTACTCTTATTGCAGAACGCACAGACCGCTGCCATCGGCGGTTCGGACTCTGAAAAAACACGGAATATAAAGGGTAATATAATATGGGGGAATACGGGGCCGGCAAAAATCTGATTAATCAAAAATATTACTGGTGCCGAGGGAGGGGGCTGGATGGAGATTTGAGGGCGAAAAAATTTTTGGAAATTTGAATAAAAAAAGAGAAATTTAAATTTTTTCGAAAAATTTTTAAATGATTTTTTGCTCTAAAATACGAAAAAAATTAGAAAAAAATGTAGGTATTGCCTCAAGGAGTTGTAAATGCTCATAAATTACTATAATATGTTACAAAATTTGCATAAAAATTTAAAAAATTTGGATTTTTTCAAAAAATTTTAAATTGAATTTTCACCTAAAATACGATAAAAATCGTGGAAAAACACTCAAGTATGATGTTTAAGGATCTTAATTTAGTAGTTACAACAATTTTTTTAATGATTTTCCAAAAAATTTTAAAATTTCAAAATAAATTTTTTCCAAAAATTCGCGAAAAAATCAGCAAAAATCTCAGAAATAGTCTGAAATAGGCCTATATAACTTTTAATTACTATTTCCAAGCTGGATTTTAAAAAATTTCGAAGAAATCTAAAAAATTTTGAAAAATCATCAATTTTTGGCCAAAAAATCCATTTTTTTGCTAAAATACGGGCTCAAATTTGAGAAAAATTATATGCCATAGGATTAAGATATAATTTACAGTATTTTTAGATCATCAGATTTTAGGAAATATTATATAAAATTGGGGAAATCCACGAATTTCCCTTATTTCCCTTTGAAACCTCCACTTTTTGCAGATTTTCCCAAAAAAGTCGGAGAAAAAATAAAGAATTGTCCTCTTCCCGGCCTTATCAAGGGCTGTTTAACTCTTCCACACTTTGATGACCTGCGAAAAAATGTTTTTTGATCGAAAAAATTTGAAAAATTTTTCCAAACATAAAAAATTTTTTTTAAATCCCCTCCCTCCAAAGGGTTGCCCTGAGGCGGTGGGGGAGGCAAATGGTCAGATCGGGAGAGCGGGGCCGTCGATAAGGCCCGCGAATTCCAGGACCCGCGTTATCGGGGCGATAAGAAATTTTTATTTTTGGCGAGTTTTTTCAATAAAAATTTCTTTTTTTTTTATTTGCGTCATATTGCCTGAGGCGTGGAATGTGATAAGCAATTTTTGCGGCGACTTGTCCCCAGTTTTCCGCATTTTGCAGCTTCCAGTTTTCGGGGGAACGCACCTCTGCCCGCAGGGGATAGCCCAGCCCTCAGCGAACCTTGAGCTGAGCTAGTGATAACAGAGATGATGATTGTAGGATAATCAAGCATTTTAGACTCCAAATTTGAGTTTATATTATTATATAATTGTAAAAAAAAAAATTAAAAAAATAAAAAAAAAATCGGGATTTTTCGAAAAATTTAAAAAATACAGTATCCCAACATTACTGAAAATTGCTAGTAAGCCCTCAAAAAAAGTTTTGCTATTAGGTTGGCAACTAAGTTATTGAAATTTTTTTTGCATTATTCCACAGACCTTCTTAAGTCAGTATGGCTAGTATCACACTATCCCACCTGTAGTAGGGTTAGAGTACTATCAAACCCAGAGGCATCGAACTCGCAGCTCGCGTGTTGGTGCAGTACCATGAATTTGAATAAGAGCAATTTTGAGTGGTCATTTTGCAGTGCCATGCAATGCCTTTAGAACTCAAATGACATAATGCTAATGTACAACGTTTACAACGTCAGGACACCTTCAACAGTCTTGTGATAACATTTTGTCCCAAAAGGATCAATGGAAATTATTACGACTTCGCTTAAAATTAGGCGGTAGGCTGTCTTTCAAGGTGTTGCACGAGACGCTAAAGAAGGCAGCGCGGTTAACTCTTCGGGTAGTGACAGAGCTATTCACTACGAACCAAATAGTAGCATAAACCGTCTTCCTTCTTGGAGCATGACATAAAGTCGCGACCGAATTTATCTTCATGACCTGCCTAGTGGCTCCCAAAAAGTTAACCGAGTAGTTGCTATTTTTTTCCAAGACCTTTGTGCCGCTGATAAATCTAGGACCCTGAAAAGGGATGTCTATTCTCTTTGTTAAAAACCCGTACAGGAGCCAGCGAGCTTAGGCGCGGTATTCTGAAGTTAAGGCCGAAGAGACCCTTTATACCCGATGAAAGCATTTTTAAAGATTTTAGGAAATTTTTTAAGCGCTATGCTCTCGGGAAAATTACCAGCACAGAGTATCACTCCTCCGAATATGTTTACATGGGAGATAGAAAAGATTCGGGCTGCGAGCAAAACGAAATCTAGAATATCCACTTACGTCGGGATGCCTGTTTGGCCCGATAGAAATAATGATCGTAGAAAATTATCAAACAGTCCGAATAGACTTTCCTTTCTTGAGTGTTGTGAAGTACTTATGTTACTCTCTGTGTCGGATATCACACCCATTTGGCTGCGTACGATCTAAGGTATAAAAACTTCAGTATAACAGAACATCTAGAAACCGGCTTCATGAAATCTTCTAATTGTAAGTTCCCTGGTTTCTGTCTTGGTGGCGCCACTGCACATTCAGATGATAAGGCTTGTATTGTTGTTACTAATAGTGGGTATTATAGTTGTTGACTGCCAAGCCTTTAAAGGTTGTGGCAAAAAGAAAAGCAGTCAAAAATTTCAATAACTAAGTTGCCAACCTAATACATTAAAAATCCGATTTTTTGGTCGAAAAATTTCGATTTTTCAACTTCTCCCAAATTTTAAATTTTTTAAAAAAAAACTAAAAAATAAAAAATTACAGTATCCTAAAATTTCCACAAATTACTAGTAAGCCCTCAAAAAAGTTTTGCTACATTAAAAATCCGATTTTTTTGGTCGAAAAATTCGAAAAGTCTCGATTTTTCAACTTTTCCCAAACTTTAAATTTTTTGAAAAAACTAAAAAAATTTGAAAAATACAGTATCCCAAAATTACTCAAAATCACTACTAAGCCCTCAAAAAAATTTTACCACATTAAAAATCCGATTTTTTGGTCGAAAAATTCGAAAAATCTCGATTTTTCAACTTTTTCCAAATTTGAAATTTTTTAAAAAAATAAAAAAAAAATTGAAAAATACGGTATCCTAAAGTCTCTAAAAAATTTTTATCAGCCCAAAAAAATTGTCTAAACACCTATAATAAACACTTCTTTGCAAAAAATTTTTTTTCAATTTCCAATTTTTTTTGAATTTAAAAAAAATAAAAAAAAATTACAGTAACCCAGAGGGCTCCAACATCCCTAATAAGGGTTTTATACTCTCCTAAAATCAAAAACACATCCCATTTTTGCTATTTTTCCCCCAAAAATCCCATTTTTCCAATTTTGGAAATTCTCAAATTACAGTAATCCAAGAAGTCTAAAAACAAGGTCAATGGTTCAAAGACGTATGTAAACACAATTTTTGACATTTTCATTTCAAATTTTCGATTTTTTCCCTCAAAAGTAACTATATTATACTAGGCAGCTTGGAGATGTTAATTATGCCGTAAGTCGGTTTTAATGGGCCGGAAAAAGTTGGGAATGGCGTAACAAGTCGTAAAAATACGACATGCGAAATTCTGAGTTAAAAATTACGACAAAAATTGGCAAAAAAATTTCGGCCGTTTCGGCCGAACGTCCAAAAAATCTCGAAATCTCGAAAAATCCAAAAAGAAATTACAATTCCCCTGAGGCAAATCGTCTTATGACGTGGTAAACGGTTTACAAAACTGTAAAAAGTAGAAAAAATGATTAAAAGTAGTGAAAAACTTGCTGATATTCATTTCGTAGATGTTCGAATAGCGTTGAGGCGAGTTTTTGTCGCTGCAGACGCCCGAATCGTCGCCGTTCATGTGATGCGATGGGTTTTCGAGCCACATCGGGGCACCTAATGTGCTCATCGCGGCTAAAATACGGATTTCAAAAATTCGAAAAAATTCGAAAAATATGAAAAAAAATCGAAAAAAATTTGAAAAAAATATTAATCAACCCGAAAATGTCGAAATTAAAGATTAAAAATCCTAAAATACGGATTTTTAATTTCTAAAATACGAAAAAAATTTTTTTTTTAAATAATTTTTTTTTTCAAAAAAATCTCAAAAAATCAATTTTAATACCTAAAAAATTAGTTTTGACCCTAAGACTACAATTTTCCCTTCAAAAAATCCCAAAATCCATTTACAACCCCAAAAAAAACCCGGCGGCTTAAAATACGCGATAAAAATGCGATTTGCCCTGCGGCGATTAGTCACGATGATTAGAATCGAAGGCGCTGCAAATCCCCAACCCCATCCATCCGTCGCCGAACCCCCCAAATCGACTTTCCCCCCGGCCTTGGTCCCGAGTGGGCGGCGCCTTCGGCCGGCCCTCTCACCCCGCGCCCGCTCGACGCTGATTGGTCGCCCTCTTCGTGCGGCAGGCCCCGCCCACGAAGGGGCCTTTTGCGCGCGGTTTGGGCGAGGAAATCGGGGATTTTACCGTAGAAGCGGCGGAAAGTCGGGCTCGAAATGTGTGAAAAGCGTCGAAAAAAGGGTTAAACCAGTTAACAGCGGCGGAATTAGGTTTGAGGCGAGCTCCGATATTACACTAGAGGCTCGTGGTGATTGGATGGGAAAATTTGGAAGGTGTCTGTGTAAAATACGACAAATCATAAAAAAAAGAAAAAAAAATAATTTTTGGTCGCTTTATTTTTGATTTTTTGATCGAAAAATTTTGAAATTTTCAAAAAATCTCAAAATTAAAAAAAATGATTTTTCGTCGAAAAAATGTGGGAAATCGACGTAAAATACGGAAAATAAAAATAATAATTTTTTTCTGCACCATTTAAAGACTACTGGAATGATTTTTGATTTTTTTTTTCGAAAAATTTTGAAAAATTTCAAAAAATTAAAAAATTATTTTCAGTCGAAAAAAGTTGAAAGATTATGGTAAAATACGACAAAACACATTTTCCTCTTCTAAAAAATTTTTTTTGACCCTAGACTTCTATTTTTTTATTAATAAAATAAAAAAATTTTCAAAAATTTCAATTTTCAAATTCAAAAAATCCCAAAATAATTTACCTCTCCAATACTTCATTTCCCCTCTATTCAACCTAAGATGATGAGGGATGATAAACGAGGGAGAAATGGAAAGGGGGGGGGGCGGACAAAAGGTGCGAAAATGAAAAGAAAAATGGAAAAGGAAGCCGTCCGAAGGTACCATTTACCTCGCTAAATCAAAACACTCTTATTATTTGTGGCCTTTTTGGCCATAGAGTCGGGCCAAATTCAAAAATTCCCGAAAAAATCCGTCATCATGACATATTTTAGATATGTCATTATGACGGATTTTTCGATTTTTACTTGTCAAAAATGTCTTGTTAAGAGCATAAAAATTATAAACAAATGATTTGCATTTTTTTCCACACCCAAATATGTTGTTTTGGCTTCATTATCGAGAAATTACCGCAATTTTTTTCCGATCGGCGCCAATCTCGACGCCTGATATAATCTGGCGAGAAAGCGGGGCTAAAGACGCTAATTCATTCTTGGGAAGGGGTACTGTTGTTGGAAAACCAAAAAAATCGCAATCGTTTTGCCCGTTTTGGCCAAAAAAGGTGAAAAACGGGCTGCACAGTGCAGTTTTTGGAAATTTGTCGATTGCACTGCGCAATCAAAGCTTTTTTGGGTGAAAATTTAGATTTAGATTGCCTAATGGGCTACAACAAAAATGCGATATTAATTTTTCCAGAACTTTCCCTGAGGCGGCGAAATACGAGAAAATAGGAACTCCGCACAGTGCAGTTTTTGGAAATTTGTCGATTTCTCTGCGCAGTCAAAACTTTGTTGGGTGAAAATTTAGAGTTAGATTGCCTGAGGCTCTACAACAAAAGTGGGAAATTCATTTGTCCAGAACTCTCCCTGAGGCGGTGAAATACGAGAAAATAGGAAACCCGCACTGTGCAGATTTTCGAAATTTGTCGATTGCACTGTGCGATGTAAATCTTATAGCAACAAAAAGTTTTGAGAAAATAGCCGGAGGGCTTGAGTAAAGAAATGGCAAATTTATTTGACCAAAAATTTCCCATAAAGAAGTAAAATACGAAAATACAAAAAATCTGCACTGTGCAGTTCTCGAAAATCCAATTGCACGGTGCAGACAGAGTTTTGAAGGAAAAAATTTTTACTATAGCAATTGGAGGAGATGAAAACCACTTTAACAACCATAAACGGGATTTTTAGATTCCAAAATACGGGTAAAATACGAGTTAAAGAGAATTGCTAAAAAAATTGAATTTTTTTATTTTCGATAAAAAATGATCCGTATTTCAGAAAAGAAAACATTTTTTAAGCCTCAGACCCCTCTACAATTCACTGTATCTCATTAAAATGTATTTATGTATGCGTTAAATGACATTATAACGCGTTAAATTGCACCAGCCAGCTTAACCCCTTGCTTCCGGTAAGATTCCCGCAAGCCCCCACACAGAGGCGTAATATGCAAATTAAATGAACAATAGGGTAGCCGGGTTGCGTCAGCCCACCTGCATTTGTTTCCGTTTTTTCGTCGGCCCGAGGAAATTTTTTGGGACTTCCGCACTGTGCACTCCCATTTCCCAGCAGAAAGTGGCAATATTTGGGTTCAGCTTTTCCTCGGGGTGTTATGGGTGTGAAGACATTGTAATTTGGATAACAACACAAGCATTTGGCAACATTGCATTTGAGTTTCAACGGGAAATTTGGAATTTGAAAATTTTGCACTGTGCAAAACAAAAAATCGCTCTGGATCCGCGCTGTGCGGGAAGAATTGGAAAAGCAAATTTTGGAATTGATTAGAAGGGATGATATAACACTGGTATTTATTTGAAATTTATTTTTCACTTGCACTGTGCGCGAAATTACAGTTTCTTAAATTGCACCGTGCAAAAATGAAACTTCTCTAAATTGGTGCCGTAAAATGTAAAAATATATAGATTTTTACCACCAAATCTTCTGTAAAGACATCTATGATCGACGAACATCGCTATTTTCTCAAGGCACTTGCCGCACAGTGCGAAAATCCCTCATATTTGCACTGCACTGTGCAAAACAAAGAAATCGCTCAGAATCCGCACTGTGCGGGAAAAATTGGAAAATCAGGTTGTAAAATTTATTGTAAGGGATGATATAACACTGCTGTTTATTCGAAATTCAGTTTTTCACTTGCACTGTGCGCGAAAGTACAGTTTCTTAAAATGCACCGTGCAAAAAGAAAATGTCTTAAATTTTGTGGCGTAAGTGTAAAAGTGAATAGATTTTTACCACCAAATGTTCTGTAAACACATCTATGATCGAACAACATCACTATCTTCTCAAGATACCCATCGCACAGTGCGAAAATCCTTCATATTTGCACTGCACTGTGCAAAACAAAGAAATCACTCTGGATCCGCATTGTGCAGGAAAAATTGGAAACGCAAGTTTTAAAATTTTTTATAAGGGACAACATAACACTGCTGTTTATTCGAAATTCAATTTTTCACTTGCACTGTGCGCGAAAGTACGGTTCCTAAAAATGCACAGTGCAAAAAGAAGATCTCAAAATTGGTGCCGTGAAATGTAAAAATATATAGATTTTTACCACCAAATCTTCTGTAAACACATCTATGATCGAACAACATCACTATCTTCTCAAGATACCCATCGCACAGTGCGAAAATCCTTCATATTTGCACTGCACTGTGCAAAACCAAAAATCGCTCAGAATCCGCACTGTGCGGGAAAAATTGGAAAAACAGGTTTTAAAATTTATTGTAAGGGATGATATAACACTGCTGTTTATTCGAAATTCAATTTTTCACTTGCACTATGCGCGAAATTGCAGTTTCTTGAACTGCACGGTGCAAAAAGAAAATGTCTCAAATTTTGTGCCGTAAGACGTAAAAATGAATAAATTTTTACTACCAAATATTCTCTAAAGATGTCTAATATCGTACAACAACACTTATTTTTCAAGATACCCATCGCACAGTGCGAAAATCCCTCATATTTTCATTGCACTGTGCAAAATCAAAAATTCCGAAAATCCGCACAGTGCGTGAGAATTTGGACAAAAAAATTTCGAAACAATTTCGTGAGCAGCCAACCACAAGCCGATTATCGCGCATTTACCGTAAGTTTTGAGAATTAGCGATAAAATCAACAAAAAAGGTGAAATCTAATTAGTTCATGGGGGGTTAATCAAGGTCATCGCTGCTCGCAGGGCTTTGTTTATTGTGACTAAAATGATGGGAAAGCATTTTTCAGTGTCTTTTGTATAGCAAAAAGTTGAAAAAATGTGGGGAAATTTTGAGTTTTCATCAATTTCGGTATAATTTTATATTGTAATAGGCGTTTTGGATGTTCAGTTTGTGATTTGGCGCTTGAGAGGGGTCGAAATTTAATAAGAATTTCAGAAATTGCTACTAGAACATATAGGGGTATCGTATTTGACCAAAAAATTGGCAAAAACTATAGAAAAATTCGAAAAAAGGGGTTTTTTGGCGAAAAAACGGGTTTACTCTAGATTACAGTACCCCAAACTGCACAAAACTTAATATAAATCTGCTCTGTATACGTTGAACCATCTGTATACCAAATAACAACCTTGTCACGAGCATATAAATATCTAAAATACGAAGTTTTTCGCAAAAAGTCATCAAATATTTAAAAATGATGATTTTACTTAAAAATTCCCTCAATAACTGATATCACCGGCTTATATACGTCTCATTTTATTCAACAATCCACGCTATTGCTCTTTTCTGCCATCGGAATCACCCAAATCCGGGCTACCGTAGCCCGCGATCAGTTTAAAATTGGATTAAAAACGGCTTCGAATCGGCGATGAGTCAGGCCGAAGATCAATCTCCACTCTCTCTCCACTCAATTACGCTCCATTTGACCTGGGAATGCGATCATCTTGCCCGATACACCCGCAACAATTATCTTGGGTCTGATCTGAGGTCCGGAAACAAAACGGAGTTCAGCCGAGTTTGCGTTGCGGATTAACAGGTCGAGTGGCGACTGCCGGTAAACGGATTTATGATGAGGTCGTAGCTCGCTGGAATTGCCGGATTGAATGGGCAAACAAGGAGGAATGAGTGATTATATTGTAGTAGGTCATCAATTGGAATGTTGGTCGAAATCAAGTGACCCTTTGACTTTTTCAGATAAAAATAGATTTGATAGGCATCTACAGTACTCTGTCTTTCCATCAGAATTTTTTTCCGGAGAAATTCCTGAGATTTCTCGTTTTATGGATAAAAACGTGAAATCTTATGAATTGCCAGTTTAGGGGTGAAAAACGTAAATTTTTGAAAAAGAAAATGTGAAAACCGGTAAACGGATTTATGATGAGGTTGCAGCTCGCTGGAATTGCCGGATTGAATGGGCAAACAAGGAGGAATGAATGAGTATATTGTAGTAGGTCATCAATTGGAATGTTGGTCGAAATCAAATCATCTTTTGACTTTTTCAGATAAAAATAAATTTGATAGGCGTCTACAGTACCCTGTCTTTCCATCAGATATTTTTTTCCGGAGAAATTCCTGAGATTTCCCGTTTTATGGAAAAAAACGTGAAATCTTATGAATTACAATTTTATGGATGAAAAACGTAAATTTTTGAAAAAGAAAATGTGAAACATTACCGTGAAGGTAATATACAACCATTACTATATAAATTTTTTTATTTTGTTACAGTAACCCAACATTTTTTACAGTAATCCACATATGCACGGTGCACAAAAAAAATTATTCAAAAATTCGAAAAAAATTATTTTCATGGTGTGAAAACATGTTATGATTACAAGGGATATCTTATTGGCATGTTTCAAATGTCATTTCCTCATTTTATTTTGCAATTTCGCACTTTTTCCAGCGAAAGGAGGAAAATCACCGCTCTCCAGAATGATTTTTGCCCCCAAATGAGCGAAAATTCGATTTTCATGCAAATTTTCCCCAAAATGTATGAGAATATTATTCAAATTTGATTGTATTTTTTTTCGTGGGATATAAGGAAAATTTTCAGAAATTTCGAATTATTCACGATTTGGCCACAACCCCCGACCGGCCGCATCTTCTTGTCGCCTGACCATCGACCATGCAGAATGAAACCATCAGCCAGTTGGATAGGAACTTTGAGATGTAAGTCGCACGGTGCGGAGCGAGAAACAGGGAGTTTGCACTGTGCAGACGAAACTTTTTTATTGCACTGTGCAAAGTATGCGACAATTTGAATGAATAAGCTGCACTGTGCAGACCAAAACTTTCGTTCTGCACTGTGCAAAATATGCGACAATTTGAATGAATAAGCTGCACCGTGCAAACGAAACTTTTTTTTGCACTGTGCAAAATGTGCGACAATTTGAATGAATAAGCTGCACCGTGCAGACGAAGCTTTTTTTGCACTGTGCAAAATGTGCGACAATTTGAACGAATAAGCTGCACCGTGCAAAATTTTTTTGACGCAAAAGTTTGTTTGCACAGTGCAATTTGACGAAATTTTTTTTGCACAGTGCAAAAGAAAGGGAATAAAATTTGACTGCACAGTGCAGAATCATTTGATATTTTTTCGCACCGTGCAAAAGAAAAGGAATAAAATTTGACTGCACGGTGCAAAAAATAAAGAGTCGTCTGCACCGTGCGAAATTTTTTTGACGCAAAATCTTGATTGCACAGTGCAAAAAAGAAGGAAAATTTTACTGCACAGTGCAGAATTTTTTGATTTTTTCGCACAGTGCGGGTTCTAAACTTTCAAAAAAAAAAAAATTTTTTTTTCCAAAATACGATTCGATTTCAGCTTGTCCGCCGGCCTGGCCATTTTTTTGGCGTTCATGTTCTTTTATTTCGTCTCCGTCGGCGTTCTTTATTTTTATTTGGCCTTGGTTTATCCACAACGCAATCGAAAAGCGCCCGATCAGGATGATTCCAGCCTAAAGAGGACAGAGAGACGGGCCAAACCTGCCGAAAATTTCATTGAATTGTAAGTTGAGAGATTTTTTAGGGGAAAAAATTGAAATTTTAGGGAAAATAATTGAATTTTAGTGAAAATAATCGAAATTTTAGGGAAAATAATCGAAATTTGTGAAAATTATTGGAATTTTAAGGAAAATAATTGAAATTTTAGGGAAAATAATCGAAATTTAAGCAAAAATAATCGAAATTTTAGGGAAAATAATTGAAATTTCAGGGAAAATAATGGGAATTTTAGGGAAATAATCGAAATTTTAAGGAAAAGAATCGAAAATTTAAGCAAAAATAATTGAAATTTTAGAGAAAACAATTGAAATTTTAGTGGAAATAATCAAAATTTAAGCAAAAATAATTGAAATTTTAGTGGAAATAATCAAAATCTTAGCGAAATTAACCAAAATTTATATTATTTTAGTAAGAAAGCGACGTATCAAGCTGTATTTGATTGTCCCAGAGAACATTGCGACACCCATTCTTTGTCCGCGAGCACTGAATACGCTTCCAAGCATCGAGAAATGAGCAGAAAGGTGGGGAAATTTGTGAAAAAGGGATTGAAAGTTGAAAAAGACCAAATTTCCAAGAAAAACTCGGCGGAAAAAGCTGGAAACCAGGTGAATTTTAATTTTTTTACAATTTTTTTTTATCTAATTTTTTTTTTTATTTTTTTTTATTTTAAATTTATTTTTTATTTATTTTTTATTATTTTTATTTTTTTATTATTGTTTTATTTTATTTTTTATTATTTTTATTTTATTTTTTTTAATTTTTTTATTATTTTTTTTTATTTTTTATTATTTTGATTATTTTTTTATTTTTTTTTAATTTATTAAATTTATTTTTATTTTTTTTTATTTTTATTTTTATTATTTTTTTTTATAATTTTTTATCATTTTTATTATTTGTTTTTATTATTTTGTCTTTTTCAGACCGAAAATGCCCCCAAAAACGTTCAAGATGACCAAAATTCGAAGAAAAAGTTGGCCGAAAACAGCGAAAAGGACGTTCAAGTCCCGGAAAACCCCCGCGAAGAGCCTCCGAAGAACCGCCGATTCACGGGAATGGTCAGAAATGTGGACGACAATCTCTCGGATGCGCCCTCCTGGAATGGCAAAGAACCCGCGGCGTTGGCGTACTTCGGACCCGGCGCCGAGAACGGGGAGTACGAGTCCAAGACCATCACCAACAGCAGCAGCCCCAACTTTACGATGAAAACGGCCAGAATGTGCTCGCCCAGACAGTCCACTGGTACGGTTTTTCTAATTTTTTATTTAATTTTTTTTATTTTTATTTTATTTTTTTTTTATTTTTTTAATGCACCGTGCGGAAGCAGCGACAAAAATTTTTTTTTGCACAGTGCGAAATTTCGATTTTCAATTTCATCGCACCGTGCATTTGCGACAACAAATTTTTTGTTTGCACTGTGCGAAATTTTGATTTTCAATTTTTAATGCACCGTGCGCCAGCGACAAATTCTTTCTGTTTTGCACAGTGCATATTTCGACTTTCAATTTCATCGCACCGTGCATTTGCGACAAAAAAAATTCTTTTTTTTGCACAGTGCGAAATTTTGATTTTCAATTTTTAATGCACCGTGCGCCAGCGACAAAACCTTTTGTTTTTGCACAGTGCAAATTTTCAATTTTATCGCACCGTGCGGAAGACCAGCGACACGATTTTCCGCTTGCACAGTGCGAAATTTCGATTTTCAATTTCACCGCACCGTGCATTTGCGACAAAAAAATTTTTTTGCACAGTGCGAAATTTCGATTTTCAATTTCATCGCACCGTGCATTCGCGACAAAAATTTTTTGTTTGCACTGTGCAAAATTTTGATTTTCAATTTTTAATGCACCGTGCAAAGCAGCGACAAATTCTTTCTGTTTTGCACAGTGCAAATTTCGACTTTCAATTTCATCGCACTGTGCAAAGGATCAGCGACAGAAATTTTTGTTTTACACTGCGCAAAATCTCGATTTCCAATTTTCATCGCACTGTGCAGTGGGTCAGCGACAATTTGCACAGTGCGAAATTCCGACTTTCAATTTTTTTACCGCACCGTGCGGAGAATCAGCGACAAATTTGTTTTTGCACAGTGCAAATTTTGACTCGCACAGTGCGAAATTTTTTTACCGCACCGTGCGGAGGATCAGCGACAAAAAATTTTTTGTTTTGCACAGTGCGAAATTTCGATTTTCAATTTTCATCGCACTGTGCGAAGGATCAGCGACAAAAATTTTTTTTTGCACTGTGCGAAATCTCGATTTTCTTTTTTTATCGCACCGTGCGGAAGACCAGCGACAAAAACTTTCGTTTGCACAGTGCGAAATTTCGATTTTCAATTTCACCGCACCGTGCAAAGTGTCAGCGACAAAAACGTTTGTTTGCACAGTGCAAGTTTTCTATTTTATCGCACAGTGCAGAAAATCAGCGACAAAAACTTTTGTTTTGCACTGTGCGAAATTTCGGTTTTCTTTTTTTATCGCACCGTGCGGAAGACCAGCGACAAAAATTTTCGGTTGCACTGTGCGAAATTTCGATTTTCTGTTTTTACCGCACGGTGCAGAAAATCCGCGACAAAAACCTTTGTTTTGCACTGTGCGAAATCTCGATTTTATATTTTTTTCGCACCGTGCGGAGCATCAGCGACAAAAACGTTTGTTTGCACACTGCAAAACCCTTTTGTAAATTTCACCGCACTGTGCGAAACCTTTGACTAATTTTTTGCCCTTTTAGCGACCGCTCCTTCCTCCACTCTGCTGAACACTTCCAAATTGAACTCGTTGGCTCTGAATCAGCAGCAGGAAGTGTTGAAGACGGCTCAAACTTCGAGTCCAGCGGATCCGGCCGAACCTCCCAAAGTTGCGAATGGAAACGGCGATCAACCTCAAACTCGGGTGCCGACTCACCCTCAGACTGGCCCGTTGAAGCCCAAAATGTACCCGATTCTCCGGCCATTGTGACGCTCATACAGAGCTGAAGTTGTAACCAAAGTTTTGTAGTGGTTCTTGGAATAAATTATCGTATTTATCCATGGATTTGAACTAATTTTCGAAAGCTAGCTGGCGTTTCTGCAGCCCTTGTAAATTTCATATTTGCTGGTTTTTACGGCGTCTTAGCCCACCTTCGTTTTACGGCGGCGGATAATGAAGCTTATGGCTACGTTACTGGAATTATTCTTTGGACTTTAAAAAGCTTTTTGAATCGCAAAAACGCAGATTTTTTTTTGAAAAATTAGAAAAAGCCCTTATTTTTTGAAGTCAGTGCCTCTGCTCGAATTTTTATTTTGAGATCAGCCCATTTTTCGCAAACAAAATTTTTTTTTGCACTGTGCGACAATTTAGAAGGGCAATTGCACCGTGCAAACGAAACCTTTTGTTTTTGCACTGTGCGGACAACTGTGAACCCACGGCCGCAATAACGACATTGGACCCCGACCCGCGCCCTGACACGAAGAGATTGAGAGCCTTGGCATTCCGCCACAATGATCGAGAGAGAATAGGAACGCTGGAAATGAGGACAAATTGGTGAAAGAAGCAGCGCTGTGAGCGGTTGGCCACAGTTGCTAGAGGACGTTATTATATTATATTGATCTTGCGGCCCTTCGTTTGGCCATATTGTGAGGAGAGGTGTTTTACTGAGGATAAACGTATTTGGCGGTTTATTCGGTGATTGTTTGTATTGGCCTTTGGGAGATTGTCCCTCTGGCATTTGTAAGGGGCAAGTGGTTGAATCGGTTGGAGGAGACCCTTGTTCCCAATCAACATTTTTTTTGCACAGTGCGAAATGTGCGATTGAAAGGGAACTGCACCGTGCAAACACAAAAAAAAAAATGTTTTTGCACTGTGCGACAATTTAGAAGGGCAATTGCACCGTGCAAACGAAATCTTTTGTTTTTGCACCGTGCGCAATGTGCGACTGAAAGGGAACTGCACAGTGCAAACAAAAACATTATTTTTTGCAAAATTTGCGACAATTTGAAAGGGAATTGCACCGTGCAAAAACACGATTCCCGCACTGTGCGTTTCAAAAAATGTTTTCGCACAGTGCAGATAGACAAAATTGTGAATGCACAGTGCGAAAAAATCCGACTTTTTGCACTGTGCGATTTTTTGTGTTTTTGCGCAGTGCAATTTTTTGTTTTTGCACCGTGCAAAATGCGCGACAATTTGAAATGAGTCAACTGCACCGTGCAAAAAACGCGATTCCCGCACTGTGCGTTTCAAAAAATGTTTTCGCACAGTGCAATTTTTTATTTTTTTCGCACAGTGCCGAGAGACAAAATTGTGAATGCACAGTGCGACAAACATGATTTTTTGAGCCGTGAATTTTTGTGTTTTTGCACAGTGCAATTTTTTTGTTTTTGCACTGTGCGAAATGCGCGACAATTCGAATAAATCAACTGCACCGTGCAAAAACACGACTCCCGCACTGTGCGTTTCAAAAAATGTTTTCGCACTGTGCGGTTTTCATTTTCAAATGTTTAACAAAAAGCGGTCAACTGTAACTTCTGTTTTGCAAAACTTGGTTACAGTAATTGCATTTCCAAATTACACCAACATCTCGGGAATGAGATTACTTTTTACGGGGTGGCTTGTAAAGCTCGTGGGTTGTGAGACATTAATCTTTTTGTCTTTTCGTTCCTCGATGACATCGGCACTGTACGTTCCCCGAAGCGCAGGTGGAATTGTAATTGCAAACTCCCAAAAATAGGATTACGGAAAGAATAACGTAAAAGCCATCAGAAATTCGGTCCAATTTAGCAAGCTTTCAAGTGTAATGAGCCCTAATTTGGGCTGTAATTGGAAAATTAGCCTTTTTTTATAGCCTTTATTCGCACAGTGCAAAAAAATTTGTCGCTTTTGCACCATGAGATGCCGTCATCATTCCGCCGCACAGTGCAGACAGAAAATTATTTGCACAGTGCAAAAAATTTTTGTCGCTTTCCAATTTGACTGCACAGTGCAAATAAAATAAATGCTGCGATTTTTTGTCGCTTTTGCACTGTGCGATGTCATTCATCATTGAATGATTGCACTGTGCAAAGAAAAATGGTTATTTTTTCGCACCGTGCAGCAAGAAAAGGCTGTTTTGAAAAGGTTGATGTTGCTTTTGCACTGTGCGACGATAATTTTTTCGCACCGTGCAAAACTTTCTTTTTTATTTTTTCTTTGCACCGTGCATCATTTCCAAATTTTTTGTGCACAGTGCAAATCTTTATTTTTTATTCTTTTGCACTGTGCAGCTGTTCCGAAGTTTTCCCGCACGGTGCAAAACTCTCTTTTTTTCTTTTTTTCTGCACCGTGCAGCGAGAAAAAGTTGTTTTGGAAAGTTGATGTCGCTTTTGCACTGTGCGATGATAATTTTCCCGCACAGTGCAAATCTTTCTTTTTTTATTTTTTTTTTTTTTTTTCACCGTGCATCATTTCCAAAGTTTTTGTGCACAGTGCAAATCTGTCTTTTTTATTTTTTTTGCACCGTGCATCAGTTCCAAAGGTTCTTTCCTTTTTTTATTTTTTTGCACTGTGCAAAACTTTCTTTTTTATTTTTTTCGCACCGTGCAGCAGGTCCGAAGTTTTCCCGCACCGTGCAAATCTTTTTTTATTCTTTTTTTTGCATCGCTTTTTCACACTTTTATCGCACAGTGCAAAACTTTTGTTTTTTGTTTTTTTTTTGCACCGTGCATCATTTCCAAAGTTTCATCGCACAGTGCAAACCTTTCTTTTTTATTTTTTCTGTACTGTGCATCATTTCGAAACTTTTCCCGCACAGTGCAAAATTTTCCAAAAATAAATTGCACTGTGCGGAAGCAAATTTTTAACAATTATTGTTTCAAAAGCAAAAACAAAAACCGGGCCGGATTAAAATTTCGACAAATTAATCAGGAAGTGAGCGAGTCACCCACTTTAAAAAAAGAAGCCATGCGGGAATCCCGATCTTTGTCCAATGAGAATTCGTTTTTTTTGGCGTAATTCACAAAAAAATGAATACATAAATACGACGTATTTTACGTAAAATCCGTGCAAACTTATATGGTCCACTTCCGCAAACATCACTTCATGGAGTATCACAGTATTTTTGAAAGTGCATAGACATTTTTCTGCTCTTGCACAGTGCATCTTGAACTTTTCTCTGCTCCGCACAGTGCATCTAGAAGTTTTTCCCACGCTTGTCGCCCCTGCACAGTGCATTTTCCCCTTTTCGCACCGTTCAAAGTGCAGAGCTCCGAAAAACCGTTTGCACAGTGCAAATGTTTGATCATTTCCTTCGTGTCGCACAGTGAGTGCATTTTGAACTTTTTCCCACGCTTGTCGCTAACGCACAGTGCATTTTTCTCTTTTCGCACCGTGCAAAACTCGAAGAGGCCGCTTGCACTGTGCATCTCGAATTTTTCTTCGCTTCGCACAGTGCAAGTTCAATTTTTTCCCACGTTTGTCGCTAATGCACAGTGCATTTTTTTTACTTTTTCCCACGCTTGTCGCTTACGCACAGTGCAATTTTTTTGCGCACCGTGCAAACTTCGAAAAAGTTTGTTTGCACCGTGCAAACGCTTGGTCATTTTTTCCGCTTCCGCACGGTGCATTTTTTACGTTTTCCCACGCTTGTCGCTAACGCACAGTGCATTTTTTTCATTTTTCTTCTTTTTGCACTGTGCAGTGCGAAAAATTGCGGCAAAAAGTCTACGCACTTTATGGAAACGCTTGTCGCAGCGATATTACCTTTTTACTTTTGCACGGTGCAAAAAGTAAAAATTTAAATTTAAAAAAAATATGCTTTAGGCACGGTGCCGCCCACCAAAAAAGTCTACGCACTTCTGAAAGATCGTAATACTAATCTAATACCTGTCGAAAGCTTTCCCCTTTCAATCTTTGACATTGTTTTGGGTATTAGGAAGCATTGTTTTGGGAGAATCAAAAGTTACTAAAAGACGGGATTTATCATTGATGCTTTAGTCGGATTGAACTCATCAATTTCGTTTTGTCAATGAATTAGTCAATCTTCCCATTTTTTTGCACTCTGCAGAGCGACGATTACAGTCGCACAGTGCAGGTAAACAAATCATCGCACCGTGCGGTCATGTAATTAAAAAACTGCACTGTGCAATGGACCGGCGACAAATTTCAAAGACTGCACTGTGCAAAAAGTCTTTTCGCACGGTGCGAAGATCATAAACGTAAATTGCACAGTGCATAAGGTCCGCGACAAAGATTTTTTTGCACTGCGCATTTCGCCAAACAATTGCACCGTGCGAGCCTGAATTGCACAGTGCAACGGGCCGCGACAAAGATTTTTTGCACTGTGCATTTCGACAAACGATTGCACCGTGCGGTCTTGCAATGAAAACTGCACAGTGCAGAGGGCCGCGACAAAGATTGCACTGTGCAAAACGTGAACTGCACTGTGCAACGCCAAAAAGATCGCACTGTGCGGGTCCTACAATGAAAACTGCACAGTGCATAGGGTCCGCGACAAAGGTTACACTGTGCAAAAAGTGAACTGCACTGTGCGATTAATCAAATAGTCGCACCGTGCGAGCCTGACGATAAAAAGTGCACAGTGCATAGGGTCCGCGACAAAGATTTTTTTTTGCACTGTGCATTTCGACAAACGATTGCACCGTGCGGTCTTGCAATCTAAGTCGCACAGTGCAACGGGCCGCGACAAAGATTGCACTGTGCAAAAAGTGAACTGCACTGTGCAAAAGCCTGCAAGAAAGATTGCACTGTGCGGGTCCTACAAGGAAAACCGCACGGTGCAAAGGGCCGCGACAAAAAATGCACTGTGCGGTTCCTACAATGAGAACTGCACGGTGCAAAAAAAATCTCTTTGTTCCGCACAGTGCAAAATTAAATTATTGTTGCACTGTGCGGATTTTTTTTCATATTTCCCATTGTGTTCTCGCTATTTATTGTTCCCGGAGGCTCATCCGTGACCCCCAAGCACTTGTTTCGTGGAATGGGTAAACATTTTTTTTGTGGAATATTCAAAATGTCTAGTCAAAATTTTAGATGCCAAAAAAATGTAGATTTCATAAGAAATGAAGTGAAAGTCGGATTAAACATGCATTGCATTATAGTTGGACATTCACCTTCCGGCCCGTTCTCTGAGATTCGCCGCCTGCAATTCCAGGGAAATGACATGGCGCCGCATTTACCATGCAAGTTCGCATAGAGGCGGCAGGAACCCGGTTTCTACACGGAATGCACTACGCACTTGGGCTCTAAAAATAGCCGCAGGTCTTATGCAAGAGTTCCGTTGGAACAAAGAAGATATTTTTGGCGGGTAAACATACCCAAAATAGAGTATTTGCGAAATTTTTATGAAAAAATTTTGGAATAAAGGAAGTCTAGTCCGAAATTCCATTGTTTATACTTTTTTCAGCGTAGTGGAGACATTTGGAGGCTTTTCAACACGGTTTGCACCCTTGAAACAGAATGCCAAGAATGGCGGGAATTTGAAACTTTGAATGTTTTTTGTTGGATTATATTAATTAAATCATCAAATTAGCCCTGCAAAGCGCTAATTAGATGGTCGTAAGCCTGGCCGTCGTATTTTAAAATATTTTAAACCCTTGAAATACAATGCTAAAAAATGGCGGGAAACTAAAAATTTAAATTTCAACTGGTCGGTGTGATTATTAAGCATACTATTCGCGTTACAAGACTACTTATAGTGGCATACGACGTATTCTACAGTATTTTAAACCCTTGAAACAGAATGCCAAAGAATGGCGGGAAATACGGAGTTTGAATTTTTAACTGTCGCTGTGGTTGTTAAGTAGACTAATCGCATCACAAGACTACTTATAGTGACTTTTGACGTATTCTATAGTATTTTAAACCCTTGAAACAGAATGCCAAAATTGGCGGAAAACTAAAAATTTAAAATTTCAACTTGTCGGTGTGATTATTAAGCAGACTAATCGCGTTACAAGTCTGCTTACAGCGGCATACGACGTATTTTACATTATTTTAAACCCTTGAAACACAATGCCAAAAATGGCGGGGAATCCAAAATTTGAATTCTTAACTGTCGGTGTGGTTGTTAAGTAGACTAATCGCATCACAAGACTACTTATAGTGACTTTTGACGTATTCTATAGTATTTTAAACCCTTGAAACAGAATGCCAAAATTGGCGGAAAACTAAAAATTTAAAATTTCAACTTGTCGGTGTGATTATTAAGCAGACTAATCGCGTTACAAGTCTGCTTACAGCGGCATACGACGTATTTTACATTATTTTAAACCCTTGAAACACAATGCCAAAAATGGCGGGGAATCCAAAATTTGAATTCTTAACAGTCGGTGTGGTTATTAAATAGGCTAATCGCATCACAAGACTACTTATAGTGACTTTTGACGTATTCTACAGTATTTTAAACCCTTGAAACAGAATGCCAAAATTGGCGGGATATCAAAAATTTGAATTTTTTGCTGCGTTGCATTTGTCACGGCCCGCACGGTGCACAAAAATTCGCAAATTCTTGCACCGTGCACTCACCTCTTTTTTGGTTTTGCACAGTGCAATCGACTTTTTTGAGGTTTGCACTGTGCGGAAGCAAAAAAAATGTCCAGGAACTTTGTGAAAATACTATAACTCCCCGGACATTTCTGAGAAAGGTACAGTCTTCCCAGGTTTGCCTCCAAGAAAATACGTGAGAATCACTGCAAAAACATATCGTATTTTCAATGAATTCTTAAGGTTATTTTGGTCGTTGGAATAAAAAATTAACTCCGTCATAAACTTGTAACATTTCGGTAATTGGATTGTGTCACCGCCGACTCCTTGGTAACTCAATTCCAGTCCAAAATCCTTTTCTAAACAGACGAAAAAGGCGAAAAAACGGATTTTTGCACTGCACTGTGCAAAAGTTTGAAAATTTGTTTTTGCACTGTGCAAACTAGTGGATTTTTTTTGAAACTTGAAAATATTGTAAAGAGGGCTCTAACATACGATGCCAACGTATATTTTCTTGAAATCTGTGTATCTTCGCCGATTTTTTAACCGAATTTTTTACTGCACAGTGCAAAAATTTGGAAATATGTTTTCGCACTGTGCAAACTGGTGGATTTTTTTTGAAACTTGAAAATATTGTAAAGAGGGCTCTAACATACGATGGCTACTTTTATTTTTTCTAAATTTGTTTATCTTCGCCGATTTTTTAGCTGAATTTTTGACTGCACAGTGCAGAAAGTTGGAATTATGGTTTTCGCACTGTGCAATCAGGTGGATTTTTTTCGAAGTTTAATAAATATCATAAATAAGGCTTTGACATACGATGGCTACTTTTATTTTCTTTAACTCTATGTATCTTTGCCGATTTTTTTATTCAATTCTTCACTGCACTGTGCAAAAGTTTGGAAATAAGTTTTCGCACTGTGCAATCAGGCAAAAATTTTTTTGAAACTCGAAAATATCATGTAGAGGGCTCTGACATACGATGGCTACTTTTATTTTTTCAAAATTTGTTTATTTTCCCAGATTTTTTAACTGAAATTTTGACTGCACTGTGCAAAAATTTGGAAATAAGTTTTCGCACTGTGCAATGTGGCTGAAAGCAAAAAAAGATATTTTAGTTATAAGAAAACAGTTTTAAAATACGTTGCAGCATGAATTTACATCATATTTTTCTTCTATCATTCGGTTCCGCGACAAATTTTCAACTGCACAGTGCGTTAAAAAGAAATTGAATTTTGCACTGTGCAAGCGTGAACTAAAAATCAAATCTTTTAAAATCTGATAGAAGAGAGTGTAAAATACGTATAGCCATCTCGTTACTTCCCTAAAAATTGTGTATAATATCCATTTTTATCCAAAAATTTATTGCACAGTGCAGTCAAAAAAAAGTTTTTTTTTCTTTTTTTTTTTTAATTTTTTGATTGTGAAACGTATTCTACAGGTTTTTTATGGCCTAAAATACGGATTCTTTCGATTTCTTCCACCAATTTTTTCTTCGAAAATCTAAAAATTTCAAAAAAATTTTTTTATTTCAAAATCAAAAATTGGCCAAATTTTTTCGTTAAACATTGCTAATTATGCATTAGCACTGCAAATAACTTGACCAGAAACCCTTCTCGCAAATTAGAGATTGAACTTTTTGGCCTATTGCAATATAACCTGTTCCGTCGCATCGAAAATTCATCGTTAACTATAAACACAAATATTTTGGAGGGTTTTGGAATTTGGAATTGGCTGCATTTCGTATCAAGACTTGCGAAAATTAGAGATAAAATCATCGGAAATTGTTACAGTATACTTTTTTATTTTTTATGGAATTTTTGAGGGTTGTTTCTGCATAACGCGGTTTGAGATTTTTAGAATTTCTTAATGGGGCTTTAAATTTTATTTTCTACAAATTTCAAAAAAAAAATTTTTAATTTTAAAAAATTTTTATTTTCAAAAATTTCTGCATAACGCGATTTAAAATTCTCTAAAACGCCGTTAAAAAATTGAAATTTTGTTTTTAGAACGCATGATTTCGCAAAATAATCTTATTTCTGGATCTATTATATGTTACAGTAACCCTTTCGAAATTGAACTACCGTAATCTCAAAATTTTATTTTACCATGAATTTCTTGACCAATTTTGCCCTTTATTATTCACACTTAACCATTCTATGACATAAATTCTCAATTTCCCAACCGAATTTCGCAAAACCCGGGTTAAAGTCCAACTCAAAAGTTACAGTAACTCTCCCAGGAATGGTCTCCGCCCCCGACCCACAAAACCCATTCCCACCGCGCGATGTCATCATCATCATGCATGGGCGATTCGTACGAACGAATTTCGGGGCAGGTGTAAAAAGTGGGCGGAGCCTGTTTATTGGGGGGCCGCTCTCGGGCGCGGCGCCGAATGGGCCGCATTTCTGGCCAGCCGCCACACCACCATCATGTCGAGGAATGTGCACCGGCACACGCTATTGTTTTTGTTGCTGCTCAGCGGCGTCGCCGCGACCGCCACCAAGTTGTGCGCGCTGCAGCCGTGGATGTTGCATTGCCGGAATCGGGTCTACTTTGTCGCCTACGACCACGCGCAGCCAGGCACACCGGGTAAGGAGAGGGTCAATTTTAACAATTTTAATTAAAAAATAATTTTTGGCCATCAAATTTGAGGTTTTTTCGCATTGTGGACGAAATGTCAAAATCAATAATTTCGATTTGACATTTCGCCCCCAATTTGATTGAAATTTGGGACAATTCCTTTAAATTACATGTAAATTAGATATTAAACTCTTTTTTTACAATACGTAAAATGTCAAAAATTTTTGTAACGAAATGTCAAAATCAATAATTTCAGTTTGACATTTCGCCTCCAATTTCTTCAAAATTTGGGACAATTTCTTTAAATTACATGTAAATTAAATATTAAATTTTTTTTGTCATACGTCATAATGTCAAAAATTTTTGTAACGAAATGTCAAAATTTAAATTTTTAACATTTCGTCACAAATTTTAAATTTTAGCAAACGTCTATGGGTTTGATTTTTTTTCCAATTTTCAACTCATTTTTAACCACTTTTCTCAACAAAAAATCTCAAATTTTCCGAAACCCCCCTTTGCACTGCGCAGGTTTAAAAACTTCATTTTGCACAGTGCATTTTTCAAAATTCTCCTCGCTCTCTATCAAATTCACACTGTAAATATTTTTGACACATCTCATGGTAATTTTGCATGGTAAAAAGTCCAGCCGCACCGTGCAAAAACCCCACCTTTCTTCTGCACCGTGCAAAAATTTAAACTTGTCTTTTCGCACCGTGCAGCTGTGTTGCGACAAACTTTTCTCCAAAGAAATTTTGCACAGTGCAATCAGTGAGTTTTGCACAGTGCAAATTTTTCATTTTTACACCGCACTGTGCGAAAAAAATAAATCAATTTTTTGCACTGTGCGGTAATTTTTTTTTTTGAATTTCATGCAGATTATGGTAATTTCGTATTTTAAAAAAGTAAAAAAAAAAATTTGTAAGTCCTTTTTAGCCAATGCCATTCAAAATTTTTGTGTTTTTTTGCTGATTTCTCAATTTTTTTTTTCCAATGACTTATAATCCTATTGTGATGGCCCAAGCTAAACCCCAAACTTTCCATAGCACTCATATATCATGTTTACTAACCTTTTTCGACTATTATGACCAATGTTTGCCCTCAAATCGGCTTTCTTTTCCAATTATTTATATTACACTAGGCAAATTGAATCAAAAATCGTCAAAATGTTGTCACTACTACTATTCAACCACCCTAATTAGGAAGTATATAGGCTCTTACAACTTTACGAACTTTTATGAACACCAATAAGTAGGGCAAACTCAATTATATTACTTTATTTTTCCTAATCCACCAAGTCTAATATAATTGCCAAAAAGTATTATTAATCGTACGAAAACTTTGTAAAAATAGAGGTGACCATCTTTTTTGGACCTTGTAGACTCTGTAGAGGCTATTTTTGGCCCACTTGCAGGTACTTGCCCTCCGGGGACAGCTGTTTTCCCAAAACTGCAGAACCCCATTCGTAAAGGTTTTCGAATACAAATTGGGTGCGGAATTGCCGAAAATAGCCGAACAGGGAGAGTTTCCGCCGCACTAAGCTGTTGTTTCCGCTTCGTAATAACAGTTGCGTATTTTATGAGGTGTTTTTTGGACCTAATGTCATGGATAATATAAAAATGTCCTAGAAAATGGGCAAAAACAATTCAATAACACTTTTCGACGTATTTTACAACCAATAATACCATTTGTCACCATTCCGCACCATTTTCCCGGCTCTTGCGACGCCTAAAACAGAATGCCAAAAATGGCGGGAAATTTGAATTTTTGAATTTTTCACTCAATTCTACTTGTAAATTTATAGTTTATATAGCTAATAGCGACTTTAACTTCAATTTAAACAGCATTTCTGGCTAATTTTTTTTTGAAAATTCAAATTTCCCGCCATTTTTGGCATTCTGGGAAATTTGAATTTTTCAAATTTTTCACTCAATTCTACTTGTAAATTTAGACTTTATATAGCTAATAACGACTCTAACTTCAATTTAACGCGCATTTCTGGCTAATTTTTTTTGAAAATTCGAATTTCCCGCCTTTTTTGGCATTCTGTTATACCTGCCGTTTTCAAGTCCAAACTGAAAATGACCTTCAGTAAGTCATTTTGACGTCTCAATAAGCTCTAATTTACATATTAAACCCAATTTTACAATGTTTTTCCGCCCTCTCCATGGCCTTTTATTTCAAAGACCACTGTTTTAACCCCGCTAATTCCCCGACTTTGCATTGCTCTTTGTCCTTTTGTCCTCCCTACTATAGTGGCCACTCTAATCTGGACAGGTACGTTTCGAAATTCCAGGAATGGAAGTTTTCTCCGCCAAAATTAGCCGCCGAAGCCATGAATACTAGTCGCGACATAAAGTCCTGACACATTTTGCACCGTGCGAAAGTTCGGGGTTTGGACGTCGCACCGTTCATTCTTCTTTCATTTCATCCGCACTGTGCATCTTTTCGCATTTGTCGCCGCGATTTCCCCTTTTTGCACTAGCGACGTGCAAAACCCGAACTTTCGCACCGTGCATTCTTCATTCATTTCGCATTTGTCGCCGCGATTTCCCGTTTTTGCGCTAGCGACGTGCACGCGACAAACCCGAATTTGGGGGCGCGACGTCCAAATCCCGAACTTTCGCACGGTGCAAAATGTGTCAGGACTTTATGGCGCGACTAGTAGGCATTGTTTGCGTGGCCTGTTGGTGTCTAATGACGCCGACTTGCGATTATTGGAACTATTATATTCCGAGTACGGGGAATTCCGTAAAAACGCATGTTTTGGAGCCTAATCCGACAATTTTTATAGGCGTTGCACTGTGCAATCAAATTATTTTGGATAAAAATAGCGGAAATGAAGAGATTTTTTTGGGAAAAGATGTTGGATATCGTATTTTACCAACAAAATTTTTATTTTTATTCAATTTCATACTAGCTAATTGCCGCCTGCACTGTGCAAAACTCACTTTTAAAAATTTCGCACAGTGCAATCCAAATTTCTTTCAAAAAACCGGCGACAAAAGGAAAATTTTTGAAAAATTGAAATGCTATCGTATTTTAGGAACATCTATTTGTTATTTTTCAAATTTCAAACAAATTCGGTGATTGCACTGTGCAAAACCTTTATTTTTTAATTTTTGCACAGTGCAATCCAAATTTCTTTCAAAAATCGGTGAGGGAAAGAAAATTTTTTAAAAATTGAAATTCTATCGTATTTTAGGAGTCTTTTTTTCCAATCGTCTTATTTTTTACAATTTTTCAACCCACTGCACTGTGCAAAATCCTCTTTTTTAATTTCTGCACTGTGCAATCCAAATTTCATTCAAAAAATCGGCAAGGGAAGGAAAATTTTTGGAAAATTAAAATGCTATCGTATTTTAAGAGCCATTCTATCCAATCTTTTTGTTTTTTAAAATTTCATACCCCACTGCATCGTGCAAAATCATCAATTTTATTTTCTGCACTGTGCAATCCAAATTTCTTTCAAAAAATCGGCGAGGAAAGGAAAATTTTCAAAATATGGAAATGCTATCGTATTTTAGAAGCCATTCTCTTCAATCTGTTTATTTTTCAACTCTTCACAACCCACTGCACCGTGCGAAATCCTCAATTTTAATTTCTGCACTGTGCAAACTTCCTCAATTTTCTTTTGGCTCTCTCTTTTCCAATTTCTTGACCATTACAGCTCACATAAAAGTTAAAGTACCAAAAAAGGTCTTCTGCTTACCCTTTTATTGTTCGGCGGTCATAAGACTTGGGTATTAATGGACTTCCGGGAAGGAGTTCCGAGACATTCAAAAATTAATTGCACCACAAAAATTATTAGCGCTCTTTTTGAGACGTTTTGGATGTTTATAGATCAAGAAAAACTTTTGAAAAAAAGAAAAAAAATTTTTTAATTTTGAAATTTTTTATTGTTTTTCTGCATAACGCGATTTAAAAATTCGAAAAAAATGCAATGAAAAAATCAAGAAAAAAATTTTGGGCAAATTTTTCGGCATTTTTTTGAGTTTTTTCGAAATTTTTCCGTATAACGCGATTTTTCTGCATAACGCGATTTTCAAAAAATTTCAAAAATTGTCTATTAAATTAAATTCTAATTTTTATTCATTTATCCATTCATAATTTGAAAAAAAGCGAAAATTTTTTGTTTCTGCACAACGCGATTTTCTAAAAAACCCCTCTTTTTTGAGTCTAAAGTAATTTCTAAGGTAATCTACGACAATTTTCGTCATTTTTATTGACTTTAAAAACCAATTTTACCTCTACTTTTTACATATACATATACTTTGTTACAACTTTTTTATCGTCTGACAAACCCCACAAAATCAACGCAAAAATGCAATTAGTCCGTAACAGAATTACCAAACAATATTTCTGAACACAATTTGATTCCATTCTTTTTCCAGGTTTCCACGCCAAACTCGCTCCGATGCTCCGGCTCCGGCGCTCCGAACACGCGCAGACCGCCGACAAGAAGGCCGAAAAGTACGACTTTATCCGGTTCGGGCGGCGGAAGCGACGATGAACCATGTTCGATATTAATTTAATTTATTTGTTCGACCTTTTGAGGAAAAAATATTTAAATTTTTTTTTGGAATTTTTTTTAAAATCAAAAAAAAATTTAAAAAAAATCAAAAAAAAAATTGTCGGAAAAAGCCGGAATGGCTTCAAAATCAATCCCTGAAATTTTTGGCTTTTGAATTTCAAGCATCGTTGAGATATTTGGCGATTTCCCAACGAGAGAGTATGCAAAATGAAGAGACGGTCAGAGAAAAAAATTTTTCGTTTTTTGGCTATATCTTTTTACAGATCTCATAGAAAAAATCAATTTTTGGTATAAATCATCTACTCACCATATCGAATAACACCTGAAATTTTCAAAATGAAAATCGAAAAATTTTTGAAATTTCAAATTTTTTTGGATCTAAAAATCTCGGTGATTTCTGTAAAGCGCGAGTTAAAAATTTCAGATTTGCTTTGTAAAAATATAATCTTATTTTTCACCAAGTTTCATCAAAATCCGCGTGTGGAACTTTTCGATTTTTACTTTTCTGCACTGTGCAATTTTTTCGAAAAAATTGCACAGTGCAGTCGATTGCAATTCTCAAAAATTTATCAAGCTTCTTCGACTTGTTAATTTGTTTTCCTGTAGCGTCTGGAATCACAAATTCTCGCGGATTTTTTATGCACACAACAATAATTATATTCCACTAGACATTAGATGTGGAAAAATTCGAAAAAATGATGAAAAATCATCAAAATACCTCTTACTAAGAATGAAATTAGAGAGAATAGAGAAGAATACAGTTTTTAACACTTTATTTAGTAAGTTACAGTTCAATCCAATGAGGTAAGAAGTAGTTTTTCTTGTCCACCATGTGATCCAAATCCGAGCCATTCCTCGGCCAGTCCTTGAAACGAACGGTCGTGCCGTTGGCCAGGTACCCAGCCCACCAGGAGAAAGTCCCAGTTGACATTATGGTGTGATTACAGTAGGACAAGATGGCCAAATCGACTTCTCGTTCCGTGGAGTCGACAAACACAATATTGTCTGAAAAAGTTGTATTTTCAAGCTGTATTCTATGATTAGAAGCGATAACAATTCATTTTATTTATTTTCACATTCATTTTACTGATTTCTGAGGTCGGGCGCAGCTTGCGAAATTTCCGTTGTACATGTTTCATCGTATAAAATGACACTTATTCAAAATAGAGCTTAGCAACAATGCAAAAATTGTGCATGGACATTGCAAAGGCTAGATTCATCGTAAAATTTACATAAGACCGGGCGCAGACTGCCGATCTTCCCTTGGACATGTTTCATCGTATAAAATGGCAAAAAGCACTTCAACTGCTATTAAGAATGACAAAAATTACTGAAATTGTTGTCACTAGAATCTGCGGGGCTTCTGAACAACTATTTTATGCAAATTTTACCTTAAATCCGTCACATTGACGGATTTTTTGGAACTTTCTGTTTTGGAAAATTTGATATAAAAATCGTATTTTGTGGCCTCAAAAACCATTGCACAGTTTAAAACACAGTTCATAAGCTCTATAATCAGCAATTTTTCGGACTCTTCCTGCTCTATCGGCTCTGTATAACTCAAAATTTTATCATAGAGCACCTGTTTTTCAGGCTCGACAAAAGCGGCTCACCTCCGACGAGATTGCGTTTGGCCCAGCTGATATTGTCGCTCACGACCACAAATACCACCTGCTCGCCGTTGGACACTCGCCTCATCGCGCGCCCGTAGTATTCGGCCGGTGCACTCACATGGCCATGGTGAAGATTGCGGGAGTGCCAGGTGATATCGACGCCGTGTCGGACGTGCACTCCGATGCGGATGCGGTCTACAAAATACATTTGTGTTTCAAAATATAATAAAGTTTGTTTTTTTCAATTTTTGGAATTTTTTGATATTACTTTTGTTAAAAAGTAGTAGTAAAAAGTTATGAAACATCAAAAAAATTGTCAAGAGTATCACATGATCCATAAAAATTCATTATCACTTTAATTTTCCCCAATTTAACGGCTCGCAAGCACAATCGGACATTTTATACGATGAAACCTGTCCGACGAAAATTGCCTCAAGCATTCTGAAAAAAAGTCAACAAAAAAGTTTTCATATACCTATAAGATCAAATTTGGGTCTTTTCCAGCCAAAATAATTCAAAAATTCAAATTCCCGCTATTTTTGGCATTCTGTTGTAAGGCTTCGTATGACCTGCAAAACAGTTTTTTAGACTAGAACAAGGGCTGCTAGCGTTTTTAAGACCATTATGAGCTGTCTACCACTATTGTTTCAAGTTTTACAGCCATTTCAAACTATATTATTCATGATGATTTCAGACCAAAATTGCCCTAAAATTTAGAGCCATAACTCACCTTGATAGGGTCTGATATAATCCAAAGCCCTCTTTTTCACTCCCTCCAAGAACTGGAAGCTTTTCCGCACCTCTGAATCGAGTTCTGGCCAGAAATATCGAAAGGCCTGGAAGTAGCCGTCGACAATCTCAATGTCGCTCGATTTGAACATTTCCAGGTCGGGCAAGTACACACAGCATGCCTGAATACGGTAGTCTATATTTAGTGCGCATTAAAGTTTCATAAATATGTGAGTAAGCGGAGAAATGAGTAATTGTACATAGTTCAATGACTAAAGGTGGAAAATAATGGCAATGACAGGGTAATTACTGTGTAAAAACGTCATTTAACAACAATAATAAGCATGCTGGAAGAAATCCTAATCGTTAAAAGTTGCTAAGCTTGCGTTTTTGCGATCTGCAGACTGCGAAGACCATTTTATACGATGGAACCTGTTTTTCTTAAAATTTAAACCTATTCAAACAAAGTAAAAATGTAATATATTGTAAAATACGTTATCTCGAGCTTTTACCTTCTCTTGGATCCTTCTATCTTCATTACTTTCCACATATTCGTACAAAGAAGTGCTATTAACATAGATCACTTTTTCCAACTTTTCGAACGCCCTCCTCAACAAACAATCATCCGGAAAGACCAAAAATGCCTTGTACTTTCTTGCATAGTAATATAAAGCCGCGTATTCAAACATCAGGTTGCCTAGGCCTAAAAGTTCGACATCTGATATCATGTATAATATAATTTGATGCCGAAACACAAAAACCAGCTGAGAAAATATGTTACCATGGCTGTAGCTCATCGAGCTGACAATATAACGCCGATTGGCAGTGGATTTTACGGCCTCCTCAACGGTGTTATATGACTTTTCGGAGGGTAGGTCCCATGGCTGATCAAAGATCACATTAGAGCCTAAAAATCAAAACTACAGAACTTATTTTTTATATAGATCGTATTTATAGACTATTTCCAACATTTTAGGACCATTCCCAGCCAAAAATTTACGAAAAAATTCAAATTCCCGCCATTTTTGGCATTCCGTTTTAATGGCTAAAATAAGGTCAGAAAAGGTTGAAGTTAAAAAAAAATAAATGGCTAAAAGTTTTTTGAAAGAATTTTAATAGTTTTTTCAGATATTTTTTGTACTTTTAAAACATCTTTTTTTATATTATCCATGACAAATCTTATGGATAATTAAAAAATCCCCATTTTCAGGCCTGAAATCCCATAAAAAATACAATAACCGATCTCAAATAAAATCTCCTACCTCCAATCGGTAAAATTCGCACTTGTTTCAGCTGAATCAACCGGCTTTTATCATCCTCAACATCAATTTTGGCTTCATGTTGGGAATTTTTATTGAAAATTAGATAAACGAGTGTTCGAAGGATCAAACACACTAGAACAACAACAATGAGCTTGAATAAAGATCGCCGTAGAATCGGGGGTTTCATTTTCGAATGATAAACCCCCGAAAAAGGTGGGAAACTTGACCTAAATAAGTCAAATCGCCATAGGGGGAAAGAAAAAACTGAAAAATAGCCGAAAAAAGGGTGGAAATTCCCTTGGCAAGGACTTCGGCCTGTTCAAACATAATTTTTTTCAAAAATTTCAAATTTCCCGCCACTTTTGGCATTCTGTTTCAAGGTCTCAAAAGTGACGCCCTGAGGTTATTTTTCTCAAAAAATAAAACATATATGGTCATTTAACACCTGGATTGTCCCTCTCGCAGGTAGAAAATTTTTAAATTTTAAAATTTCCCGCCGCTTTTTGGCATTCTGTTTCAAGGTTCCAAAAGTGACGCCCTGAGGTTATTTTTCTCAAAAAAATAACACATATATGGCCATTTAACATCTGTATTGCCCCTCTCACAGGCAGGAAATTCAAATTTTCAAATTTCCCGCCATTTTTCGCATTCTGTTTCAGTGTTCTAAAAATTATGCCCTGAGGCTATTTTTGCTCAAAAAGCAACATCTATGGTCATTTAACATCCGTAACGCGCGTTTCAAACGATTAAAATTCAAATTTTCGAATTCCCGCCATTTTTGGCATTCTGTTTCAACTTCAAATTTCGACTTCAAAATAATAAAAATCATTTACCACAAGGTCCAAAAGACTCTGACCAGTATATTTATTGAGTTTGAGATCTCGAATCCAAAAATATTTTACAAAATCCGTCAAAACATTATAAATCACCTAGTATAATATAAAATTATGTACATTATTACAACAAAAACCAGTGAAGATCTGCAAAATAAGTTCTGCAGTGAGTGTTAAATATATTCCGAGCCATCGGCAGGACCCACGTAGCCAATGGCGATCAAAACAATATCAATTAGAGTCCAGACCCCAAGACCTCCGAAGCTAAACAATTTGCCGATAGCGCTCTTCCATAGGCCAAGATAAAAGCGATCCGCGCCAAAACCGCCCAAGGTCACCGAGAGGAAGAGGGTTTTCGACCAACTGTAGCCATTCGACCAGCGGCATCTGAAACTCAGCATTTTGAGAGCTACTGTAATTTGACACCTACTACAATATAAATTTTCGTTCATTTTAACTTCCAAACCCTTTTCAAATCCCTCGTCCTATCATAAAATTCCTTTATCAACTCGTTTCGCACAATAAAATCTTTTATTTCTTTCAAAAATCCAAACTTTTCCCATCTGATACCTACAACAATATAATTTTTTTTATTTTAACTTCCGAAACTTTTTCAAATCAAATGTCCTATCATAAAACACCTTTATCAACTCATTTCACTTCACCAAATCTTTTCCTTCTTCCAAAAATCCAAATTTTTTCCCATCTGATATCTACTACAATATAAATTTTGTCCATTTTAACCCCACAACTTTTTCAAATCCCTTGTCAACTTATAACATGCCTTTATCAACCAATTTCGCTCAACCAAACCTTTTTTTCTTTCAAAAATCCCAAATTTTTTTCCCCATCTGATACCTACTACAATATAAATTTTTTCTATTTTACCTCCCAAAACTTTCCTAAATCACTCGTTCTATCATAAAACACCTTTATCAACCCCTTTCACTCCACCAAATCCTTTCTTCCTTCAAAAAATCCAAATTTTCCCCATCTGATACCTCCTCCAAAATCCTTACCTCACATTCTTGAAGAAGACCCTTCTTCCCATGCAATAGACGGTGGGTTTTGCTCTACAGGTGGTCCTCACGGGCCGTGTGTCCCAAGACATGCAATGTTTGGTCTCTTCGCATTCCTGTTCGTCTTCTTCGATCTGCCAGCAGAAGCGGCATTTGGCTTTGATTTTGGCGCTGACTGGAGAGAGGCAGATCGAGTTGGCGGTGCAATTCACTTGCACTTCTTCGCCGTACTTGCAGTCCGGGGGGAAATCGCAGTTCTGGCAGCCCGCATGGTCCATGCAGTAGGTCCCGGCGCATCTAAAGTTTGAATTTTTATCTAAGCATGGATAATATAATTTTTTTCTGATAAAATGGAAAATTCCGGAAATATTTTGATGGAATTAAAGAGTGGAGATTTCTGAGGAGGTTTCGGAAGTTTTTAGCACATGGTTTGCAAAACAACTTTGATTTTTTGACAAAAATTTTAAAATTTCAAAAAAAATTTTTTTTTGATCTGTGAAACCCAAAAATTACAAGTTGTTTAGAGTGGGGAGTACAATGTTTTTCTATAAAAAGATTATTTTTGGAGCGAAATCCAAGGAGAAACAGCTAAAAAACAATTTTTTCTCTGACCGTCTCCTCATTTTTCGTACTCTCTCATGAATTGTTGAATATCTCGGCGCCTGTTGCAAGGTGGCTGCTAAAATTTTTAGCGATTGATCTGAAGCCCATTTAGAAGATCTATGCGAAATTTGAGAAAAATCGGGCCAACGGTTTTCGAGAAATTGACATTTGAATCTAACGTAATATAAATCAATGAGGAATGTCGTCAATGGGGAAAAAGACGACTGGGGAACTGAAAAGTATTATTTTTCTTGGATGTAGGTATCGAAATTAGAATAACGAAGAAAAATAATACTTTTCAGATTCCCCAATCGTCCTTTTCCCCCCATTTGAAGACGTTCCTCATTAATTTATATTACTTTAGATTCAAATGTCAATTTCTCGAAAGTTAATCGCCCGATTTTTCTCAAATTTCGCATAGACCTTCTAAATGGTCTTCAAATCAATCGCTAAAAATTTTAGCAATCTTCTTACAGCGTGAGCCGAGATATTCAACGATTCATGAGAGTGTGAAAAATGAGGAGACGGTGAAAGAAAAAAATGGTTTTTAGGGTATTTCTCCCGGGATTTCGCTACAAAAAAAACTCTTTTTATAGAAAAACATTGTACTCCCCACTCTAAAAAACTTGCAATTTTTGGGTTTCACAATTCAAAAAAAATTTTTTTTTGAAATTTTAAAATTTTTGTCAAAAAATCAGTTTTTTTTGCAAACCATGTGCTAAAAACATCTGAAACGTCTTCATAAATCTCCACCCTTCAATTCCATCAAACTATTTCGAGAATTTTCCATTTTATCAAAAAAAATTATATTATCCTTGCTTACGTGCTCAACAAGTCCACATCCCCGCTGTTTTGCGCCTCCACAAAGTAATTGTCGCTGATTATCGAGTACTGTAGGGTGGGATTCACAACTGGGACTAATAAAATTCCGCATATCCAAAAAATTTTTATATTATCCATGGCTAAAATCGTCAAATTTTTTGTAAAAACCTAAAAATTCCGGCAAATTCAAGTAATTTTTGGTTGTTAACCAGAAGTCTAAACCTCATAGCGTATTTTAAACAACAAACTTTATTGAATAATTAAATAAATTAGCATAATTAAGGCAAAAATTAAAAAATTCTAAAAAAAAATTTTGCTAAAAATCACAGTTTTAGATATTAATTAGCTAAAAAAACTTGTTCGTTATGAAATAAGTGGGATTTTACTTCTTTTTCTTTTGAATCAGAGGTGCGGCGACCGCGGAATGATAATAATTTTGGCTGAGGCTGGTCAAGAAAACGGTCAAAATGATGGAGAAAAGGAGCGAAACGGTGACCGAGACGCGATGAATGGTCGCGGCAAGGGCTGCGGTGGCGATCAGAGCGACGACCACTTCCAAAATGCCTGAGGCGCAGTGGCTGCCTTGCAAAGTTAACTTGGTGTTGGAGATGAAACTCAGGGTAAACAGGTAGAAAACCGCTCCAAGTCCTACAAAAAACAATTTTATATCGTATTTCAGGGGCATAATCTTTCATAATTTGCTGGTTTTACTCAATTTTATCTTAATTATGCGACAAAAATTTTCAATTTTAATTCACTGCACAGTGCAGAAAAATTTTTTTTTTTCGAATTCAAGAAAAACATCAAAATTTCTTTCAAAAACAAAAACATTCCGTATTTTACAAGCATCAAAATTTGTTGTATCAAAAATCCCACTAAAAAAATTCTATCTACACCGTGCAAAATCCAAATTCTTTTCACTGCACAGTGCAATTCCATTTTTCCCCAAAAAATCGCTGAAAATCGGCAATTTCCAAAAACCCAAAGTTGACAATCGTATTTTAAGACCACTCCAGCACTACTATCCACAATTCCTCAAAGTCTTTCCCAAGGGCACCGAGAAAAATCGAAATTATTTTCACTGCACAGTGCAATTCCATTTTTCCCCAAAAAATCGTTGAAAACCGGCAATTTCCAAAAACCCAAAGTTGACAATCGTATTTCAAGACCTCTCCGGCACTATTATCCATGATTCTCCTACGTATTTCGCAACGGCAACGTGAAAAATCCACCTTTTTATTTTTGCACAGTGCAATTTTATTTCTTCCCAAAAAATCGTTGAAAATCGGCAATTTCCAAAAACTTAAAGTAAGCCATCGTATTTTAACCCCACTCCAGCACTACTATCAACAATTCTTCTACGTATTTCCCAACGGAATTTTGAAAAATCGAGATTTTTGTCTTTGCACAGTGCAATTCCATTTTTCCCCAAAAAATCGCCGAAAATCGGTAATTTCTAAAAAACCCGAAGTTGACGCGTCCCGACATTTCGGGTCAGGGACAACTCGGGTCGCGACAACTCGGGTCAACGACAGCTCGGGTCAACGACAACTCGGGTCAACGATACCGTTTAATATTTTCGCTTCGGGACTTGGAAAAAAGAATTTATTGGTGAATTTGAGAAATTTTTGAAATGTTTTCGCTTCGGGAGTTGGAAAAAAAGGATTTTTTGTGAAATTTGAAAAAAATTTGAAGTGTTTTCGCTTCGGGACTGGGAAAAAAAGATTTTTTGGAAAATTCAACAAAATTTTGAAATGTTTTCGCATCGGAAGTAGAAAAAAGGGTGTCTGACTGAATATTAACTGTGGTGCCGGCAGCACTAAAATTTTGTCTAAAACCAATGGTACCACCTGGTACTATATAGTACCACGTGTTTTTGGGCTCTACTAAGCACCAAACCATCACCATTACTGCCTCATGGCCGAATTTTCACTTCTCACAAAACAGTACCACTTGGTACTATATAGTACCAAGTGTTAAAACGTGTTTTTGGGTTCTACTAAGCACCAAACCAACGCCATTACCGCCTTACGGCCAAATTTGCACCTCGTACTAAATAGTACCAGGTAGTACTATTTAGTACCAAGTGTTAAAAATGTGTTTTTTAAGCAGTACTAGGCACCAAAACAACACCATTAACGTCTAAAAGTGTTATAAGTCGAAAAATTTTCAAAAAGAATCCCTAAAGGCAGTAAGGTAACAGAAACCCAGTTTTCATATTCAGTCAGTTCATACTCAGTCAGCTCGAAAACCTTTCAAATTTTTTTCAATTTTCACAAAAAATCCTTTTTTTCAACTCCCGAAGCGAAAACATTTCAAATTTTATTCAAATTTCACAAAAAATCCCTTTTTCCAAGTCCCGAAGCGAAAACATTTGAAAAATTTTTTAAATTCACCAAAAAATTCTTTTTTCCAAGTCCCGAAGCGAAAATATTAAACGGTATCGTTGACCGGTATCGTTGACCCGAAATGTCGTTGACCCGAGTTGTCGCGACCCGAGTTGTCCCTGACCCGAAATGTCGTAGCGCCGAAGTTGACAATCGTATTTTAAGACCACTCCAGCACTACTATCCACAATTCCTCAAAGTCTTTCCCAAGGGCACCGAGAAAAATCGAAATTATTTTCACTGCACAGTGCAATTCCATTTTTCCCAAACAATCCTTGAAAATCGGCAATTTCCAAAAAACCTGAAGTTGACAACCGTATTTTAAGACCTCTCCAGCACTATTATCCACAATTCTTCCACGTATTTCCAAAGGGCGCCGCAAAAAATCGAGATTTTTGTCTTTGCACAGTGCAATTCCATTTTTTCCCAAAAAATCGTTGAAAATCGGTAATTTCCAAAAACTAAAAGAAGATCATCGTATTTTAAGACCTCTCCAGCACTACTATCAACAATTCTTCTACGTATTTCCCAACGAAATTTTGAAAAATCGAGATTTTTATCTTTGCACAGTGCAATTCCATTTTTCCCCAAAAAATCGTTGAAAATCGGAAATTTCCAAAAACTCAAAGTTGACAATCGTATTTTAAGACCTCTCCAGCACAACTATCCACAAATCCTCTACGTTTTTCCCAACGGCACCGTGAAAAATTCACCTTTTTATTTTAGCACAGTGCACTGCGGGTCGGGTCAAGTTTTTTTCATGGGTGGTCAAGTCTTTCCCCTAATATTATTTTTTCCCCGAAATTCAGACTGTTATATGGGAGGTTAATCAAGGTAAATCTGGTCAGTTCTTGTTGATTATTTCAAGAACAAGTCTTATTCTATTTTTAGAAATCAAATTTGATTGAATTACGGTGTGGGTTTGCCTCAATTTTTAGCATTCTTTGGGGGTATGTATTCTATACCTAAATGATCAATTGTGAGACAGTTTCAAGTCTGATTTACGATATCGTTTCCATTTCACCTTCGGACGTACGCCACCTGTCCAATAAAGGTAAGTAACTGTGAATCTGGTAGTCCGTTTTCTAGTAATTAAAGATTTTGTATATTATACTAGGTACTTTTGAAGATTTTTGTTGAGATTTGCCAAGTTTTCGGCCTGGATTAGATTATTTAGCGTAATATTGGTCTCTAGTGCCTATAAAAACGTAAGTGGACAGGTTTCTCCTTCTCTTTTAGACTTTTTCTTTGTGTGCAAAGTTGATGCAGATTTTAGGTAGAGATGAAATTCAACGCCCAAACTATGCGGAATTTTCATAAAAATCAAAGAAAATACTTTCGAGGATCATCAAGCGAAGCAAAAATGTGTTTGAGACCAATCTAGCGTTTTTTTCAGGCGGATGTTATACATGATCCCTGTAACGTATAACGTCTGGATCACATCTGTGAAGACCTCTGGTGATGGAAAACGTGGTTAGGACAGTAAAATTAATATGTTGGACGTGATTTTGAGGGAAAACCAGGCAAATCCCGTACAAAATTTTCTGAATAACCTAGAATAATATACAAAATCTTTAATTACTAAAAAACGGACTACCAGATTCACAGTTACTTACCTTTATTGGACAGGTGGCGTACGTCCGAAGGTGAAATGGAAACGATATCGTAAATCAGACTTGAAACTGTCTCACAATTGATCATTTAGGTATAGAATACATACCCCCAAAGAATGCTAAAAATTGAGGCAAACCCACACCGTAATTCAATCAAATTTGATTTCTAAAAATAGAATAAGACTTGTTCTTGAAATAATCAACAAGAACTGACCAGATTTACCTTGATTAACCTCCCATATAACAGTCTGAATTTCGGGGAAAAAATAATATTAGGGGAAAGACTTGACCACCACATGAAAAAAACTTGACCCGACCCGCAGTGCAGTGCAATTTTATTTTCGTCCCAAAACTGGGGAAAAAATAAAAAAAAAATAAAAGTCAAATTCGACTACTCGTATTTTAACATAATTTTTTTTCCTACTATTCACATTTATTCCAAACAAAACCTTTTTGCACTGTGCAATTCCACCTTTTTCTCTCCGCACCGTGCAATTTCAATTTCCTCCGAAAATCAAATAAAACTCGGCCAAATCAATAAAATCAAACTTCCAAAATCATCTACAAGCCCCAAAACCGCTCCACATACCTCCGCCAATCAGCGTTCCTTGCTGGGAATCGGCCAGGAAGCCTTTGAAAATCTGGCTGACAACAGCAACGGCGCTGAGGCCCAAAACCGACAAAAGAGCGCTGCGGGGATGGTCTGGCATTGTTCCGTGGGTTCTAAAATACGCGCCATTTCATACTACGTATCTGAAATCCGATTACACGGCAAAAAACGAGGGGTTAAACGACAAAATCGCAAAAAATTGGCTAAAATAAGGTAAAAATGGCGATAAAAGAGCTAAATCAATATAAAAAACGTCCGTTACAGCCTCCATCATATATCAAAATATGCCATGAGGTCCGTCTCATCATAAACATCAATATTAACCCCAAACATACAACAAAATCTTTAAAAATCCCAAAAAATCCCCAAAAATGACCTAAAATCGCCTAAAATAAGGTAAAAACTGATATTTCATGGTCTGAAACCAAGTAAAAAGGGTCTCAAATCCTTTCTCAAACAATATAACCGGTTTTAACTTGCAAAAATCAACAAAAACTGAGAACAATCAACAAAAAAATAACAAAATTTTCACTGTAACATGTCCAATTTCCACGAAAAATTGGTCCGTATTTTAGGTGGCATCAGCTCTTCGGTGAGTTGAAATCTCGGTGGCATTGAGTTGGCTTCGGGGAGGCGGACGATTCCGTCTTCGCAGCGGAACTGAAAATTTTTCAAATCGAAAAAAAAATATATTGTACTTATTGCAAAAAAATATGTCCAAAATCGTCAAAAATCGTTCTTTTTTGACAAAACAAAAAATAGCAAATGTTCCTACCGTCTCAAAAATCGGTCCGGGCAGGTCTTTGGCCTTCAAATACTCGGGCCATATACTGTTCTTCTTCGAATTACACATATTGATCAAATTTTCGAACGTTTCCTGCAAATTCGAAGCTTCGGCAAGCAAATCCATGTCGACTAAAGCTCTCAGAAGCTCTGAGACTTCTTCTGAAACGCAAGTTTTAATGTTTTTTTATCAAAAATTGACAAAAAAAGTCAAATTTTTAAAATTTTTCTAAAAAAACGTACCTTGATTACTATCCACATTCTGATAAAGTGACTTTAGGGCCAGCAAAATAGCGGCATCTTCGTATTGACTTCCTTTTTTGATCACGGACTTCTTCTTGTCCACCTAGAAATAAAAATTTTTATTTTTGATCAGATTATTACCTAAAATAAGGTCGGAAAGGTCAAATTAGGTATAAAAAGATATCAACAAAAATCTAGAATTCTCCCATATCTCTCTCTAGTCCAATTCACATCTATTTCATCAAAAACACAGCTATTTTCATTCTATTTTCACTCAAAATCGTCAAAAATCTCCAAAAATTCCTAAAAATCGTAAAAAATCTCAAATTCCGTCGCCTAAAAAATTTCAAAACTTCAAAACCAGTTCCCTAAAACTTCATCAAGTCTTCAAACTTCCTAAAACATCCAAATCCACCCTGATTTTCTCCAAACTTCCTTGAAAATTGCCAAAAATTACCAAAAATCGTCAAAAATCGCCAAAAAATCTCAAAATCAGGCCATAAAATTTTTCCAACTCAAAATTCAAATCTCTCACCACTCTACCCTCTCTAATTACACTTTAATCTCTCCGAATCACTGCAAACTCCCCACTTCTACTCCTCGTTTCACCCACATTTTTCCGTCTTCTGCTCGAGGCGGAGGACATTCTCGAGGCCTGCGAAATCATGCTGGACGCGATGCTGGTGGTCTCGGATTGGGCGCAGTCGAACGCCTCGTCGCCCTGGGCTTCAATCCACGCGTTCAGGTGCTTCTGTTTGGATTCGCGGAGCTCCAGCAGCCGAGTTTGATGCTCTTGGATCTGATGTGTTTGACTCAAAAACAAAGTCACAAGTTGGTCGACTTTCATTGTAAAAATGGACAATTTGATTTCCTCCGGTATTCTCCTCCCCAATCCCACAATTTTTCGCCATTTCCCGGCCGCTGCCAAAAGTTGTGCGATTTTTTCGAAATTCTCAAAATTTTCGGTCGCGGATTTTTCTTTTTCCAATCGAATCAGCGCTTCGGCCGCCTCCTCAGTCCGTCCTTTTTGCTCCAGCTGAACAGCCATCTTCTTCAGGCCCAACTCGAACCGTGTTTTCGGTAATGTCCCAATTTCTTCGTACAAATTACAGTAATCTTCGACGTTTTGGGCGCTTTCAAATGCCTGCAGGGCCTTTTCGAACTGTTCCGATTTTTTGTAGAGGAATGCGGCGTCCGTGAACTTGGCTTTTTTGTAGTAGAAATCGGCGGAGAGGGCGCAAATCTCCTGAAAAATGAAAATTTTGAATTTTGAAAAAAGTAAAAATCAGATACAAAAGGCTATAAACACTCCAAGAGACTGATATTTGTGTCTTTATTATCAAGTTTTAACATCATTTGTAACCCCCTTTCAAAAAAATATGTTTCCAAAAAATCCGTCATAGTGACAAATTTATTAAAAATTTGACATCAAAAACATCATAATCTCAAAGAACAGCCCTCAGCCTTTCCCTGAATCCTAATTTCATTCTCAAAACCATCCATCTTTCCCCCCATTCATCAACTTTATCTTACCCTCCACTTATCCGATCACTTTCCAAAAAACCCGTCACAATGACTTATTTTTTCCCCAAATAAAAACCAAAATCTTCATCCCTTCAAGAACAGCCCTTGGGCTTTCCAACAATCCCAATTTCATTCATCACACCATCCATCTTCCCCATCGTTCATCAATATTACGCAGTTACCATCACATTGCTCATGTTCCAAAAAATCCCTCATAATTACCTTTTTTTGCCCAAAAACCTATTTGAAAACTTTATGCCAGGCAAGATTAGTCTCTATTCTTTCCAACAACCCCTTCTTCCGGTCTTTTACCATCCATCTTCCCTATCAGCCATCAACTTTATCTTACCCTATACCTAGCTGACTACATTCCAGAAAAAATTGTCACAATGAATTTCTTTTGCCCTAAATCAATAAAAAAGCTCAACATCAGTCAAGATAATTCTCTATTCTTTCTAATAACCCCACTCTCCCGCCTTTTAGCACCCATCTTCTCCATCATTTATCAACTTTATCTTACCCTATACCTAGCTGACCACATCCCCAAAAAATTGTCAAAATGAATCATTTTTGTCCCAAATTTATAAAAAAATCCCAACATCAATCAAGATTATTCTCTATTCTATCCAAGAACCCCACTTTACCGGCTTATACCATCCACCTTCTCCATCATTCATCAACTTTATCTCATCCTACACCTACCTGACCAAATTCCAAAGTAATGGCCAAAATGAATTTCTTTTACTCTGAATCAATAAAAAAGCTCAACATCAGTCAAGATTATTCTATATTCTTTCCAACAACACCCCTTTCCCGCCTTATACCACCGATCCTCCCCATCAAAAACCACTTTTATCTCACCTTATACTTGTCCGATCCCTTGAACAACCTGATGGCTCTCGCATAGAGTCCATACTGTTTGATGTGTTCGCAGCATTCCTCAAACCTCTCTGGCACCTTGCTGATGTAATCCAGGGCTTGAGGCCAATCTTCCAGCAGCAGACAGACATGGAATCGTCGATAATTTTCCGGCTCGAGTCCTTTTAGGCGCTTGATCAACGGGATGTATTCTTTGGGGTCTTTTTGGAGTTTATCGGCAATCATCGACAAGATATTGAGGTCGAATGTTCGGAGGGCCGCTTCGAACAGTTGGTTCGGGTCGACGATGTAGCTGAGGTGGCGGAGACTCGACGAAAGTAAGCGGGTCCTTTCATCGGCGGAGGAGACTGAAAATCGGATTTTTAGTTAAAAAGAAGACCTAAATTTTTCTTCAAAACAATCTGCACTGTGCTTTGAAAAAAATCAAAAAAAATCTTAAAAAATCCATAATAAAATTTCGCACAGTGCAAAAAAAAACTGACTCTCATTTTGCACAGTGCGAAAACCAAAATCCGAAAAGTTGCACGGTGCAAAAAACTAAAATTTTTCACAGTGCAAAAACAAAATCTCCGCACTGTGCAAAAAAAAAATTAAACTCTCAATCTGCACAGTGCAGAAATCAAGATCCAAAAAATTGCACAGTGCGAAAAACCAAAAGTTCGCACCGTGCAAAAAATTGAAATTCTTATTTGCACAGTGCAAAAAAACAAAATCCAAAAATTTCGCACTGTGGAAAAATAAAAGCCAAAAACTTGCACAGTGCAAACCCCAAATCCAAAAATTTCGCACTGTGCAAAAAAACCAAAATCCAAAAAACTGCACGGTGCAAAAATAAAACCCAAAAACTCGCACAGTGCGAAAAAACCAAAATCCAAAAAATTGCACAGTGCAAAAAAACAAAAATCCAAAAATTTCGCACTGTGCCAAAAACCGAAATCCAAAAAATTGCACGGTGCAAAAAATTGAAATCCAAAAAATTGCACTGTGCAAAAAATTGAAATTCTTATTTGCACAGTGCAAAAAAACAAAAATCCAAAAATTTCGCACTGTGCAAAACCCAACATCCAAAAAATTGCACTGTGCAAAAATAAAAACAAAAAAAATCACAGCAAAAAAATAAAAACCCTAAAAATTCCATTTTTACCTTTACTACTCCTCTCTTTTAGGTCCAACAGAGCAGTTGTAGCCGAGTTTTTGGTTGTTTTTCGGACCAAGCAAGACAACAATGTCAAGTACAACATCTCATTCTTCTCTGTTGCATCCAGCTTCTTTCTGATCACTTTTTCCAACTCCGTGGCGACTTTTTCGACCTTCCCGGGGCACTTTGGACGCTCTTCATAATGCTCTCTAAAAAAGTAGTAAAATTAAAAAAAAAAATTTCCAAAAAAAAACTCAAATTTTATGCTAAAAATCCCCTTCAGAGCCCACTCAACCTACCTAAACACCGTATTCGTGCAGTTTTCCTCTTCCAACCCCAGAATAATCAGTTGCAAAATGTCTATGTGTAGTTCAACATGGGGTGAAAACTGGTCCAAAAACTCTTTCGCATTGTCGAAAAATGCTTGCTGATCATGATCAATGATCAAATTCATGTTGATTCTGTGTTTTCTCATCTGAATCGCGGCTTCGAGGTACTTTTTGTTGTCCAAAAGTTGTTTTAATGTAGTCAAAGTTAAAAATCTCGGATGGATGCCTTCCAGGTTGCCTCTGGGCATTTGCAGCCAACATTTTGTGCCGTTCTGGCCTTCATGGCCAACGACGACGGCTCCACGCTCCACTTTTCGACCTAAATTTGGGAAAATTAGAAAAAAAATATTATTTTAGATAAAAAATCTCTAAATTAACACAAATTCACGTTCCAAATCCCCAAACTAGACTCTAAATTTATCCTACACCCTATATAAACACCATTTTCCTTGAAAAAACCGCAAAATTTGGTCTAAAAACATTATTTTACTCCAAATATTACCTAAAACAATATAAATCTCCCAAAAAACCTAATTTCAACGTCCAAAACCCCTTCCAAAATCCACCACCTACCTTCATCGGGTTTTTTCTTTTCACTACACACATCCAGGACATGCAATTTGTGTTCAAAAGTCGTAAATAAGCACAAATTCCCGTTCAGTGAGAAACTTGAGCAATTTTGGACGAGAGATTGATCATTTACGTAGAGATTGAAGTTCGGTGAGATTCCTAGGAGTCTCTGAAAGAATATACATCAAGAATTTATCTTTTGTTGGTTCAAAAACCTAAAATTTCGAGACTTTTTATATTACACTTGGTCCAAAATTTTTACCCCATTTCCAATGTAGGTCCAATTGAAAAAGTCGGCGAGATTCGTTTCGAACAAGATCTTCGGGCTCTGTTCTTGCAGTTTCTTCACAAAACACCGGCCTTTCTCCGTGATCGCATATACATCTTCACCATCAACATGTTGATATAAAATCGGCTCTGAGAAGGCGGCCAAAGCTCTGGAAGTCGCAAAATTTGTCATAGATATACAAAACCACCTTCTACGAACGTATTTTACAAAAAAAAAATTCAAAATTCCCGCCAAAACTGGCAAAATCAAAAAATTCCAGAAAATCCGTCATCCTGATGAAAAAACCGTCCAAAAACGGAAAGTTATGCTGTAAAAACTATCCGACAAAAATACAACAAACAACTTATGCCCAAACCTATGACATTTTCAAAAAATCACTTCAAAATTCGGCCAAATAAACATGTCATCATGACGGATTTTTTGGAAATTCCTATCAAATTGCTACTTTCTTCAATTTTTTCGATAAAAATCCCACAAATATCGCTTACCTTCTCTGTTTCGAGTCCAAATCAACAATTTCAACTTTATATTCCCCGTTTTTCAGAGAAATAAACGAAATTTTCTTGGAATCCACTACTTTAACATTGTAGACAAAGTCGCAGTCCGAGATTTTGTCCTCTCCAGCCGTGATAACTTCTTTTTCTTTCCATTCTACTGACACTATCGGAATAAAAAGGTACATTTCAGACAAAAAAAAATCAAAAAATCTCAAAATTTTTTCTTCAAGCTACGAAGAAATTATGTGTTTTACCCTTCAAAAAAGATTGCCTTACACAATTTCAGGTTCCAGTCAGCATCCAAAATCGATATTACTCCATTCTTATCCAAGGAAATGCTGGATATTGGGGACTCAAGTTGGTGTTGATAATGGGACATTGGCGGTGGGATGGGGGCTTTGTTCAGGTCGGTCAGCCGTAAAATGTCTAAAACAAAGATTCTGAATACCCATAATATTATATATTATCCTCAATTTTACGTATTTTACAATTTTTTAAAAACCAATTTTTTTTATTTTCTTCAAAAAATCCGTCATGATGACGCATTCAAACTTAAAAAATCTAAAAATTTCTTCAAAATATTCCAAATATCAATTTCAAGCCATAAAAACCAATTTCAAATCCATGCGCAATGTGAAAAATCCCAAAAATCAAATCATTTGCATTTGCACAGTGCAAAACCCACAAAATTGCCCGCACTGTGCAAAAACAGCTTTCCAATCGCACCGTGCGCTCACTTTCACCATTTTTTTGTCGCGAAAACTTTTGCACAGTGCAAAAAAAAAGCCGCGACATTTTTCGCACAGTGCAAACCAAACCTCAAAAAATGCACTGTGCGAAAACAGCTTTCCAATCGCACCGTGCGCTCACTTTCACCATTTTTTTGTCGCGATAACTTTTGCACAGTGCAAAAAAAAAGCCGCGACATTTTTCGCACAGTGCAAAAAAAAGCCGCGACAATTTCCGCACAGTGCAAAAAAAAAGCCGCGACATTTTTCGCACGGTGCAAAACAAATCTCAAAAAATGCACTGTGCAAAAACAGATTTCCAATTGCACCGTGCGCTCACTTTCACGATTCTTTGTCGCGACAATTTCCGCACAGTGCAAAACAAACCTCAAAAAATGCACTGTGCGAAAAAATATTTCACTGCACTGTGCGCAATTATCATTGGGTTTCTTTTCAAATCGAATAAAAATACCCCACAATCGTAATAAAAACACAAAATATACCTCCATTAACACTGACAACTCTTCCATTCTCCGAATTGTAGGCGAATCCCATATCAAATGACACCGTGACGCCTTCTGAAGTCATAAATTGGAAGTTGGATGCGAATTCTTGCGAAAAAATCGTATAAATAATGGAACATTCGAAGCGGTAGGTCAACTTCTGTGTCCATTGGGCATTGCTCATTGTCCAGAATTGCACTAAAAATCAAAAAACTAAATTCAAATACTTACATTCACTTCGATTTTGTTCTTTTTCAAACACCAACGCCAAAATTGATCCATCGCAATTGGTTTGAATAGTTTTTAGATGCATTTTATTCGAGTTTGGGACCTCAAAATGTCGACGGTATTGGCCATTTTGTTCGTAGAACCAGAGAGATCGAACTTGATTATCAATATTGGTTCTGGAGGTGACAAAGAGGTTCCGTGATGGCCTGAAATACGAATTAAAATTATTTTCAGACATCAAATTATTTTAATCCACATTTCTTTCAACTTTCGACAAAATTTTATATTATCCATGGCAAAAATTTGATAAAAATCGAGCAGACTGCCTAAAAATCAATTCAAAAATGTTTCAAAAGCTTACAGAACTTCCAAAGTCGGCTCAATTCCACTTAGCGGATCACATAACGCCAAGAAATTAAGTTCACCATCCCAAATTCGAATTCTTCTTGCAAAATTTCCATTCTCAACTTGTTCCACACTCGAAATTGCGATGATCTGACCATCAGCTCGCCATCTAACCAATGTTTTGAATTTTTCTTGGTCATAAGGTAGGATTTGAGTTAGCTGTCGATCTCTATCTGCCACTTCTCTAGCCGATTTCCCGGCCGAACCTTGGAATTGCGTCTCTTTCGATCCCCATCCAATCGTCTGCAGCTCTTCTAAAGACGGAACACAGTTATTCAGAGGAGCTTCTCACCTTTTCCAGCGTAATTCGGGCGGACTTCGGCTTCGGAGACCACATCTAGCTCTCTGGACAACAATAAAACTGTATTTTCGGTAACAACCACGAGATTCTGATATCCAGGAGACCACGCAGCACCCCAGGCTGGCTCAAACAGCACTCCTGTATCTTCAACCGCCTAAAGAAGGAATAAAAATGATCAAAATGACTTACTTCCCATTCCTCGACACTCATCCTAAAGCAATGTCCATTTTGATAGATCCAAAAGAGCTCGTCCGTGTCGGGAAGGTAATCAAAACATACCACAGGGCCCTCGTGTGCTATTGAAGAGTCAAATTCGTAGTCAGAGGTCTGAAAATTCAGTATAAAACATTAATTTACATTGTACATGAGGTCAAGGAGAAGATCAAGTCAAAACTCAACAAAAACAAAGTCTTTGAAACAAATTCAAGACAGCATCAGTTAGAGAGAGTTAGTGGCTTCAAAATGAGACTAAATTCGTAAAGATCAACAAAGAGTTTTACTTACAATTTGACCATTTTGCACTCCGATCAGCTTCTTTTGTGTTATGAAGAATATCTGTCCCGTTCTGGTGTCCACCGTGAAGTGGGAAGCTTCTAAAGAAAGAAAACTAAATATTCAACAAACTCTTACCTTTGGTTTGCAATTTAACTTCATCTGACGACGTTTCTATCACTTTATACAAGTGCAAATTCCTCATTTTACCTAAAACACCCAAAATTTTCATTTATTCAACCACTAAACAGCTCTAAAACCACGCAAAATCACGGAGAAATACATAAGCAACGATAAATTCAAGAATGCAGGCGCTGATGGACTGAGTTTACATTATCTTTCACGAAATTGGCAACGATTCCTCGGTTCGGAGGGGAATTATCAACAAAATATGGATGTTTCACCAAATCAAAGGCTTGAATTCGCTCGTTTGGGTCGTAAATTAGACTAAAAGGGTATTTTGAAGATTGAAGAGATCTACCATTTCGCGACCAGATCATTTAGGCCTTCAGAAATGGCTTCCAATCCCAAGTTGGGCCGGATTTCGTTGCGAATCACTTGAGTCCAAGTGGCCTGATCGAAGGGGAAGTGGCCGGACGCCATTTCCGCCAACGATATTCCCAAACTCCACACATCCGAGCACTCTCTGCAACGAAAACGTCAAAACTACAACAATATAATTTCGGCGACCTGCGCCCAAGTTTTAGTGCAACCCGCGGCGACATTTTATACGAACGATACGTAATATGTTGTTTTGAGTAAAATACGGCGGGAAAAGTTGCTGAGTGTGATAAAAAGAGTCTCACTCACCGATATCGCTCACACGCGATACGTTCCGGCGCCAGATACTTGTTGGTACCGACCACCGAATAAACCGCCGACAAAATCATTTGTCGCGACACGCCAAAGTCGGATAATTTCACTTCCCCTTTGCTGTTGACCAAAAAATTACTTGGCTTTACATCTAAAATATTTTTTATTCAAAACAAAAAAGGTTTCCGACCTCTGTGCATCACTTTCATATTCCACAAGTAGTCCAAGCCGGCGATCACGGATACGGTAACCGGCGCCATTACAGTCGCCGGGATTTGGCCGTACAAGTCAAGAGAGAGACCGTCCATGAGCTCTAGACGGATCAGCCACTCGCCTTCTTCACGGCTGACCCCATGAAATGTGACTATATAAGGGCTCTCACATCGCTGAAAAAGTTGTAAAAAAAGAGTGACATTGTAAGTTTTGGATGTCAATTTGAATGGGGATTATGAACATTGCTATGTGAGTTAATTTTATACCTTTTCCAACAAGAAAATACTAATTTTTCATTAAAAATTTCAAAATTTTCCCCATTTTCCACCAAATTTTTCAATTTTTCCCAATTTCATACTGTAATTTACCCTCTAACTTTGATAACTCCTACTCCAAATTTACTATACTACTATAACCTTCAATTTTAGACCATTTTCTACGAAAAAAATCTCGATTTCTCATCAAAATTTTACAATTTCCCCTATTTTCCCCACATTTTTCAAGTTTTCTCAATGCCACACTGTAATTCGCCCGCTTACTTTGAGAATTTCGATCTCATTGAGTAATCCCCAGTCTGTCCGTTCATCGCCCGTCTCACAAATCGCTTTTACGGCGTATTCTCGGTCCATTTCGTCGATTACACTGAAAAAATCCAGAAAAAGTAGGATTTTTTTGATTTTTCCTCATTTTTTGCCGCAGGCAATAAAATTTTACTTTTAAATCCGACTCTAGAATGTAGCTAGAGGTCTGTGGAGTAAATTGAAAATGATTTCTCAAACTTTCTTTACCGATAAACCGTTCCAAATTGGCCTGAACCCAACGTCTCCATGCGATGGATTTCGCCGGGCTTCAGGTCGTGCAAAGTGGGGCCAATACTGTTTTTCGGGGTCTTGCTGGAACCTGGAAGGCTTCCATTCGATTACAAGAAGTGTTAGAGGGTGTTCTTACGAAGTTTGATTGGGATGACGTCGCTGGGATCGAAGGAAAATAACATTGTTTGGAGCTCTTCGTCCGTCCGAACCGAAATCCATTCGCCCTCATCGTCCTCGTCTAAATTTGGGGTTTTTGCATATTTTGAGTTGGAGAATGAGGTAAAATACGGGGTATAAAAATCTTGTGATTTTTTTGATTTTTTGGAATTAAAATTTTTGGCGTTGATGACTTTTCAGGTCATCAAAAAATCGATCGAAACGGGGCGTAAGGCCGGTGGATGCCCAAAAAAAGCTTGTAGGAAGTGTCTACGAGGCCTGGCAAAGCCATTGGATGCTCGGCGGAGCCTCGGCGAAGACTTGGCGAAGACTCGGCGGAGACTTTCAATGTCCATTTTTGCAACTTTAGCTATTACTAACATTAGTTTTCTTTACTCTGAGTTATTGAGACATATAAAAGATCAAAATTTGAGGCAAACAATGAAGATCCGTAACTTTTATCTAGATATTATTGATGTGAGTACATGTAAAATCGCAGCAAAATAGATGATAGGCTATCCTAGGACCCTCTTAATCTTATTATTTCTACTAATTAAGCCTTTTCCGAGCCTCTGGAATGTACGACAAACCGAGATGATCCATAGTGACCCAAAAAGTGGTCATCGAAATGAAATTTTTGGCCAATTTCCGACTTGGTCAAGTCCAGAGGGCTCTTCTCATCCTATAGAGAAACCGAGAGAACTCGAAAAGTCGTAGCGCCTACATAATTTCTTTTTATTTTTTTCGAGTTTTTGAAATTTTTAATTTTTGAAAAAATCAAAAAAAAAAATATTTTTTTTTTGAAAAAACACAATTCAAGTAAAGCCAAAATTTGTACATTTTTCTTACATTCGAAATAATCGAATCCATCATCCACTTGACTGTTCAATAGCGACATTACCGTATCAAAAAACATTAATGTAATTTCATCCGCTTCCACCACATTTTTTGTTTTTTTCAGGCAAAATCGTCGAGATGACATCTGAAAAAATTTTGGAGAACTATTTTTTTACTCTACTGTACCGTAATTTCAAAAAAAAAATTTTTTTTAATTTCAAAAAATTTTCCAAAAATACTGTTAAATTTCGCTCAAAAACTAATTTTTTTACAAAAAAAATAATACTGTCAGACTGACGGATTTTTTAGAATCCAAAAAAAATCAAAAAAATTGTCAAAAAATCCCATTTTTCCCTCAAAAATTTGACTGATCGCAAACGACACAAGATGACGTCATCATACCACAACATCCTCAGGATGACGTCATCACACCCAATCTACATTTTTCCGAGCCTAGAACCCCCCACTTTCACCCGTAATCAATTATAAACCAGCGGAATTGTGGTTGCCAACGCGTGTGTAATGTCCTTCTTTTCCCTTCTTTTCGGCGATCGCCGCTTTCGAAAAGACTTTTGTGGTAAAAGAGAGGGTCTTCTTCACTCTTTTTTGTGTTCTGATCGAAGATGCAAACGCTCGCTTCGGGTGCCCTTCTCATCGGATATTCGGCATTTCTCTATTTTGTAAGTTGAAAATTGAAACAAATTTTGAAATTCCAAAAAATTGTGTCATGGTGACGGATTTTTTTTTACAAATTGGAAACTTTGAGGTCTGAAATGCTCTTCTATTACCATTTTGATCACTTTTACCTTGTTTCCGCCATGTTGTATGATCATTTCAAAATTTCCAGAAAATCCGTCATGATGACATATTTAATTTAAAATTTTTTACTAAAATCTTTAGACGATTAAAATTGCATGGATTCGATATAGTAACCAAAAAATTTTTGTAGTTTTACCGTAATTGTCGCTTGCTTTCTTCAAAATTTCCAGAAAATCCGTCATGATGACATGTTTAATTCAAAATTTTTTGCAAAAATTTTTAGACGATTAAAATTTTATGGATTCGATATAGCAACCAAAAAATTTTTTTGTAATTTTACCGTAATAGTCGCTTCTTTTTTCAAAAGTTCCGGAAAATCCGTCATGATGACATATTTATTTTAAAGATTTTCAAAAAATTTTTTTAGATCAATGAAATTACATCGATTCGATGTAGTAACCAAAAATTTTTTTGTAGTTTTACCATAAATGTCATTTGTTTTTTCCAAATTTCCAGAAAATCAGTCATCATGACATGCCTCATTTGAATGTTCCTCCAAAAAATCGTTTAGCCCTTCAAATTAGCATGGCCAGAAGCGGCTAAAAAATTTTTTTGAAATGTTAGATTACCTGTTTACCATCATTTTTAAATATTTTTCTCTCCCAATGACATATTTTCTGGACATTTCAGACCGACCAATACTGGCTGCTCGGAGGCGTGCTTCCTTTGATCTCCGGCATTCTCCTGGTGATCAGTCGGCCCTCCCAGCACAAATGGCGCTTCCTGGTCATGTTCTGCATCTCCATCGGGACCTTGATCACCTTGTTCTACACCTTCACCTCCATAAAATACCGTCAAAGCTCGCTAGTTCCCGACTCCACCACCCTGAACACTCTGACTAAGGACACGTTGGGCGCGGCGTTCACTGTTTTCATCACTGCCAGCGGGTTTTACAGTGCGCGGCGCGGCCGAATCGGCTACGGAAGACTGCTGGTTTTGGGTGTAATTCTGGCGCTGATGCTGTTCTCGGTGCTGAATGCGGGCTGCAACAACTTTCCCGCGCTCCCATATTGTTCGTTGATCAAGTTTTAGGAGGTTTCTTGCATAATTTTCTAATAAATTTTAACAAATTATATTATCCATGTCAAAATTTGTCTTTTTGTATTATTTTGGACATAATATAGCAAGTAAATAGTAAAATACACCTATCTATTGCATTTATCACCTGTATAACCCCGTTTCCACCCCTCAAACCCAAAAAAATTTCAAAATTTTCTCATGGATAATATCCGGAATCTCCAAAAACCGCTTCAAAATAAAATTACTTTATGCCAAAAACAAAAACAAGGTTCAGTAATCGGGATCGTAGTCAAAGTATTCCTTGTCGAGCTCCTGGATTCGAACATAACCATCTTCGGAGCCGGTGACGATAACTTTTCCGTTCGGCGCGTAGGCCAAGGTGTTGACGGGACCGAAATGCCCCTTGAAATAGGCGAATTCGTTCTCGTAGACGGCGTGGAAGAGTTTGGTTTCGAATTGACCGGCCGAGGCGGCGGTCTGCGTTACGGTCATCGCCTCTTCTCCACCTCCGACCGCAATATAGGGGTGGGTGGGGGAGATGGCGGACGAGTTGACGGGTCGGCCACTCCTGAAATCAATGGGATAATCTCGGAATTACACTATTTTTTGACAAAAATTGCGAGTTAAAAACTGCACAGTGCAAAGTAAATAATCCGCACCGTGCAAAAAAAAATAAAAATCTGCACAGTGCAAAAAAAAATAATCTGCACAGTGCAAAAAAAGAAATAAAAATCTGCACGGTGCAAAAAAATAAAAATCCGCACCGTGCAAAAAAAAATAAAAATCTGCACCGTGCAAAAAAAAATAATCTGCACGGTGCAAAAAAAAATAAAAACCTGCACGGTGCAAAAAAATAAAAATCTGCACGGTGCAAAAAAAAATAATCTGCACAGTGCAAAAAACAAAAATCCGCACAGTGCAAAAAACAAAAATCCGCACAGTGCAACAAAAATTTCGAAAAATGCAAAATTTTGGTCAAGATGATTATCAAATATAAAATTTTCTGTCAAAATATCTTTAACATGCTGTTTCGTACTCGTTTTAACTTTTTTAAAACCTCCAAACTCTCAATAACCCACCAAAATCGAAGTCAAAAAACCAAGGCTTGCACTGTGCAATTCCTTGTCAAAAAAATCTCAAAATCCAGTAAATTGGACCATAAAAATATAAAATTTAATTTAGAATACCATCAATGTGACTATTAAAGAGCATTTTCAAAATTTCACAGCTCAAAATTCCCATCAGGCCATCAAGATCGCAGATTTTTTTAAAAAAATTGCACTGTGCAGACGAACGCAAAATTTTTTCTTTCCTTGCTTGACTTTCAAACAAAAAATCAAAATTTTTGGAGACTAATGAGCCTAAAGACCAATTTCAAACCAAAATTCAATACACTTACTTATAAGTCTTCAACAATGTGAGATCTCTAGCATCATGCAATTTGGCGGTTCTGTCATTCGACGAAGACACCAATAGCCCCTCGTCTCGCGACACTTGCAGATCATTAATCGTGCTGGAATGAGCCACCGAAAAGTTGATGGCATCGCTGGGGTTTCTCAGATCGAATTGTTGAAGAACTCCACCAGTGGTACCGATAACAACAGTGTCGTCCATGTGGGAAAACGCGCAACAGTTGGCTCCGGCGCTGTCCAATTGAATGTCGATATTGTCGCCGGCCATGTGACTAGGGTCTCGGATGTCGGCGATGCAAAGCGATGGGGGATTCAACGCCACTTTGATGGTGGTGAAGGCCAATTGGTTTCCGCTGTAGGAGAGTGAAACGGAACGACCGACGGTCGGAACCTTGATGTAATTCAGCTGCTTTCCAGTCTCGACGTCCCATACCTAAAAATACATCTTAAGAAAAAGGAGGTTTTCTCAAATTGACGTTTCTTTATGTTACACATTATGTTCACCTAAAAATCGAAACAAAACAAAAATTTCAAGAACTTACTCGAACTGAAGGGTCACCAGAAGATGAGACAAGGTGTCTAGTATCCCAGGAAACATCAATATCCCAGATTACACCAGTATGTCCTTCATACGTTCCAATTCTTTCCCCATTCTCCAAGAACCACACAGTTGGCGAATGATCCTTGGACGCCGTGAAAAGCAAGTCTCCATCATTGTTGATGCGAACACGAGTCAACGCACGAGTGTGTCCTTGCAAGGAGAGCGGCTTCATCTCTAAACAACAATTTTTTAAAATGATCTTGTACTAGATGTGGATGGGAAAGAAAACTAAAAAATAAAGTCTATTCCAACTCGTAATAATAAAAATTTCACGCGCAAATGATGTAATTTGGACCACAGAAACTTATTCATGGAGTTCCCTCAAAAATAATTTCAATGCCACGGAATGCCAGACGAAATTTCGCGTCGCGGGAGCCGGGCTTTTATTTTATAAAATTTTTCGGGAAATACTCACATGCAGGCGTTTTTCGGTCTATCGATTCAGTGTTCTCATATCTTTTTCATCACCAAATTGTACCCGTTTCGTTGGCACCGGTGAACCTTTTCGTCGACGATCTTTCAGCATGTTGAATTTACAAAAGCGAATCAAGGGAATCGACGAGAATCGCGCCTATCTGGGCACCCGCATCGCCGTCCGCGACAAGCTGCTGTCGCAGGAGATGCGCGAGATCGAGGAGCATCTTAAGAACGCGCCGGCGTGCAAATTGTCGTTCCCCTCCACCTCCAAACAGCTGCATCAGATGTTGTTGACGGTGCGGCCGACGACCGGCTTCTATCGTGGCGGAGTCTTTCAATTTTCCATCGATGTGCCGCCGGAATACAACAATGTGGTGAGTGTTTATGTTTTTCTTGAAGTTTAGGTACAAATTCAGACGAATAGAAGAAAAAATTTAGTTATATTACTCTAGTTGATGTCTTTGAGGAGATCAATAAATTTTTGACTCAAAACTAATTAGTGACGTTGCAGCCACCAGTAGTCAAGTGTTTAACGCGGGTTTGGCATCCCAACATCAACGAGGATGGTGCGGTGTGTCTAAGTTTGCTTCGGCCCAGCTCTTTGGATGGGATGGGTAAGATCATGTTTTTTCTTGATGAAAATAGCTAACAATTGGATGGAATTAACGCTTATTAGTTAGAACAGATAATATTCTTCCTTCCAATCGCAATTTCTTCCAGGTTGGATGCCAACTCGAGGTGTGAAGGACGTAATTCTCGGTTTGGAGAGTCTTTTCGGTGACCTAATGGACTTTGATGATGCCCTCAACCTAAGTGCGGCGGAAATGTATAATAACAACAAAGTAAGAAACTTCCTTTTTGTTTGTCACGTTTAGAGAAGGCTTCTCGCGTACCAGCGGGCACTCCCAAACCGCTTTAATGAGGCCCCAAGTTTGCACGTTTTGCGGCGGTTAAATTAAGTTAATTTTTCAGGATTTGTTCGCTTCCAAGGTCCGCGATTACATAATGCGCTACAGCGGTGAAGGAGGGAATCGCTACTAGCACCTCAAGCATGAAACTGACCTTTGTGAATAAATACTGAATAAAAATTTTTTGATCTTTGGGTAATATAGTCAAATTTAGTTGATCACTAAGAGATTTAGAGATGAAAAAAACTGGAATTTGTTGTTTAGAGATGTTTTAGTCGATTCAAGACGAAAAAAATTTGGATTTTAAAAGTGACCTGCCTAGTGTAATATAAAAAAGTTTTGATTTAGGCCAGGTTTGGCGGTAAATAGAAAAAGAACTAGCCTTTTAGTTGATAATGATATCAAGAAAGGGCCAAATAAACTCAATTTTATAAAAATTTTACCTGTTTTTGTCTAATGTAATATAAAAAAAGTATTGATTTAGGCCAGGTTTGATGTTATATAGAAAATAACTAGCCTGTTAGTTGATAATAATATCAAAAGAATGTAAAATAAACCCAAGTTTATAAAAATTTCACCTCTTTTTGTCTAGTGTAATATAAAAAAGTGTTGATTTAGGCCAGGTTTGATGGTAAATAGAAAATAACTAGCCTGTTAGTTGATAATAATATCAAAAGAGGCTAAAGCAACCACAATTTTGTAAAAATTTGACCTCTTTTTGTCTAGTGTAATATAATGAAGTCTGAGATTTTGCCAAAAAATGGATGGAAACCGTCGAGGTGGGCCTCAAATTGACTTCCATCCATCTTATTTTTGTTGGTCTCGCCGAAAGTATAGTCGTTTATCCGATGACAACACTCGCCACAAACAAGATTTCGTATCCATGCGGAGCGGTGGGATGGCTCATCAAATGACGTCGCGAATCCCAAATGGCCGCAAACTTTTATCTGCGCGCCACCCGAAACCCAATTAATTCCGCGGGAGTTGTGGTCGACGGTTTGTGGGGCCGAGATTCCCCTCCGGGCACATCTCGGTTCGCACCCGCCCCAGCTGCGGCCCCCACGCCGGCAAGGTATAAATGGGGCGGCGGAACGGGCCGCACGCCGAGCCTGAGCAATGAAGTTGTACATCCTGCTGATGCTGGCCCTGGTGGGCTGGGTTTGCGCCGCCGCCGCCAGCGAGGAGGAGGCCGACCGCTTCAGTCGCACCGACCGCGATTATCGACCTCTCCAGGTGAGATTTGACCTTTTTTTTTTGAGATTTTTCCAAAAAAAATTTTTTTTGTTCTACCGTAATCCGAGCCTTATTTTGGAAAAAATTTTCCATCTAAAACAATTTTTTTGACGAAAAATCTCAAAATTACTCTAATTTTAATCATTTACCAACGTCTTTTTCCCTTTTTTATCATCAAAAGGCCTAATTTTCATTGCACAGTGCAAAAAGACAAAAATTTTTTTGCACGGTGCGGCCTTTCGAAGCGATGACCAAATTGCACAGTGCGGTGGGAAAAGTTGTCGCAACTGAAAAACGCACTGTGCAAAAAGACAAAATTTTTTTTGCACGGTGCGCCCTTCCAAAACGATGACCAAATTGCACAGTGCGGTGGGAAAAGTTGTCGCAAATCAAAAACGCACTGTGCGAACTTTCGAAACGAGCTTTTCGCACGGTGCAAGAATGTGCTTTGACTTTATTTTGCACTGTGCGGATGGGAAACCCAAAATTGGGTAGATCGCACAGTGCACTTCATTGCACGGTGCAAAAAGGGTAAAGATTTCATTGCACGGTGCGGCCTTTCGAAGCGATGATCAAATTGCACAGTGCGGTGGGAAAGCTTGTCGCAAGTCAAAAACGCACTGTGCAAAAATTCAAAAAGAGCTTTTCGCACGGTGTAAAAGTGTGCTTTGACTTTATTTTGCACTGTGCGGATGGGAAATTCAAAATTGGGTAGATCGCACAGTGCAGCTGCGACGCGCACAGTGCAAAAATCAAAAATAGAGAAATTGCACAGTGCAAACGTGAAACTGGCGAAACCGCACTGTGCATTTTATTTAAGTCCGTTCGCAAAGTCGCTGGAGTGATTTTTGCGACATGCACTGTGCGAAAACAAAACGTTTTCTTTGCACTGTGCAATTCTTGTTTTTTGCACGGTGCAATAGACTTTTTTGGGATGTCGCTCGCGATAAGACTTTTTTTCGCACAGTGCACGTCGCCGAAATCACTCCAATTGACTTTTTCTGCACAGTGCAAACGTCAAACTGGTAAAAACGCACCGTGCATTTTGTAAACTCGCCAAAATATCACCGTATCCCCCCTAATACCGTATCCTAACCCCCGAAATTTTGCAGTTCGGCAAACGCGGCGACTTCCGACCCCTTCAATTCGGCAAAAAGGACAATTACCGGCCGCTGCAATTCGGGAAACGGGCGGCGGTCGTGAACCACTACCTGGACCTGCTGCCCATCGACGAGATCGCCAACTGAGAAGCCAGTTGAGAGCGCCGCCCGCAGAAAAGACCGTCGTTTCATCCGTCTAGTTGTTGTTTCTCCTCTTCTTTTGCCTCCCATCTTGCTTCAAACATATTGTTCTCCCCACCTTTCGAATATCTCATTCCCATCCTCGGACACATGTTGTAAAAAAGTAGAGTCAGTGCCATAAATTATAATTAATTTTACATTTGCTTTGATTTTGGAAAAATTGATTTTTGGACCGCACTGTGCGAAAAATTGTTGAACCGCACAGTGCACGGAAGAAGAAATAGCACGGTGCAAAAGAATTGAGGAGTGCACTGTGCGAAAAACAACAAATGTGGACTGCACAGTGCAAAAGCGACAAAACTGCACAGTGCAGTTGAAGCTTCAGCCTTTCGCACAGTGCGAATTTTGCGAAAAATTTGAACCGCACAGTGCACGGAAAGAAGAAATCGCACGGTGCAAAAGAATTGAGGAGTGCACTGTGCGAAAAACAACAAATGTGGACTGCACAGTGCGAAAGCGACAAAACTGCACTGTGCAATCGAAGGTTCGTCCTTTCGCACAGTGCGAATTTTGCAAAAATGTTTTGAACCGCACAGTGCGCGGAAGAAGAAATCGCACGGTGCAAAAGAATTTAGGAGTGCACTGTGCGAAACAAAATTGCACTGTGCGCTGTCGCTCTTCTTTTTTTCTGCACTGTGCAATTGAAAAAAATGAATTTTCATCTTTTCGCACAGTGCGAATCCCGCTTCTTTCTTTTCTGCACGGTGCAAAAGAATAGAGGAGTGCACTGTGCGAAAAACAACAAATGTGGAGTGCGAAAGCGACAAAATTGCACTGTGCAAGCTTCATCTTTTCGCACAGTGCGAAAAAGCTTTGAACCGCAGTGCAAAAAATAAATAAAAATTCTGAAAATTAAATTTATTGAATTTCCACCGGATAGAAAGAAATTTTGAACAAATACTATTGACAAAAGAAGCGCTAATACTGTATTTACATTGACATCATCATTCAACTTGTTTGGTTTTGGGACCGGTAATCGCGGTAAATGAAGCTGGTTTGTCCGTCGCTTCGATGCAGAAGAAGATATTGGCCTGGAAATAATGTTTTAAGTCAATGTTGGTGACTAAAATAAATTTAAAATTATTTTTTTATTATCGCACAGTGCAGAAAATTAAAAAAAATATTAAAAACCGAATCAATTTTTCGCACTGTGCCAAAATTTTTTTTTGTCATTGCACTGTGCGCCGTTATAAAAGTCGATTGCACAGTGCAATTTCTTTTTTGAAACCTGCACTGTGCAAACGAAGCCGAATCAAATTTCCGCACAGTGCAAAGGTTTTTTGTCCTTGCACTGTGCGAAGTTCAAATATTTTTTTTGCACTGTGCGAAACATAATTTTTTTGCACTGTGCGAAGTTCAAAAGTCTATTGCACAGTGCAAAGAACTCGAATCAATTTTCCGCACTGTGCAAAAGTTTTTTGTCATTGCACTGTGCAAAAAATATTTTTTTGCACTGTGCGCCGTCGCAAAAGTCAATTGCACGGTGCGTTCTTCTTTTTTTAAACCCGCACTGTGCAAAAAATCCAAATCAATTTTTCGCACAGTGCAATCTCCAAATCTTCTCGAATGCACAGTGCAGATAAAATCAAAACAATGTAAACTTACCACAACCAAGAATCCAGCGGTCAAATAGAAGATGGCATGCCATTGAGTGGCATTCGTCTCATCCTGCACAAAAATTGCGACTAATGCCGGCGCAATGAAGAAGACGCTGCATTTGATGAATTGAGTGAATGCAATCACGAATTCAGCGTATTGCCTAAAAAATTTACCATCATTATCTTCTCGGTTAATTTTTAAAACAAGTTTTTTAGAGTCCTAGATTTGATTTGCAAATTGAAAAAAAAAATTTTTGATTGCACTGTACAATTTTCTATTTTTTCGTTCGCACAGTGCGAAAAAATAAAAAATCTACTTTGCACCGTGCGAAAATTTTGTGCCCATGCACTGTGCAGTTTTTATTGGAGCTCAAAAAATTATTGTTTTCGCACAGTGCATTCAATCTTTTTTGTTTTCGCACCGTGCAGTCTTTTTTTGTTTTCGCACTGTGCACTTTTTTGTCGCAGCTTTCGCACCGTGCATTTTGCTTTTTTTCTTTTCGCACAGTGCATTCAATCTTTTTTTGTTTTCGCACCGTGCAATTTGATTGTCGCAGCTTTCGCACTGTGCATTTTGTTTTTTCCTTTTGTCCTTTCGCACCGTGCGTTTTCATCCAAAAATTTTTGTATGCACAATGCGGGTCAAAGTTGAAATTCTCCAATAATCCAATAAACATCACAGTAAAAACTATCGAATGCACAGTAAAAAACGAAAAATGCACAGTGCATTAGAAAACAAATAAATTTTTTTGATCTTTTGCCCTCTTTTACAGTGTTTTCCCCATTCTAAATCTCTAATTCCGATCTTTAAGACTCGTCCGTTTGTCTGGTTAAAGTACGAGCCCTCGGGGAATTGTAGGACAACATTTTAAATTGGATTACGCTCAGAAAATCGCTGAAATACAATTTACCGAAACACGCCGAAGAAGAGCCTAATGATGTTGCAATTTACGTAAGAACATGAGCTGTTCATCACTCTGCTTCTATTATTGTCGTCCCCTAAGGGGATGGTTTGTTTTGAAACTTTCGAAAGACTTTTCGCACAGTGCAAACGAAAAAGGGAAAGAAGAGAATGCACGGTGCGACAAAGATTGCAGAGCGTCGCAAAAGCTTGGCCATTCCGCACAGTGCAATTGGAAAGTGTCGCGAGAAAAATCAGAAATACTGCACAGTGCGGTGAGAAGGTTCGAATTTTCGCACAGTGCAAACGAAAAATGAACGGAAAAAGAACGCACCGTGCGGCAAAGAGCGTCGCGGCAAAAGTTTGGTCAATCTGCACAGTGCAATTGGAAGGTCTGGAAAGTTCCGCGATGCGAAATACTGCACAGTGCGGTGAGAAGGTTCGAATTTTCGCACGGTGCAAAGAATTTTTTGCCGCACTGTGCATAAAGAAAACTATCGGTTGCACCGTGCAGCGACCTGTTTGAAACTGCACCGTGCGGTGACCCAAAGCAAAAACTGCACTGTGCAAAAAAAAGTAAATTTTTTTTGCTTTTTTCTTGCACGGTGCGGTAAAGAAATGAGGCGAAATTTTGTTTCGCACAGTGCAAAAAAGCAAAAAATGAAAAACTGCACTGTGCAAAGATAAAAAAACAAAAATTTGCACAGTGCGATAGTAAAATGAATGATTTTGCACGGTGCAATAAAAAAATTGCAGTCAAATTTCGAAACTGACGACAAAAAAAAATTTCAAGCGAAAATTTACGACTCACCGCGACACCAACGACCCACATTTGTAAAATCCTCCACAATTGAAGCCCAGGGCGGCATGAACGCCTCCAAACATGATGGCCGTCAGCAAAGGCATGCTTGCCGGGGCGAAACAAAGATAAATATAAATCGCCGCGGGCGTTAAGACCGCCACCGAATTGAAAATCCACATCTTTTTTCGCTCTGGGAGACATCTGAATAAAATTTTTTTATTAAAAGTTAAAAAAAATTTTTTTTTTTTTTTGAAACTTACTTGCAAGTGTCCGAAAAGTAGCCACAAACCAATTTGACGGGGATATGCGACAACGACCCTAAGGCACCAACAATTCCAGTCTCTGTGGTGGAAAATCCAAGGACTTTTTTCGTGTAAGTTGGGGCGTAGATGAAGAGGAAAAAGCCCGAAAATAAATCGGCAAACGCGTTCACCCACACGGCCCACACAACCTTGTCTTTGCAGATCTCCTGAAGAAAGATTTTTTGAGATTTTTAAAATATTTTTTTTGATTTTTTGAGAATTTTGAGATTTTTTGCAATTAAAAAACTTTTTTGTTTTGATTTTTTTAGAATTTCGAGATTTTTTGAAAATTTTTTTGAGAATTTTGATATTTTTTGAAATTAAAAAAACATTTTTTTTGAGTTTTTTATAAATTTTTTGAGAATTTTTACAATAAAAATAAGAAAAAAAAATTATTTTTTTCAATTTTAAAAGCCAAAAATAAAAAAAAATAAAATAAAAAAATAAAAAATGAAAAAAAACTCACTTTATACGGAACATAGCCAGTATGATTCCGATGGGCCTCCGATTTGTCCATATGAATAATCGACAACTCTTTTTTGCTCACAAATTTGTTATTTTGAGGATCATCCGTATAAAATATGGCCCATAAAATGAAGAGGAACAGTCCGAGCAAGGCGTGACTGTAGTGCACCCATGGCCAGCCCAAGGAAGAGTCGCAGATCTAGGCGAAAAAATGTGTTTTGGGATGAGAAACAAAAATTTCATTTGAACATCGCGACCGCACTGTGCAATGGCCGGTCTGCACTGTGCAACCAACCGACTGCACAGTGCAAAAAATGGCAAAGCCAACTGCACCGTGCGTTCGAAGAGATTCTTTTTTGGCCAATCGCGACCGCACAGTGCAACGAGCAGTCCACACAGCGCGAAAGATTGAAAAATTCATTTGCACTGTGCACAAAAAAGCTTTCATTTTGAGATCGCGCCCGCACAGTGCAAGGGCATGGCGAACCCAAATGCACTGTGCGCAAAAGAGGGTTTGGTTTGGAGATCGCGGCCGCACAGTGCAAAAGAATTGCAGACTCAACTGCACAGTGCGGGTTCAATTTTGGAGATTGTGCCGCACGGTGCAAAAGAATGGCAAACCCGGTTGCACTGTGCGCAGAAAAGGTTTATTTGGAGATCGCGCCCGAACATTGCAACCAAGTGCCTGCACAGTGCAAGAGAATGTCAAACCCAACCGCACAGTGCGCAAAAGAGAGCTTTCATTCGGAGATCGCCACCGCACAGTGCAAAAGAATGGCCAACCCGGTTGCACTGTGCGCAGAAAAGGTTTATTTAGGAATCGCGGTCGCACAGTGCAACCAACTGACTGCACTGTGCATTCCTAAAAAAACAGAAATTATTTTCCCGGCGCACTGTGCAGCTTTAAAAATTCCCGTCGCACAGTGCAAAGGAAACAAAAAATGACTCCTAGATGCACTGTGGAATCAAAAAAAAATCCGTCGCACTTTAAAAAAACAAAAATCGTTTTTTTTTCTGGTTTTTTCACCGTAAATTGCTGTGTAAATGTACGAAAGACCATTAAACAGATGAAAATCATATGAAAAACAAACTTACTACTCCGGAGACCATGTTGGTCAATGCATTCGACAATGGAGCAAAACAAGTCAACAACGCCAAAAATTTGGCATTTTCCCGCAACGAAGCCCACCGAGAGCAAATAACGCCGACCACAGCGAAGTCACAGGCGTAGGCGATACCCTGGAACATATTTTTTATTTGAAAAGTTAGTCATCGTATGAAAAAAAAAGAAAAATGAATCCTTGCACTGTGCGGCGGAAGAAACGAGATGGGTTTTAAACCGCACAGTGCAAACATCGGGAAATGTTTTTTGCACTGTGCAAATTTTATCGCTGCTTTAATTTTCGCACTGTACAAAAAAATTTTACCTCGGTCTGCACAGTGCAAAAAAAAAATAATATTTAAATTTTCGCACTGTGCAAAGAAAATTTTTTACCTCGGTCTGCACTGTGCGAATAAAAAATAATGTTTTAATTTTCGCACTGTGCAAAATGGTCAAAAAATCGTTTTCGCACAGTGCAAAAAAGAAAAAACTGATTTCCGCACGGTGCAAAATGAACAAAAATTAATTCCGCACAGTGCAAAATGAAAAAAAAACTAATTCCGCACAGTGCAAAATGAAAAAAAAAACTAATTCCGCACAGTGCAGACAACGGAAAATGTTTTTTGCACTGTGCAAATTTTATCGCTGCTTTAATTTTCGCACTGTGCAAAAAAAAAATTTACCTCGGTCTGCACTGTGCGAAAAAAAATTTTTTTAATTTTCGCACTGTGCAAAAAAATTTTTACCTCGGTTTGCACTGTGCGAAAAAAATAATATTTAAATTTTCGCACTGTGCAAAAAATTTTTTTCCTCGGTCTGCACTGTGCGAATAAAAAATACTATTTAAATTTTTGCACAGTGCGAAATGGTCAAAAATAATTTTCGCACAGTGCAAAATGAACAAAAATTAATTCCGCACAGTGCAAAATCGGCAAAATTTATTTCCGCACAGTGCAAGCGGAAAATTTTTGAAACAAAACTCGCCTGCATGACTCTAGCCGCCAGCAGCCAATAGAATCCCCATTCAATCGCCGGAGGAATAATCGCCGTACTCAGAGCGGAAAGCAGTCCCGTCGCCAGGAAAACATATTGAGCTCCGATCTTGGTGCAGGCATAACTGAACGGGAACGTGGCGATCATACTGGCGATGGATACAGTCCATTGGATCATCGTTTTTTCGCCTTGCGAGTAATGGTGGAGAGGGTTGGCGGGGTTCTGAAAATGGGGATGGATAAAAAATAAAAAAAAAAAAAAAAAAAAAAAATTTTTTTTGAATTTTTTGTTTTTTTTTCGACTTTTCGGGATCCATCTAAAAAGTGTTTTAGGTGGATAAAAAATTTGAAAAAGTGAAAAAAAACTGGAATTTTACGATTTTTTTGATTATTTTTATTTTTTTTTTTTTTTATTTTTTTTTGTCAAATTTTTGCTGATTTCGGTTAAAAAAAATTAAAAAAAAATTTTTTAATGTTGAAAATTCTTTCAACATTAAATTCTTTCGATCATGCCGTATTTTTCTTTCGATCATGCCGTATTTTTTTCAAAATTAATAAAAAAAATTTTAATTTTTTTTTTCAAATTTTGATCCAAAAATCTCTGAAATTCCGGTGAAATTCGAACCAATTTTTCTCAAAATATTATTTAAAAAATTTAAATTTATATTCCGTAAATTTTTTTCAAGATCTGAGCGATTTTTCGCACAAAAATTTTTTTCGGATTTTTTTGATTTTTTTTTTATTTTTTAATTTTTTTTTCAAAAAAAGGCAAAAAATTGGTTCGAAAAAATTAATATTACTTACAATTGTCGAATTCTTCCCCGGATCCATGCAAATGATGGTGAAATTGATGGTGACCATGTTCGAGAAGACCGAGGTTAGACAGGCCGTGGCCAGGAACAGGATAAACCATCGGAAATTGTTCTCCAACATGACATCAGCGAGCCGGTTTCGGGGCTCCAATTGATCGTTTTCTGCGGTTTAGTTTGTGACGGAACAAACTTTGGAGAAGGGGGAAAGATCCTCGAGGGCTGTTCGGCGATCTCCTTTACAACAACAAATCAATTCGTCGCGGTTTTTGGGGAAGGTAAAATGAGCGAGAAAAAAGGGGAAGGTAAAATGAGCGAGAAAAAAAAAGGTAAAAGATTAAAAGATTCCCCACTGCCTCGAAAGGGGATTTGGGAGAGCGATAAAAATATTTTTGGGATGCACTGTGCAAAGAAAAAGTTTATTTTTTAAACCGCACGGTACGAAAGTTTTTTAAAAAATTTTGCACAGTGCAATTCAAGTTTTGGTTGGATTGCACCGTGCGCAAAAGTTTGCACTGTGCGACTTTTTTTTGAAAACTGCACGGTGCAATTCAATTTTTTGGTTCAAATTTCCAAAAAATTGCACTGTGCGAAATTAAAAAAAAACCCTTTTTAAACTGCACGGTGCATTTTTTTAAAATTCCGCACAGTGCAATTCAATGTTTGATCGATTGCACTGTGCGCGAAAATTTCAAAAAGTTTGCACTGTGCAAAATCAGCGAATATTTTTTTGACTGCACAGTGCAATTCAAGTTTCTTTCCTTTTGGCCACCGCACAGTGCAGCCCAGAAAAAATCGAGAATAACGCACAGTGCAGTTGAAAACTTGTCGCCGCTTTTGTTTCACTGCACAGTGCAGTGAGAGAAAAGGCGACTTTCCATTGCACCGTGCAAAATAAAAAAATTCCTGCACAGTGCAGTCAACTTTTTGGCGACCACTTTTCTCATGGCACTGTGCGAAAAGTTATATTATAAAAGGCGCACAGTGCAGTTGAAAACTTGTCGCCGCTTTTGTCTCACTGCACAGTGCAATGAGAGAAAAGGCGACTTTCCATTGCACTGTGCAAAATAAGAAAGTCCTGCACAGTGCAGTCAACTTTTTGGCGGCCACCTTTCCCATTGCACTGTGCGAAAAGTTGTTCTGTAAAACGCACAGTGCAACCAAAGTGCAATCACCCCAAATCAAGTCGCACGGTGCGGAACCAATAATAACATTATGGGAAAAACATTAAAATGCCTCGGGGCAAGGTGATGACGGTTCACGGAAAAGAGCGTTCTGATTTGCATTCTCAATCACGTTTCGGGTCGGGGATTAGGGGAAAAACTAGAAAACATAAGTGGCGATGGATTTGCAAGATCACTGAACTTGAGAACACTCTTGTTGTACTTTATAACTACAAATAAATTTTTTGAACGGAAAGTTCGATGTAGTGTAGGGCTATTTGTGAAAGATAATGAGAAACACAAAGAAGTCTTTTAAAAAATCGTCATAGATAATATAAAAAGTAGTTAAAAAACGATTCAAAAACGTTTTGTTTGCTAAAAATCTGTTCGGTAAATTGTAGTCTGTTATTTTTAAAGCGAATTTCAAAGCTTTTGAGAGTTTTAGTGACGTTTTGAGGGCTTAAAACAGAATGCCAAACATGGCGGGAATTCGAAATTTTTGGATTGGAAACTGCTAGAAAATAGTTTTTTTAAGCGATTACAGAGGATTTTACAACCCTGATTTTAATTTTCCCGTAATTTTACCACTTATAATTGATATAAAGCATAATGCCAAAAGTGGCGGGAATTTCAAATTTTTAAAATTGAAAACGATCGAAAATGAACTAATGTGTAATTTCAGACAATTTTATTGCTATGTGGACATTTCTCAAAGTTTTTACCGCCAAGAATGTCTATAAAACATTATGCCAAAAATAGCGGGAATTTCAAATTTTTGAATTTAAAAACAAGCCCGACAAAGTTTACAAGTGATTTCAGACAATTTTATTGCTATGTGGACATTTCTCAACGGGTTTACTGCTAAAAATGGCTATAAAACACAATGCCAAAAATAGCGGGAATTTCAAATTTTTGAATTTGAAAACGATTAAAGTTGAACTTATGAGTAATTTCAGACAATTTTATTGCTATGCAGACATTTCTCAACACTTTTACCACTTAAAATGGCCATAAAACATAATGCCAAAAATGGCGGGAATTTCAAATTTTTGAATTTGAGAACGATTACAATTGAACTTATGAGTTATTTCATACAATTTCATTACTACGCGGACGTTTCTTAACAGTCTTACTACATACTTACAATGGCTATAAAACACAATGCCAAAAATGGCGGGAATTTCAAATTTTTAAATTTGAAAATGATCAAAAACGAATATACAGCTAAAAACCGCAACTTTCAATGTCGCATTTTTTGGAATCCGAAAACTGAGCGCCGCCATAAAACGGAGATCACTTCATTTGTCGCGGCTTATATACGATCATCAAATAAATGGGGACTTTGATCACTCACGTCTGATCGACCGTATCCATTGAGCCGGATAAACAATTCGGGCCAAATATACAGTCAAATGACCGGTCTATTTACACATTTCACGGCTTTTTTTGGGAAAAAACTTGAGGATCAAAGTATTGTTTCAAAAATAAACACATAAAAGCCAGTAAAATACTAAAATAGAAGCCTTATCGTGGTTGTTTGCTTCAGATATTGCAAAATGGAGAAACAAGACGTATTTGTTTCTTTTTTGCTCTAGGCGTTTTTTGAAAATCGAAATTTGGAAATGAAAAAATTGGGTTTTCTGAGTCAGAACTAATAAGGCAAGTACAATATGTTCGACCCTCCGATTTTCTTGAAATATGGCACATACGTCGTTCATAGGTCACATATCAAGTCCCGAAAATTTTAGCTTTGGATTTAAAGGCACTGCCGAGATATGCAACGATCTTTGCGGCCGAGAGAGTACGCGGAACTCGGAGAACGGAGAGAGGAAAACACTTTTTGGCCATATCTTTGCCAATTTCGCGCGGAAAAATTTAATTTTTTGTGGAGACATTACTCTCTACAGTAGAAATAGACACAAAAAATTTCATGGCAAAATTCGAAAAAAATGTTGTATTTTTTTGGCCAAGTTTCTGTCTAAAAATCTCGGTTGTTTCTGCAAAGTGCGAGCTAAAAATCTCTTATATTCCTCAGAAAAAATTGCTCTAAATTTGTCCCAAGTTTCATCAAAATTTCAACGCCGCACTTGGAGGAGTATACAATTGCATACACATAGTATAATATACAAGTAAAACACAATCCAATTGAAACCCCCTCATTCTTTTGTTTGTTTGATTTGTGGCTTTTGCGGGGCCCGTCTTTCTTCAGCCTAACGCCCGTTAATTAATGCAATTGAAGAGAGTTGAGTTTCAATGTTTATTTCGTATCAGTCGGTCGGGAAAATAATATGGATTTGCAAACGTTTCAAATAAACAAATATACATCTTCTTGGTCAATTTTGCAATATGTTTGTGAAGTAAACACCTATGATAAGGCTTTTATTTCATGTGCTTCGAACACTTCTTGTGGAAAATATCATCAATTTTTACCGTAGCTTTACAAAACCCCTATCTGAGTTCGACTTGACAATGCAGAGCTTGCCATTTCACGGTCCTTTTGTTCTTCAAAGTCGGTAATGACCAAAACGCATCCATTGCGAGTCGAAAAATTTGGGCCAAAAGCGTGAAATTGTTCGGTTATCGCAATGTTGAAAAAGTCGTATTTTCTAATACTGTTTTTTGTGATCCTCCAAAATAACAATCTTCTTCACTTCGCTCAAGTTTATGAAGACAATTTTGAGGAGGAAAATTGTGACACTACGGCGACTATTACCGCAACTACAACAACATCCCATTTGACGACAACTACAACGTCTGAGTCGAAAAAAACGACGGAAAAGACGACTGCGACAACTACTGGTATTTTCATAAAGTGCATGGACATTTTTTTGTGTTCGCACAGTGCATTTTAAAGTTTCTCCCATGCTCGTCGCCAACGCACAGTGCATTTTCCTTTTTTCGCACAGTGCAAAGTGCAAACCTCAAAAAAAGCCGTTTGCACCGTGCAGACTCCCGGGCCGCCGCGGCGACGTAATTTGAAACTCGCTTTTGTCGCAGCGATAATTTGATGCACAGTGCAAACACAAAAAGGCAAAATGCACGGTGCAAAATGGTGATTCCTTGTTTACGGTGCGGGCCACGTCATTTTCCCACGCTTGTCGCCATCGCACTGTGCATTTTCCTTTTTTTGCACAGTGCAAAGTGCAAGCCTCAAAAAAAGCCGTTTGCACTGTGCAAACGTTTGAAAATTTTTTTGCTCCGCACTGTGCATTTCAAACTTTTTCCCAGGCTTATCGCCAACGCACAGTGCATTTTTCCCTTTGCGCACCGTGCAAAATGCAATCCTCAAAAAAAACCGTTTGCACTGTGCAAATTTTTAAGCATTTTTTCGCACAGTGCATCTTCAATTTTTGCGAAACCAAAAAAATGTCGATGCACTTTACAAAAATACTAACGTAAACGCCGTTGAAGACTTTGAGACAACTCTTCCAGATCCTGATACTACAACTACCATTCCTACAGAACCTACAACTACTCCATGGGATGAAACTACAGTAGCCCCGGAGACGACGACAAGCCCTACAACTGATCCTTCGACTGAAACAACAACGCAATTTGTGGCCTCTACTACGACCGACGAAGAAGGCGATTATGATGGAGAAGATGGGAATAGCAGAGAAAACATTGGTAAGAAAACAAACATTCAGGAATGGAATGCACAGTGCAGCCGTAAAAATTTTGTAAACGCACGGTGCAACAAAAAAGATTTCAGACTGCACAGTGCAAACTCAGCGACAACTCATTTCTGTTTGCAAGCGCAAACTCAGCGACAAATCATTTCAACTTGCACTGTGCAAGAATAAAAATATTGCAAGCGCACGGTGCAATAAAAAATAATGTAGATTGCACAGTGCAAGGTCAGCGACAAAAATTTTCATCTTGCACCGTGCAAGAATAAAAATTTTTCAAACGCACTGTGCAACGGAAAATTTTACGGAAATGCACTGTGCAAAGCCAGCGACAAATCGTTTCAGTTTGCACAGTGCAGAAATAAAAATTTTGCAATCGCACGGTGCAACGAAAAACAGGCAGATTGCACAGTGCAAACTCAGCGACAAATCGTTTCAGTTTGCACAGTGCAGAAACAAAAATTTTACAAACTCACGGTGCAACAAAAAAGATTTCAGATTGCACAGTGCAAAACAGCGACAACTCATTTCAGTTTGCACAGAAATTTTGAAAATGCACGGTGCAACAAAAAAATCAGATTGCACTGTGCAAACTCAGCGACAACGGAATTTCGCATGCACTGTGCAAAAATAAAAATTTTATAAACGCACGGTGCAACGCAAAATTTTGCGGAAATGCACTGTGCGGCCCTCTTTTCTTAGTTCGCACGGTGCAAAAAGAATAAATTTTTTTGAAACTGCACGGTGCAAAGGCACTACATCAAAAGCGAAATGCACTGTGCGAAATTTTTGAAAAAATAGAATGCACAGTGCAGTGCAGCGACAAAAAAAATAAAAAATAAAAAATTCGATATTGCACAGTGCAAACGCAAAATTAAACCGTGCAGTTTTTTGCACTGTGCACAACAAAATTATTTTTCTATTTTCAGAGGCAAAATCGACCAAAAAAATGCCCATAATAACTGCGACAACTCCTAAAATTGATGCAAAAATCGACAATTCAGACGCTGACTCTGATTTCTCGGAGAATTACGGGCAAAATCTCCGATCTTTTGCGAATTGGGCGCAAGAAAGTTGGAATGGCGAGAACACCTTCAAAGTTGACCTGTTCACAATCGATGGCACCACTTTACTCGGCAATCTTACCTTGGGTTCGCCGCCGCTTACTGTGAGAGTAACTTTTGACCAAACCACGTTCACCACCTGGATCACTGGCTATCATTGTGTCTACACGAATGGAGTGACCTGTTTCACGCAGCTCCACAAATACGATCCAACGCTCTCGTATACGGCAACGTTTCTGAATCGCTCAATGATGTTGGATTACGGGAATGCGATGGCAAAGGGGGAGTTTGTTCAGGAGTTGGTGGTGGTAGGTCATTGTGAGGGTACTAGTCGATTTATTGTCAGCTCGGAACCCAAATGTCCTCTTCGTTTCCAATGTTTTGCAACATTGGAGTGGCCAATCGTCTGGACACCTTCTTTCGCGTGAGTTTTCAAACTTTAAAAATTTTTCGCACAGTGCAGAAAATTTATTTTTTATTTTTTTCGCACTGTGCAAGAAATTTTTTCTTTTCATTTTTTCGCACGGTGCAAGAAATTTTACTTTTTATTTTTTTGCACTGTGCAAGAAAATGTTCTTTTCATTTTTTTGCACAGTGCAAGGAAATTTACTTTTCATTTTTTTGCACAGTGCAAATTTTGCGACTTTCATGCACAGTGCAAGAAAATTTACCTTTAATTTTTTCTGCACAGTGCAAGAAATTTTTTCTGCTCATTTTTTCGCACTGTGCAAATTTTGCGACTTTTTCATGCACAGTGCGAGGAAATTTACTTTTCATTTTTTCGCACTGTGCAAGAAAATTTACTTTTCATTTTTTCGCACAGTGCAAGGAAATTTACTTTTCATTTTTTCCGCACAGTGCAAGAAATTTTCACTTTTCGTTTCTCCGCACAGTGCAAGAAAATTTGATTTTAATTTTTTCTGCACAGTGCAAGAAATTTGTTCTTCTCATTTTTTCGCACTGTGCAAATTTTGCGACTTTTTCATGCACAGTGCAAAAAATTTTGGAACGCTTGCACAGTGCATTTCTTTTCTTTTTTTTAATCTTTTCGCACTGTACGTTCTTTTTGCACGGTGCAATTTTGCTATTTGCACTGTGCAAAACCAACTTCTAAATTTTGTACGGTGCAATTTTTTTGTCTTCTGCACCGTGGAAGACCCACTTCAAAATTTTGTGCAAAATCCATTTCAACATTTTGCACAGTGCAATTTTTTTTCTGCACTGTGCAATCAGTTGAGGATGCGGACTCAAGATGAATTGTTCAGGACGTTCTCCTCGACGGAGTGGTTGGTCTCGCCTTCCCTCCAGCGAATCAAACCGGATTTCTTGAGTTCCTCCTCCACGCCCAGATATTTCAAAAGCCAATCTTCTCGATTTGGCTGAACCCGCGAAGAAATTTGACGTCCGATTTGGTCGCTGGGACTATTGTGTTTGGACGGGCCGATAAAAAGAATTGTGGAAATGTAATAGGATCTGCCAGGGTTGTAAAGAGACCGTTGTGGGAGTTCAAGGTAGGCCAAAAATTGATATTTTTTTCAAAATCTGTCTCACCACGAAAACTTGAGATTTGTCAACTTGGTCCGTATTTTAACTTTCTGAATTAATAACAGTGCCCACGGCGTTATTAACACATAAAAAATTAAAAATTTGCATATTTTTTAAAAATTTTGAGTCCCGCCACGAAAACTTGAAACCCCTAAAGTTGGCTGAAATTTCGGTTTTCCAGCTTGATAATGCCTTTCAGAAATGTTTGAAGGTCATTAGAATCTTTTTCTATCCAAAATTTGAGTTTTTTCCCAAAAATTTGGTCCCACCACGAAAACCTGAAATCTCTCAAAATGAGCGTATTTTTGAATTTACGGACTGCCTGCTTCTTTCTAAGCGATTTTCAGACCGTTATAATTTTATTCGCCCCAAAATTTGCATAGTTTAATCGAAATTTTGGGTCCCGCCACGAAAACCTGAAACCCCTCAAAATGGCTATATTTTTGAACTTACGGACCAACTGCATCTCTTTAGGCGATTTTCAGGCTAGCCTAATGTTTTCACACCGAAATTTGCATAGTTTAATCGAAATTTCGGGTCCCGCCACGAAAACCTGAGATCCCCCAAATTGACCCAAATTTCGATTTTTCAGATTGATAACATCACTCTGAACAATTTTCTGATCCGCCGCGAGATCAACGCCATCTTGGACATGGGGAGTTCGCATATTTTTGTCCCCAAAATGGACTTGGCCAAAATCAAAAAAGTGCTCAAACTCAAAAATACAGTACGAATCCCATGCAAAAAGTACATGAAATTGGTTCTGCGTTCGAATCGGACCAGACTAATCATGAAAAACAACAATTTGATGCGCTTTTTGGAGAGAAAAAAGACCAAGAAGTACTGTAACTTGGAGATTCGAGAAGGCGCTGATGATGTGTGGATTCTGGGAGCCACATTTTTCCGCCGATTCTGTGTGATTCACAACTTTTTGAAGGGAATTATCGGATTCGCAGAGCATTTGGATTAATTTTTGAAAAAAAATTTTGGTTTTTTGCGTTAAAATTCTCATGGATAATATAATAAATACTCAATAAAGCCGTCGTAATTCGATTTTAAAATCTTAAAATACTTTTTATCACCGACGACTGATACATTTGTCACTGATTTTAGCCCTTCTAGGGCATTAAAACAGAATGCCAAAAATGGCGGGAAATTTGTACCTTTGAATCTCGAAATGTTCTAAATGAAGTGCAAATGTAATATAAAACGTCTCAGATTGCTGATTTCACATCTTACGACATTATTTTACCCATTTTCGACGATTAAAACAGAATGCCAAAAATGGCGGGAAATTTGGAAATTTGAACTTTTAAATGTTCTGAATGACGTGCAAATAAAAAATAAGTAATATAAAACACCCGGGATTGCTGATTTCACAGCTTGCGACAGTATTTTACCTGTTTTCGGCGGTTAAAACAGAATGCCAAAAATGGCGGGAAATTCGAAGTTTCGAATTTCAAAATCTTTTGAATGTGGCACAGCCTAAAAAAATACTATTTTTGTTGCTTTTACATTCCCATTTTATCAATTCCGACAGTGTTTATGACCTTGAAACAGAATGCCAAAAATGGCGGCAATTTGAAAATATTAACTTTTGACACCAATTTTTTGGTAACTGACCGATTTCACATATCTTTTAATGTGTTTTCTAGCAACTTTCATCAAAATGTGGTTCTAATTTACTGTAATTTACAGATAATTCCATTTTCAATTCGTGCTAATCATGATAGAACTGGAAAACACACTTGCAATCCCGGTTACAACTGAACATCCGATCATCATTATGCTCTTTCCGGCAATTGTACGTGCATTCATGCGCATTGCCTGAAAAAAATTTTTTTTAAACGCACTGTGCAGTCCAATTCTTGCCGCACTGTGCGATTTTCTATATATAATATTTTTTTCGCACAGTGCATAAAAATATAAAATTTCTTCATTGCACTGTGCGGTTTGTGTAATAAAAATTTTCTCGCACGGTGCAAAGGCGAGTGACTGCACTGTGCGCCAAACTGTCGACCGCGACAACTTTTCATTTTTTTTATTGCACCGTGCGAAAAAAATAAAACTTTTTCCGTCCTTCGCACAGTGCAATTCGCAGAAATTTTCGCACAGTGCAATTCGAAAAATTCTTTGCACAGTGCAATCCGCAAAGACCTTCGCGCAGTGCAATTCGAAAAATTTTTCGCACAGTGCAATCCTCAAAATTCTTCGCACAGTGCAATCCAAAAGTTTCTTCGCACAGTGCAATCTTCAAAATTTTCCACTTACATTTCGCATTCCCTAGATGCAAGCCATTTTCATCCTTGTCCTGAGTGCTTTCTGTCTCAATTCTACTTCCAAAACTGGCATCAATCTCATTGCCGGTTGGTCTGCTCTCCACCACCAAGTACAACAAAATCCAGCTCCAAAGCACTAATTTTCGGATCATCACGCCAACTCATCCACTTCCATCGCCTCGGGCGATTATATTCGTCCCAGATATTTGTTCAGTTGGCGGGATCCGGTGGAAATTCGACAAAAATTTTGAGTCATCAAGTACAACATCAGGTAGTTGGGTTTATTTCGAGAATCTTAACGACGAACTTTGGTCATCTCCTCTGTAATTTTCTACAAAAAATTAAAAGTTTTTTGAAATTTATATTACGCATTTTATGAACTTTAAACTGCGATTCCTCTAAAAAATCTACCGGATACCAAAAGTAAGAATTTTTACTTTAATTTTTCATTTTTTTTTCCAATACATGAAATTGTCAAATTTTTATTTTTTTTTTCTCAAAAAATTTAAAAATTTGCATAAACTGGCGGAGATTTCTGATTCCCAAAAAAACTTCATTATCGACTGGTTGTCAAAAATGGAGCTCGAGTCACGGACTGAGGTGTACGTCGAGCATGAAAAGCTCGACTATGGCACTATTCTCGACTGGATAAAATTGGATCAAGACGCGAAGGTCCTTACAAGCTCCATCCCGGGAATAATGGTGAGTCAACTTTTTCTTACGAGGAGGTACTGCAAGTTGGACGCTTCTATTTTGATAAAACTTGGCACAAATTTAGAATAATTTTTTACATGACGTGTGCGAGACTTCCAGCTCGCGCTTTGCGGAAACGACCCAGATTTTTATGCTGAAAGTTGCCAAAAATTTTTTAGTTTGCACAGTCAGGAGACAAAGGAAAATTCCATATATGTTAAGTGCAATGATTTTACAAGGAAAGTAGTTCTACGGGGTAAAAATGCCGCTTTTCTTGCGAATGCTGGCATAGAAAGTTTCATTCGTATCTCTACCGCAGTCTTTCCACGAAGAAATTACTTTTTTTTTAAACTGGCCAATTTACGGCCAAAATTTTTTCTCTGACCGCTCTCTGAGTTTTGCGTTCTCTCTCGGCCGCAAAGATCGCTGAAAATCACGGTTGTAGTTGCAAAGCGGGAGCTAAGATTTTCTGGAATTGAAACGTTGCCTATGCCCGAAGTGTGTGCAAAATTTTAAGAAAACTGGGCGTCGCACTTGGAATACTTCCTTAATCAGCTAAACTTATTCTAGCCGTCGGATATCATCCTCGAAGCTGGGCGGCCGGATAACCTCCACCAAGTGGGGTCGGCAGAATCCCTTAAAAGATTCACGCCCCAATATGGAACCGTGGGATTCATTATCCTGCGACTGGATCGGCTCATCACGCCCATCCCAACCAAAGCCTTTCTGATATCTCGGGAAAGATCAGAGTTGGTAAGTTCGGTTAAAGTAGGCGAAAAATTCAGCCTGACCTATTCCAAAAATAATAATTTTTTCCAAGCTGCGCCCTAGGCCTTACTTTGGGAATGACGCCAATTTAATTTTCCGAAAACATTCGGGCGCAGCACGGAAAAATTTGTATAGTTGATTTTTTTCAATTTGGACCAGATTTTTTCAAAAATTGACCTGATTTCTTTTTAATATTTTACGAATTTAATTTCAGTGTGACAAGCTTCGCCACAGGTTGGCGGAGTCTGTCATCGAGCTCGCACAACTACCAACAAGAATAGCCTTTGAAAAGGCAAAGGCAGACATTGTGGAGTTGACGAAAAAGGTAAGCAACTTTTTGGGTTTTAAAAAAGAAGAAAAAAATTTTGTAGTAGAGTTATTTTACTGCTTGCCCTTCTAATTGTAAGGCATACCACGAGTTATTCATTATAAGTTCATTGATTACTCAAGAACTTCTTAAAAAGGTGTATATAATAATGATGCCTAGAAAGGGTCGATGATAAATTACAAGATACAAAAAAAGGGGAAACAGTAAAATATAATAAGACAATTACTAGCTAGGCCCACTCCAGACGGAGGGGCGCCTCGGTTCTCCCGAACCTCCTCCCTCCTTGACTCCCAAATCAGCTAACTAATTCTTATCAAGGGTACCTACGACCCTGTCGGATAGGGGCGTATTTATGATGTGTCGCGCTGCTATTTGGCGCATACAACTGTATTATGATATATAATTGATAGTAAGAATTACTTAGCCTTAAAGCGCATGAGTATCTCGGTTCTTCCTGGGCACGTTGTGAAGCTTTAGAAATCGATGCGATTTTAATTTAGAGTTAGCAAAACTATATTTCAGATTCCTAATAATAAAGAATGTAAAGGTGCCTAATAAAAGTTTTAAAATATTATGCATAACATACCTTCATAAATTTCTTTTAAGAGACAGTCAGCCCATATCGAAGTTAATCTTGAGCTGGCTCCGAGAAAAAGCGAAGGAGAAACCATCAAGGAAGAAGACACCCAGCACGAAACTGGAGAGGATGTTCGCGGAAAAGTCTGGGACCACCAATGGCGTCAAAGATCGGGTAATCGGATGAACCCATTGTAAATCGTTTTTTGACAAGTATAAATTTTATTTATTTCAGGACAAAAATCCCTCGCAAATCACACTACTTCATCGAATTTTACTCCCATTTAGTTGTGAATAAATCGTATACTGAAAAGTGTGCTTTTTCTGAAGAATGCTTTTTTCACGGTTTCCTTCGAAAGAGACCCCGAGTTGAAAGAGACCCCGGAATCGGGGGTCTAGTACCAGATAGTACTATAAAGAGGAAAGCTGACATGATTTTCGAAATCAGCACCTTCGAAAATTTCTGACTCAATTCTACTCCCGAAACTGGCATCAATCTCATTGCCGGTTGGTCTGTTCTCCACCACCAAGTACAACAAAATCCAGCTCCAAAGCACAAATTTTCGGATCATCACGCCAACTCATCCGCTTCCATCGCCTCGGGCGATTATATTCGTCCCAGATATTTGTTCAGTTGGCGGGATCCGGTGGAAATTGGACAAAAATTTTGAGTCATCAAGTACAACATAAGGTAGTTGGGTTTATTTCGAGAATGTAAATGGAGAAAGTGAGTGGGAATCGATGTCATGGATGTGGTATTATGCTATAGGGATGGGGTTCGTTCTTCGGACTCGGGGGCACCCAATGAGCTGCGTTCTTGTTCGGCTTCCCGGACCTGAAAATTGATGGGTAAAACAAGGTAAAGTAATGTCCGAAAAACAAATTTGCTGTTAAAATTTCAAGCTAAAATTTTTAAAATGTCCTCTAATTTCGCTCTTAGGCTCTACAAATCGATTTTTAATTACTAATTCAACCTAAAAAATTTTTATTTTAGGTCCCGCCACGAAAACTTTAACTAGTCGAATTTGGCCTCAAATCATCGGAAAAAACAATTTTAAACCCCATAAAGTCAGTTTAAAGACCCATAGGATCTTATGCAACAATAAAATTTCAAAAGTTCAACTCCCGCCATTTTTGGCATTCTGTTTCAACTGTCAGAAACGACCATAAAACTACAAAAAATGACTGAAACTACTCTCGCCATTGACTGCTAGACCTGAATTAACTAAATTCGACTATGATTCACTACTTTTTTCGACTAATTTTTCTTATCATTAACAATTTTTCCTATAAATTAAAAAAAATCAACTTACAGTATACGCCGGTCGTGGCTTTAGGCCATCACAGCATTGGCAAATCCACGGGCAACAAAAACAGAAGACATTGGCCACGCAGTCCGTCTCCGCTCGCGATTTCTCCTCCGTTTTTCGGGCGGAGAAGATCAACGAGCCGGTGATAACAACGAAGAACGAGAGCAAGTATAGGAAATCGAACTGAAATTACATTTTTTCATTATATTTCAGATTAAATTCTTAATTTTTATGACATTTCAGGGCCAAAAATCGGGGTTTTTATCTAGTGCAATATAAAAATGATCATTTTTTTGTTGAATTTATGCGTTTTTTGCTTGAAAATTAAGCTAGAAATGTTACAGAGACATTTCAAAAATTCCGCAGTATGCAGAACCAACCGCGTTATCGAGAAATTAATTTCAAAAAATCTCGAAAAAACCCCATTTTTTTTGAAAACTCACTTTATACGAGAAAATGTAGATGCCGGCGAGTAGTGTGTAAAAATCGGCAGTCAAAACGGACAAGTTGAACATCAAGGCCGAGGATTTTTGCATTACAATTGAGACCATCGAATAGAAAGCGAACATGCAAACAGTGAACAGACAACAGTACAGAAGGGCTTCCAGGTTCCAGTTAAAGCTTGTTAGGGACTCCCGTTCAAATATTGCTCTGGAAAGATTGAATTTTCATCAAAAATATGAGATATTTGTCATAGTTAATATAAAAAATTTTCCCAAATCGGCGTGGAATGCTCTCAAAATCCATATAGAATCACAGAGAACAGCTGGTAACAACGTATTTTACCTATCTGTTAATTTTAGACCATTAAAACACAATGCCAAAATTGGCGGGAAATTTGAATTTTTTGAAATTTTTGGGCAAAATTTTGATAATTATAAACGTAGTAGGTAAAATAAAGGGTCTTTACACCATTTAAACGGCATTTCCAAGGATAATTGACAAAAAAATTAAAAAAATTATATTACTTTAGGTAATTTTGCTATATTTTTGGTGAAAACACACATTTTTCCTATGAATTTCGATGTGATATTGATAACGATTTGTAGCTCTCCTCCTAAACTTTCAAGAAAACACAAAAAATCACACTTACAATTGAACACTACTAATTAAACAGCCAAAAAGTCCGACAATCCCGAGATATTCGAACCGATCGTACTGTTTGACCAAAAACTCTTCAGTTACGTTCGCGGCACCGTAAAAAAGAGCAGCCCCGAGACACAGGAGATCTCCCAACAAGCGATCCGAGCCGCCCTCGGCGCCGCGGCCGGACTGGGAGTCGGCGAAAATGATGAGGCCAATGCCGGCCAAACAAATCGACACCCCCACCAAATGGATGAACAGATAGCGGACGGAGAGGAAGAGCCACGAAAGAATCATCACCACCGGGATCGTGGAGCAGTCCAGGATCTGGAACGGGGATTTTTTTGACTTGACTTATATTACACTTGACATCAGACGAAAAAATTGCATTTTCTTTGTTATTTACAACCTAAAAACTACCCAAGCAGTCTTGGAATTCATTTTGGACCTAAACAAAGCAACACGAACAGTAAAATCGATTAAAGAATAGACAAATTATATTACACATGACAAATCTTTACCTGAATACTGGTCAAATTTGTATGTTGATATGCATAAACAATCATGTAGTTGGCTTCAACATCGATAATGGCTAATAAAAAGTACTTCCAACCGCGTTTTCGTAGGACACTGCAGAGGTTTTTGTCACCGGACCGGAACATTAATACTAGGCCATAAACAAAGAAGAGAAAGAAGTAATTGAAGAAACTTTGAGCTGAAAAACATTGTCTATTTACTTGAAAACTACTAATTAGCAGTAATCTGATTCAAATCCAACAAAAAATCATCGAATTCTGAAGGATTTTAAAAATTCCAGAAAATCCGTCATGATGACGTCTTTGATCATGCAGATTTTATGAATTTCGTTTTTGAACCTTGTTTATAGTCATACAAGGACATTACTAGAAAAATTCCATCAATAAATTTCCGTCATAACCTCGTTAAATTGATCAGGATGACGGATTTTCTAGATTTTTCGAAAAATCCTAAAATTTCTCCCAAATCAAAATTCTCTTTGAGTCTACGATGACTAAGAACAGCTTTCCAATTACCTGCCGGCGCATTGAAGCCCATTCCAGCCAGTAATTGAGAGGAAACACCCGTTCCACATAAACACAAGGATAACATTTGCCCCAAAAGCACCGCTTGGAATGTTCGTCTCGCCGTAGTCGTCTCACAACACGTTATGCGACATCCCTCTTCCACATCCGACTCCTCGATTCGGTCGGCCATCTGCGTCACCACTCTGAATTGTCAGAATTCAATTTTTTTATCATGGACAATATAAAATTTTTGGATATTTCTACAAAATTGATGAGCCAAACAAGAGCCGAGTAAAAAAACAGAGTTAGCAAGCGTGAGAATAGAGCAGTGGAAAAGCGGAACGACGGAGTTCGGATTAAATTTATGGAAAATTTTCAAAAATTTGGAAAAATGATCGGAGTTTTTTTTTGCTGATTTCGGACGGACAGATAGTCTAGAGACAGCAAAAAATAAGCGGTTCTTATCGGTGGGATCAAAAGGCAATAAAAGAAGGGAGGAATTCACAGGAACGGACAATGATCTTGTTAGAAACACGAAAAAAGCGGTAGAGTTGCAAAAACTAGCAAAAATTGTGATGGATGATATAAAAAAAAGTGCGGAAACTCTACTATTTTCATTGTTTTAAGAAGTCAGGGACCTATTTAGGAGGTCAGAGCCACACTCCGAGACATTTCCTACCAAAATCAGAGATTGCAACAGAATGCCAAAAGCGGCGGGAAATTCGAATTCTTTCACTTTTGGGTCTATAGAAGCAGCAACTGACCCGCAGCTCATAACAAATATGATACAATATATTTCTAGAACATTTTTCCGGATTCGTTCAAATATATTCTCCTTACCTAGGAGGTACAAGGACTGGCGAAACGTCGGGTATAAAGTACCCTCCCCTTGTCTCCAATGGTACCGGTGTGATAATTGCAGGCAATAGTCTCGAATTGACCCTTTCCACCTCCGGAATCATCGATTGTCTCATCATCATCGACCTTCTCGGATCTCCCTGGTTCAAAGAGGCGTGTTGAACTTGCATATGGACGTGTTTCTTGCTCGGTAACGTCGAATATCGTCTGGATGTCGAAGCTTTTCGTGTTTGTCCAATGGCATCGTAGGATGGAGGGTTTTGCGATGAATTCGGTCGAATTGGAGTGTTTTGCGACATTATTTCATCAGCTGTCATCAAAGTCTGTGGATTTCATAAATATCACCGAAATTTGATGTCACCGGGTTGTCTAAACTTCCATCTAATCTTGTTACGTTGTCTATTCAGGTTCATTGTTCATTTCTTCATCCTAAAATTGCTGCTTGAAACGATTTAAAAACCTGATTTTTGAAAAAATATGGTAGATGTGGTCTACATAAATTATAACGTCGCGGAATGTTCTCGAATCGTAAATTACGCCATAAAATACAATTATCACAACAAACATACCATAATGCTGCCATTGGGATCGTTACCTTCCAAGATTTCAACCAATTTTGAAGTGAAATCATCATTTCTTGATATTATCGTATCCTTGAATCCCTGAAGGAATTCCTCTTCAAATCCGGGCATCAAATCCATTGCAACGTCGTTCAGCACTTTCACTGTGTGTTGTAGAAGCTCTTCATTGCTCGAACAGAGCAGAATCACGTTGATTTTTTCAAAAAATTTTTGATTAAAAATTTCCAGCCATATAAATTTGATGTTGTCGGCGGAATGAAGGCCGTTGTAGATCATACTGAGTGATTCCTTCAGTACTTTCGGCTCCAAACAGTTGTAAAAGTGTCCTTCTATAAGTTGGCATATCGATTTTTCGAAGGCTTCATCAAATTCGACCGAAATTTCTTGCGGAATTCGGAGCCTCGATATCATCTGGATAATTTCATTTTGCAAATTGCTAATTCCTGCGTTGGAAACAATACTGTCGATGGTTGCGAACCGATTCTGTATGATGTATTTGACCACATTCGTGTTGTAGAGGATCTCCAAGAAGATTTCGAACAACTTTTTGTTGAAGTTTTCCGCATTTTCCAGTGATTTTAGTTGAAAATCGACGAAATTTTGGCTATAAGTTGTCCCTTCGATCGGTAAATCCTTGTTAACGACGTTTTCATCCATCAATACGTTCACTATTCTCATCACTTCTTCATCTTCTCGGATTTCATTCAACATCTACGACATTATTCATCATGGATAACATGTCTCATAAACAATATAAAAATTTGAAGGGAACAATGAGGAAAGCCTGGGAAAAGATATAAAAAAGTAAATGAGCAAACAAAATGGGCCATAAACCGTTGGAAACTCCAAAAAAATTTTTTAAAAATTAAAAATTGGGCCGGATGTGGCCAAAAAATCTCTCGAATAGCTCGATTAAATGAACCGTTCTGGCCCCGAAAAACGTTTCTTATACAACAAACCTTATTTTTGAACCCGTTTCTATCGCCCAGGCCCACGGATTTTATCTTATCTATCAAAAAATTGCAAAAAATCCGAAAAATTGATAAAACCCCATTTTAAAAGTGACTTCGCTCCGTCGCAAAAAACGAATATCAATTTTCAAACGTGCCCGGGACGGCCGTCCGGACCAATTAATCGAAAAGGGAACAATCAAACAGCGAGTTTCAGATCAAAACGAATGGATCAACTGTCAAAACAGAACTCGCTTTCGCTTTCGCCACCCATCCATCAGTCAATTTTTATGTAATTTGAGACCAACGGTTGGCAGACTCAAGGAATCGGAGTGCCAAGTTGTCATATTACACTTGATTTCAGACGTTCGAAGCGAGCTGAAGTCAAGTGTAATATAAAAAGTTGGGTTGATCTCTCAAATTTTGGCTTTATAAAGGCCTATAGGCCGTCCAAAGGACACACTATGGCCTTAGGTACGACAAAACTGTATTTTAAAAGGAAAGTTTCCTCTTTTTTGTCTTAATTTAATGCCTAGTGTAATACAGCGTGGGCCAGTCGAAACTACCAGGTTTGATGTTTTTGAGTATTAATATTACCTAAAAAGGGTCAATGGGGTCAGAAATTATATTCACTGGAAAGGATAAAGCCAAACTCTGAGATTTTTATATTGAACTAGGCACTTGGATGAATAAGGTCAAAGGTGGTCAGGAAACCTATAAATTTGACGGAAAATATCACAAAATGATGTCAGCTGACCTCTTAGATTATGAACTGATAATAATTTTATGGAACCGACCATAATTTTATATTGTACTTGACATCTAGATGAGCTAGCCGAATTTAGATCTAAAATGTAGGCAAGAACCGCTGAAAGGTCATAACTTGTCCTCAGGTGAACTCCGGATACCATAACTTTCACAGCCACTCCGATTTGAGAGATTAGGACATATCTTTTTTTATACAGGTTGGGCCAGTCGAAACTACCAACTTTATTTCAGGTATTTCTCCACCAATAATCAATTTCCATAAAATTTATATCGAATTGAAGCTGACACACCCCATTCCCTGTCCACCAAGTATGATGTGTCTACGTTGATGGAGTTACCAGTATTGACCTTTGAAATTTTCACTCCAAATTTTTGAGCCCGAAATCGGTGAAACTTTGAAAATTTTTGCAATGATTTTCATTTGAGTTTCCCGGGTCAGTACTGGTGCCTCCGTGAACGTAGACATACCATAATTGGAAGACAAGAAATGGGGTATCTCAACTTCAATTGGATGTAAATTTTATAGAAATTGATGCATTATTGGCCGAGAAATACCTGAAATAAGGATGGTAGTTTCGAGTGGCCCACTCTGTGTAAAAAAAGATATGTTCTAATCTCTCAAACTGAAGTTGCTGTGAAAGTTATGGTATCCTGAGGTCACCTGAGGACAATTTATGGACTTTCAGCGGTTCTTTCCCGCAGCTTAGCTCTAAATTTGGTCAGCTCATCTAGATGTCAAGTACAATATAAAATTACGGTCGGTTCCATAAAATTATTATCAGTTCATAATCTAAGAGGTCAGTTGACATCATTTTGTGATATTTTCCGTCGAATTAATAACTTTTCTGACCACCTTTGCCCTTATTCATCCAAATGCCTAGTTCAATATAACAATCTCCGAATTTGGCTTTATCCTTTCCCGTTAATATAATTTCAGACTCCATTGACCCTTTTTAGTGAATATTAACACTCAAAAACACCAACTACCGTATATTACCGTCTTAAATCCACCTTTCATATATTGATGTCTACTACAATATCAAAAATCTAAATTTAAACCGCCAAAGACTCAAGAATATGAGCGATGCCAAGTATCGGACAAAAAAACGAAGTTTTGACAAGTCGCTGGAGAATGTCAATCTTGTTTGGAACGACTAAAACGCGTCAAAAATTCAATCCAAAAGAAGACAAGACAATATTGAGAAAAAGCAAATAAATTGGCCAAGAGAACGCGTCACGGAGACAAAGACCAGCTTGTCATTACATTTGCAGACAAAATATAAAAGTTTGGAATTAAAAATCGTCTTTTGAACCAAAAAATTATATTACACTTGATGGTCAAGTGTAATATCCGGAAAAAATCTCAAAATTCTTGGGAAATTTAGAGCTAAAGGTTAATAAAAAGGTGTAATATACTATCACCTTGGATTTGAGATAGCCTTTTCGCTGGCTAGAGCAATCTTTGGACGATGGATATTATAATTTAGGTATAAATATCTATTAAAAATTCTCGTTTTTTCAGAAAAACCCAAACTTCGTGCAAATACCTCTGACTACACTTAGATACCATGTCCATTTCGGATATTTTTTTATTTTCCAAAAAAAATCTTTTTTAGCATTTTGCGGAATGCCAAAAAATGTTTTCGTTGTGGGACGCAAAAATAAAAATATTTTTTTCGATGACAAAATTTCGTTTTTATTCTGCAGGTGGTTTCTCGACGAATTACAGACTTCACCGAGTAAATATCTGCCGATTTTTAGCTGAAAATTGTAAAAATGGTCCAGGAAAGTTTCATTATAGCGTAAGTTAATATAACCCTTCTTTTTACTCCAATTTTAGTATTGACAACTCGGAATGGATGCGAAATGGCGACATGACTCCCACTCGCTTGCAATGCCAGCAAGAGGCGGTCAATTATGTGATCCGCACCAAACTGCGGGCCAATCCGGAGAACGGGGTTGGTTTGTTGTCCATGGCACCGTAAGTCGGTCGAATTTTGTATTTTTACTCATGTTTAGGAATGTTGAAGTGTTGTCGACCATTACTCGTGATGATAGGAAACTGTTCACCAAGCTTCATGAGGTTGTCGTCGGTGGAAATTGCCGTCTCGTCAACGCCATCAAAATTGCTCATCTGGCTTTGCGCCATCGTCAAAATCGCAACCACAAGATGCGAATCATTGTGTTCATTGGCTCCCCGATCGAGGGAATTCAACAATCTGAGGTATGAAAGAGTTTTTTTATAATTTTTGTTTAGTTTAGTTTGATAATTTTGAGACATTATTTTAGTTCATCCGTCTGGCCAAGAAATTGAAGAAGGAGAAGGTAAATGTGGATTTTGTCTGCTTTGGTGAGGCAAGTCAGAGCGAGAATGACGAGAAGGTCCTTCAAGAATTTGTGGACACTCTCAATTCCAAGTGAGTTTTTATTTTTCCATTATTTTTTTCTGATTTTAGGGATTCGCAGACCTCGAATCTTTTGTCCGTAAACTCCGGTGGCAAGTTGACTGACGCCCTCGTGTCCTCACCAATTTGTCAAGGAGAGGACGGGGCTATTGGCGGAGGAGGAATGGACTTTGGCAATCTGGAAGAGGAGGATCCAGAGCTGGCATTGGCTCTTCGCGTCTCGTTGGAAGAACAACGTCAGCGTCAGCAGCGCGAAGCCGGAGATGAAGCCCCTCCACAAGCCGAAGCTCAAATGGAGGTCGAACAACCCGCTCCACAAGCGCCGGCCAAGGAGAGCGCTCCGGAACCGTCGAAACCCGCGGCCGCAGCTGATGTGGATTTCAACAACTTGACCGAGGAACAGCAGTTGGAGATGGCGTTGAAGATGTCGATTCTTGATGGTAAGGGGATTTTTGCGGTCTATTTGTCTTATTGAAAAAAATTTGGGTAGATTCGGTCATTTTTGAAGATTCGATTATATTACACATGACACTTTTAATAAAAAAAAGTCAATTTTTAGAGCAGAAACATCATGATATCGCTCAGTTATGTTGTAAAATGAAAATTTATGGCTCTGTAGACCTGTTGCGATGTTATATTTGACAATCTATTTTATTTTTTCACCTAAACTTTCAATTTTAGCTGCTCAACAAGACGAAATGGACGTTGATTCGAATGTAAATGATGTGGTCACCGATAGTGATGTCCTTCAACAACTCGTCAACCAACTTCCCGACTCCAGCAAGGACAAGGACGAGAAGGAAAAGCCCAAGTCCGACTCCAAATAATGTATTCAAATTAATTATTGGCCTAACAGTTCCTTGTATGAACTTGTACTACTGAGTAAATGCTTCCTATCTGCGTTATGAGTGTTTATTTCTATGTACAACCGGTATAATGTGAGCTTTTTTGTTTCCTTTTTTTCATATTTTAGGAGGTATAAATGCCAAAATTTTGGATATTTTCGATGTCTGTGATATTCGAATATGGTTATTTTACTGAGAATCCAACGTTCACCCAATCTTCCTCGACCTGAAAGTGAATGTTGGGTAAAAATGAGAAAAAATTATATTGCACTAGGCAAGTGTAATATAAAAATATCAAATTTTTTGTCTAAAATGAGATAATTTGGATGAATTACAACATTTTAGGGGATAATTAATTGATTTAAGGTCAAAACCGGGTAAAAATTATATTACACTAGGCAAGTGTAATATAAAAAGTTTAAAAATTTGATCCGAACCGCTATAAATCCCGTGAATTAGACCCTATTATATTACTACAAGGCCATCAACTCACATTATCAACCTCGAGTCGGTCGTTTCGTTCTTCCCAAACAAATTTACAAAAGGCATCGAAAATCTGATGTTTCATTTTCTCATTGATCAGCCCATCCGTTCCATCGATTTCTTTCTTCAGAAGCGCGTGGACTAAATTATACAAATTGTGGAAGGGCTGGGAGATTTTGATCTGTTCGTTTTTTAGGCCAAACACGGCGCACAGTGCGAGAATATTGACGTTGAGTTTGAACATGTCCGTGAAAAAGAGGTCTTGAGACCAATTCGAGTAGAGAGCAAAGTCTTTGATGTCGTAGTGGTACGGTAAAAGGAGGTCCGCGAACAGCGCCATCACATTCACCAATCTGATAGTGTACAAGAGCGCCGAATACGCATGTTTGGAGTGTTTCTCCAGGAAAATGATCGAAACGCCTTCGAGAAGGTCATCCAACAGCCTGTCGTACTCGCAATTGTCCTCTATGGCACATCCGTTCACAGTGTAATAATATTTTTTGACTGGAGGCCATTGTTGAACTGCTGGCGAGTCAGTGGCCATCATGCTGGCCATAGCGTCGCCCACCTTCTTTTTGGTTTTATTTTCTTTGGCAAATCGGTCAATTGGAATGTAATGCGAGAAGAGACTTGTGTAGAAACGGACGTAACGAAAAGTCTGGAAACACCATGGGTAATATAACTCAAACTGGCCATAACAGGAAAGTTATGGGACTCTATGCGGTGATTTGTAGCTTAAAAGAACCCTCATGCAACTAACTACCTCCATGGCAGTCAAATCCGCCAAATGCTTTTGGGCCAACTCGCAGAGACCTAATCTTATCCAATGTCCATGTATAATATAAAAAATTGCTATATTTGCCTAAAAATCAAAGCCAAAAAAGTAAAAACCACTTACATCCTCTCGCTTAGCCTTCAAGTAAGCCCTCAGCTTATCATTCTCCACATTTTGCAGCTGAATTCTTTTGGAATGACTAACACTTTTCTTCTCCAAGGTCCTCACATTCTTTTCGCATTTACTCCGTCGAACCTCAACCACCGCAATCTTCTTCTTCAGTCGTTGAATATTATCTCTTGCTGCCTCTATTTTCTGTCGAATCAACTTTACTGACTTCTTCTTGGCATAGAAATCGGCTTCCAATTTCATCTAGAGATCAGAATTGGCATGGGTAAAATAAACTCACCCTGGGCTCGAGAACTTGCTCAATTTTGCGACAGATCTCTGCTTTCCGCAAAAACCACTCTCGATACACTTCTCTGAGCTTGTTGGCGCGGATATTCGTGCACACACAAGACGGGCACATCAGCTGGGATTGGAGTCGGCAAGCTGGACAACGGACCATCTCGACTTGGCTGAAATTAATGAATCTTCATCATATTCCAGAGAGAATCAACTCTCCTCAGCTTCTCCACTCTCTAAACTTGCTAACAATCACAAATTTACTCACTTGAACTTCAGATTCGACGGGAATATTTGGCTGTCAACCCGATGCAACACTCCACTTTGTCTGTCCACTTTTATGTTCGTGTTCATCCCTCGAAGCGGTGAACAGAACGGAGATTCTGCTCTCAAATGCGTAACAGGGCTGAGACTGCAGCCGGCGGAGGGTGCCGAGCTCGGTTTCACCAAAACTGTCCTTTCAACCGACATTATTCATGAGGGCAGGTGGTCGACCTTCGAAATATCGGATCCTTTGTAAAATTCGAATCAAAGGACACTTTAAATATCATAAATATGCAATTGTTTGCATTGTCTGCACCCAAGATCAATCACGAGACGGAGAATTTCCACTTACATCAATCTAATTTGTACGTCTCACCACGAAAACAACGAATGCCGAGCAAACTTGGCATGCTGTTTTTTCATAAAAATGTCTGAAATTTTGGTGATTTTAGAAGTTCAACTGCAACTCTGAAGTGAATACTGTTATTATCAGCTGTTTTTTGATGGGTTTCGCGGAAAATTTTAATTGATATTGTTGTAGAGAGAATGGCAGTGGCTGATACCGAATCCGAGCCGATGGAAATCCCCAACGACTGGGAGGGATTGGTGAACGCCGCCCAGCTCCAGGCCCCTTCGGAGAATGCGTTGGTGTTCAAGGATGAGTGTGTCTTCTGCTTCCGGACACCTTTTTTTGATGGTGAGTATTTTTATTAGTTGCTTTTTGAATTTAGGTTGAATCGATGCCAAAATTAATGTCAAATCATGGGGGAAACGCTTTTTCATGTGCAACTTGGCTTCTTCTATAATTATAGGTGGGCTGCGCATGTTTATGAAGGGCTGCTTTCTGGCATCTGGGAACATTTTCTTGATAATTGACATTGTTCTCGAAAATTTTTTGAAATTCCCTTTTTATTTCCCCTTTTTTGGCGGACGCAATGAGCTCTAATATTTGCCTGCTTACCTGTTCTATAATTGCAGGTGGACTGTGCATATGTTTGAAGTATTTTGTGGGGGTTTGTAACTTCCACTTGGCCGACTACACCAAAGCCAACCCGGACACTCGATTTTTCCTCAGAATCGAAAAGTTCAAACTCCCCAAAGACGAACCAGAGCCCCAAGACAAGGTTCAGAAGCTATGCGTGAAGGTGGAAGAAGATAAAACTGACGAGAAATATTCGATATTGGCCATTGACGGGAATCCCAGCGAGCTGCCTCTGAACGAGCGATTAATCGGAGGCCTCCTCTACGATGTGGCACAAAAAACGATCTGCCATCACTCGGCATCGATTCAAGAGCGTCTCCAACAAGGTGCCTCCGAATGGGATGGAGGGGTTTTGAAGATTGCGGATAATATTGAGAACCTGGTCCAATTGGACACGGACAAGCAGATTCCATACTCCGGATGGGAGTGCGAGCACCCTGGATGTGGTCTAAAAGAGAATTTGTGGCTGAATTTGAGTGACGGTTCGATTAAGTGCGGAAGATCTCAGTATACAGCTGATGGAACAACAACTAAAGGTATGGTGAATATAAAAATTGTTGAGAAATTGGAAGTTTAGGGGTTATAATCGCATATCCTGGCCTGTTGATTATTTTGATATTATTTGGGGTTGATTTGGATTAGATTTTGACCTTATTTTAGGCCTTTCTTTCAATCATGGTGGATATAAAAAGTTTTTCAAAAACCAAAATTTTGTCTTTAAATTGGTATGATATTGTTTGCAGAGTAATGTAAACAGTTTTAAAATTGTTTTGATAAAGGTTGGGATATTGTTTGAGACATTTTTTATATTACACATGGTGAATATAAAAACAATCGGGAAAATTTCAATTTGATGTCTAAAATAATGAAATCTTGCCTGAAAAATAGTAAAAAATTGTTTAGAAGTCTCTGAGACACATGTCCATCTTTAACCCTTTCCGGACGAGTCGGCACCTCCATGCAGAAATGAAAGAGGGTACTCTAGTGAGTAATAGTATAATAGTTGTTCAGCCCATCGAAGCGTTATTTGGGACTTATGACAAAAAATGTCCTAAAAAGTACCCCCAGTTGACATAACCCTTATAAAATTTTGCTAACGACCTGTAAATTAGAAACTACCCCTAAGTTAAAGTCTAACACTCCTACTACTGTTACATCCAAGAACTGTCCAAATCGGATCACTACAGGATTAGTTATCGACTTTTGGAAATTGAATTTTAAATTTCGACCAATTTTTGGCCCAAAATTGAGTATATCTTCCGCCGGAATCAACCATTTCGGTCCAAATGTGGTTTTTCTGAATCTACACTGACGCCAGCTTCTTCCTAGAATGTTTCCAGAAAAAACCTATAGAGCACGTTTCTGTAAAAAGCGAAAATGTTGAAAACGTAAAGGTTTCACCGTATAAAATGTCGCCGCAAGCCGAGAAGGGTCGGGCGCAGCTCGAAAAGCGAAAATAATATTTTTTCTTCGAAAAATATTATTTTAGTGTCGACAAGCTGAATTCAGATGAAATACAGACAGAAAGAGCACGCAAACATTAATTCAATGTCATTTTAATATTTTTAATGCGTTTTCAGGCAATTTCATTGGATTTTGCTTTAGTTTCACACTAAAATAGTATTTCTCAAAAATATATATATTATTTTTGCCTTTCGAGCTGCGCCCGACCCTTCTCGGCTTGCGGCGACATTTTATACGGTGAAACCTTTACGTTTTCAACTTTTTCGCTTTTTACAGGAACGTGCTCTATAGGTTTTTTCTGGAAACATTCTAGGAAGAAGCTGGCGTCAGTGTAGATTCAGAAAAACCACATTTGGACCGAAATGGTTGATTCCGGCGGAAGATATACTCAATTTTGGGCCAAAAATTGGCCGAAATTTAAAATTCAATTTCCAAAAGTCGATAACTAATCCTGTAGTGGTCCGATTTGGACAGTTCTTGGATGTAACAGTAGTAGGAGTGTTAGACTTTAACTTAGGGGTAGTTTCTAATTTACAGGACGTTAGCAAAATTTTATAAGGGTTATGTCAACTGGGGGTACTTTTAGGACATTTTTTGTCATAAGTCCCAAATAACGCTTCGATGGGCTGAACCACTATTATGCCGTTACTCAGTAGGGTACCCTCTTTCATTTCTGCATGGAGGTGCCGACTCGTCCGGAAAGGGTTAATTTAACAGTTTTCGTATATTACACTTGATCCCCAACCCATTTCAGGAAATTACCACGCCCAGACCCACGCCAATGAGACCGGCTTCCCGCTGGTGGTGAAGCTGGGGACTATTCACAATGGAGAAGGCGATGTGTACAGTTACACCGAACAAGACACGGTCAGGGATCCGTTTTTGAAAGAGCATCTCGCCCATTTCGGGCTGGATTTGAACAAGTTCGAGAAGACCGAAAAGTCCACCTTCGAAATGGAAATGGACCTCAATCAGAAGTGGGAGTGGTCCAGATGCTGTGAGGATGGGGTCACTTTGGACAATGCTTATGGACCCGGCTTCACCGGCTTGATTAATATCGGGTCCAGTTGTTATATGAATTCTGTAAGTTAATGGTATTTTTTGGAGGTTGTGGAGGGTGGTGAAGATGTTTTGGGACAGCTGGGGTACTATGGAAAGGTTTGAAGTTGATTTGAACGGTTTTGGGGGGAAAAATTATATTACACTTGACATCAAGTGTCATCAAAAAATTTGAGGTTTTGGATGGCGATGGAGGTCTTTTAGGACAGTTAGGAGGTTATCGAAGGGTTTGGTGTTGATTTGGACGGTTTTTGGAGGAAAAATTATATTACACTTGACATCATGTGTCATCAAAAAAATTGGAGGCTGTGGATGGCGATGGAGATCTTTTAGGACAGTTAGGAGGTTATGAGAAATTTTGGTGTTGTTTTGGACGATTTTTGAAGGAAAAATTATATTACACTTGACATGGGTGACATCAAAAAATTTTTTTTCTTGGGGTTTTTGGGTTTAAAAGCGTTTGTGTGGAGCTGTAGAGCTGAAAAATACGATTAAGACGGGTTTCGATGATTTCTGTGGCCAAAATTATATTACACTTGGTTAAAAAATTGTTAAAAATTGGCAATTTATGGAGTCTTTTTGTGAAGAAATTGGTTAATTTAGACATTTTAGGTTGTGATTAAAGTATTTTACACTGTTTTATTACAAAATGAAACAAAAAATTCTGTTATACTTGACCCTTCAGGTGATCCAATGTCTGGCATTGAACCCAACCCTCCTCGAAGCCTTCCGCAATAAATTCAGCACAGAATTAAAAGCCAGCCAAATCATCGAGAAGCACAAGGACTTTTCCTTCCAATTCGCCCGACTTTTGAACGCCATGGAGGGCGGAGAATACGCGAAAAAAGACTTTGAATTCAATGGAATCAAGCCAACCCAGTTCAGGAAAGTAGCCGGCGAAGGCCATGCCGAGTTCTCGACCGCGAAACAACAAGATGCTGAGGAGTATATTAGGTAAAAATTTAGTTTTTCGATATTGTACTTGATGCTTGGACGATTGGGGAAAGCGAAAAGTATTATTTTTCTCCGATGCAAGTGTCGAAATTAGGATAATCGAGGGTGCTCATTTCGAAAATGACATTCATTTTTTTTGGATCTTTACTTTTTTCCTTAAGTAGTACTGTAAAGTAGTAATTTTTTGAATTTTTTTCGTAAGTGCTCAATTTAGGGGTTTTCGAGGGTGCTGATTTCGAAAATCTTACTCATTTTTTTCTGATTTGAAAGCAGCACCATAACCCTCAAGTCGATGAAAAAAATTCTCAAGTCATTAAAAAAATTGAAAAAATTACTACAGGATGGTTCAACCGAAGCGTCCATCCTTATTTCAAGTATTTCTCGGCCAATAATGCACCAATTTCTATAAAATTTACATCGAATTGAAGCTGATGCACCCCATTTTTTGCCCACCAAATATGACGTACCCAAGTTCAAGGATGCCCCTGTACTTGAACTTGGGCACGTCATATTTATTTGGTGGACAAGAAATGGGATACATCAGCTTCAATTTGAATTTGATGGAAATTTTATATTATAGAAATTGGTGCATTATTGGCCGAGAAATACTTGAAATAAGGGTGGAAGCCTCGGCTGAACCACCCTGTAGTAATTTTTTGATTTTTTTTAGTGACTTGAGAATTTTTTCATCGACTTGAGGGTTATGGTGCTGCTTTCAAATCAGAAAAAATGAATAAGATTTTCGAAATCAGCACCATCGAAAACCCCAAAATCGAGTATTCATGAAAAAAAATCAAAAAATTACTACCTTAAAGTACTACTTAAGGAAAAAAGTAAAGATCCAAAAAAATGAATGTCATTTTCGAAATCAGCACCCTCGATTATCCTAATTTCGACACTTGCATCGAAGAAAAACAATATTTTTCGGTTTCCCCAATCGTCCAAGTTCCGACGCCTGGGGGTAAAATTCAATTTTTTAGGCATATCTTCAACAAGATTGAAGAGTTGACCTTGATCCCCAACCCAACCGACCACTATCGGTTCAAGGTGGTGAAACGGTTCGAGGATGTGGCCTCGCACAAAGTCCGATACCAGGACAACGACGAATACATCCTGTCCTTGAGCATCCCAAAGGACCAACTCAGAGACGTCCCCGTCCCGCAGGAACTCGAAAGCATCGTCCAACTACCCCGAAATTCCACCAGGAAATGCATCGACCTCTGCCAGCTCATTGAGAATTACTCGGCGCAGCAATTTATCGATGGGTTCATCTCCCCCATTACTAATGAAGAAAAAGGCGCCGTTCAACAGTATAGAATCGCGTCATTCCCGGACACTTTGATTATTCAGGTAGGAAATTTGGTCTAGTTTTGGGAAAGGAGAAGGGTTTTTGAGGGAAAGGAGGTTGGAGTTGAGTTTTGACCAAAAATTATATTATACTAGGTGTAGAAGATAATTTATCTTTTTTTTGGAACTTCTGGATGTTTTGATTTTTGATGCCATGGTTATTTAGATGTAGAATTGAATATAGTTTGTTGAGAGAGCAAAGATTTGAGTAAAATCCGGCGATGGAGTTGAGTTTTGACCAAAAATTATATTATATTAGGTGTTGAATTTAATTTATCTTTTTTTTCGAATTTCTGGATATTTTGATTTTTGATTTTTTGGTTATTCATATGTATAATTTAGTCTAGTTTGTTGTGAGAGAAAATATTTGAATAAAATCCGGCGATGGAGTTGAGTTTTGACCAAAAATTATATTATACTTCATATCAAAAAAATGTTTTGAGTTTTAAAAAAATTGATTGGCTTAAAATAAAGAATTGGGCCTAGTATTTTATGAGAAGAAAGATTTGGAAAAATAGACCAGTCATTTTTGGGATATGACCAAAAAATTATATTACACTTGATAGCAATCATAATTTTTTTGATTTCTTGCAGATTAACCGCTTCGAGCCCGACCAAAACTACCAGCCGAAGAAGCTGGACCTGGATGTGATTGTCCCCGACACCCTGGACCTCACCCCGTACCGGTTCGAAGGCCAGAAACCGGACGAAGAGCTGCTGCCCGACTCGATCAAAGTGCCCGTCATTGACACCACAGCGCCGGCGGTGGACTCGCAGGTGAATGAGAACTATGTGAGAGAAGTAATGAACCTCGGCTTCACACGGAACGCCTGCGAACGGGCGGTGTTCGAGACGAAGAACTCGGGGCCCGACTCGGCGGCGGAATGGCTGTTTGCGCACGCCGAGGACCCCAATATCAACGATCCGCATCCGGAATTAATCAAAGCACGCCTCCGCCATTCCACGGCTCCAGCCCCATCCCACGTGAGCGAGGAGAAGGCGCAGGCGCTGAGCGGAATGATCGGCGCCACCCTCTTCCAGAGCAAATACGCCCTGGAAAAGACGAACGGCGACATGAACGCCGCGGCAGAATGGTACTTTATGAACATGGACGACATCCCACCAGAGCCAGAGAACTCGGAAATTAACGTCGCGGCCGAAACGCCCCAAAATCAGGAAGCGGCCGAACCCGCGGCCGAAACTTCCAACCCTCCCCCACCCCCGCAAGAACCCTTCAGAGCCCCCAAAGACGGCCCCGGCCACTACCAACTCCGCGCATTCATCACCCACATTGGAGTCTCACCCCAATCCGGACATTATATATGCCATATTCGACACGCCAACACCTGGTACATCTACAACGACGAAAAAGTCGCCTTCAGCCAAAACCCCCCGAAAAACCTGGGCTACATCTACTTCTACGAGAGAACCCAATAACACTCCACCTCATGGCAGCGATTTTTCTTTTTCTTTTTTCTCTTTTTTTTTTGGTTGAATTTTATTTATTGATGGATTTCAAGGTCTTTTAAGTTTATAAATCGTGTGAAAAGCTAGATTTTGATGGGTTTTGGAGTGAAATGAAGAGTATTTGAATTGCTCAATGGTACTTTTATTTATTTTTGAATTAAAAAAATCGCGATTTTTTGAGATTTGGAAATTCTAGGATAAGATTTTGAAGATTTTTCTGTATAACGCGGTTTAAGAAATTTATTACAATTGATAAAAAATCGTGTTTTTCAATCCAAAAAGGCAAAAAATGAAGTTTTTTGGAGTTCTCGCAAAAGTTTTTATCGATGTTTCTGCATAACGCGGTTTAAAAAATTTTTTTAGAATTATTAAAAAATCGTGCTTTTCAATCCAAAAAGGCAAAAAAATGAAGTTTTTTGGGGGTTTTGCTGAAATTTTCTAGATGTGTCTGCATAACGCGGTTTAAAAAATTTACTAGCGTTCCTAAAAGAAATGTGTCTCTCGTCTGCGACCCCTTAAAACGAAGTTTTTTGGGGTTCTCGCAAATTTTTTTATCGGTGTTTCTGCATAACGCGGTTTAAAAAATTTACTAGCGTTCCTAAAAGAAATGTGTCTCTCGTCTACGACTCCTTAAAACTAAGTTTTTTGAGGTTCTCACAAAAAATTTTATCGATGTTTCTGCATAACGCGGTATTTAAAAAAAATAATTTAAGGTAATATGAGTTTTATATGGTCTAAATATTCCAGATAAATTGGAAAAAACGAGATTTTTCATGTTTGAAATCCAAATATTTCTCTTGTTTCTGCATAACGCGATAAAAAAATTTCGCTAAAGAAGTAATTCCCAAACTTCAGAATTCTTTCGCTTTATTGGGACGATTATAATAAACATATATTATGTCAACACAACTTTAAAAAAAATGCGATTGCGGGTAGTATAAAATGACACTGGGTTGTTGGATGAAAGAATACAATCACGTACTCGAAATGGTACCGTTACACACGTATGACGTACGAGAAAAATGTCATCGAAATATTTTAAAAAAACATTTGAGATTACTGCGAGATGTTTCATTTTTTTTTTCATTTTTTTAATATCCGTTGTCGGAGCCGGCGCCGATCAAGTTGTCCGCGCGGATGGTGCGAGTTCGACGTACTGAAAGCGTTGAGTAGAGTGGTAGAAAAAAAACTTTCTTTTACCTACAGTGGGGGGGACCTGACCCATTGCCCAAAAACGTTCCATTTTGCATCCGGGAAGTATCAAAAATGTGGCAAAATGCCTCCATATCCAAGTGAAAAAACACTCCGTTTTGAACTACGCGCCCTTTCTCTGACAAAAAGAGTGGGCGCGCTTTGGAAATCGGAGTTTTTTCACCTGGAGAGGGAGGTATTTTGCCACATTTTTGATACTTCCCGGATGCAAAATGGAGCGTTTTTGGGCAATGGGTCATGTCCGTCACTGTAGGATAATCGAGGGTGCTGATTTCGAAAATGACATTCATTTTTTTCCATTTTGCATCCGGGATGTATCAAAAATGTGGTAAAATCCCTCCCTCTTCAAGTGAAAAAACTCCGATTTCAAAAACGCGCCCGCTCTTTTCGTGAAGGAAAGGGCCCTTAAAAATGAAGTTTTTTCGTTTTTTCACTTGAAGAGGGGAACATTTTGCCACATTTTTGATACTTCCCGGATGCAAAATGGTACGTTTTTTGCCACTGGATCATATCCCCCACTGTAGGTAAAAGAAAGTTTGAAGAAAATCGACCTAATGAGCTTTGGGAAATCTGCATTTTGATCTAACTATTAGGCCGTCCAGAAAGTTCGTTCGTTTTTTCATTGCTTTGTTTTACAAGGATTGTTTGTTCGTATCAAATAAATATATACCCTTTGCCAAACAACAAACAATCCTCGTAAAACAAAGCAATAAAAAAACGAACGAACTTTCTGTACGACCTAATATAAAAAATTCAGATCAAATCCAAAACACAAGGTCTTGCAAAACGGGACTTTTTGAATTTCAATTTGCCATTTTACAGCCATTTCTGTACAACGCGGTTCGAAATTTTCTACATTGTATTCAGAGGCTCTAATCTTGATTTGTACTAAATTTCATCCAAATTGTACCAATGGTGTCCACTAGTATCGCTTATTTTTCAATCTAAACTTACACGACTTTCTGTTGAACTGCCTGGCCCGTCTTCGACTGTGATCGCGGCTTTCGGCCTGAGCAGTGACTGTTCTCACAACTCCATCCAAAAGCTCGTCCTCATTGTCCTCTCCTGGCGACTTTCTCAACGCCTCGTTGGCGATGATTTGCCGCTCCGGCGTGGGCTGCCCAATCCGCCGCCGCTGCAGCGTGTTCTCATCGGCGTTGGTGCTGTTGGCCAAGAACCGCTGCATTTGTTGATGGCGCTGAAAATTTGAAATCAGACTCGAAAAATTTGTTGTAAGGTAGTAGAGTGGTGGACCTGATCTAGTGGCAAAAATCGTACCATTTTGCATCCGGGAAGTATCAAAATGCGGCAAAATACCTCACTCTCCAAGTGAAAAGACTGCTTTTTTGAAGGAAAGGGTCTTTTCACTTGAAGAGCGAGGTATTTTGCTGCATTTTTGATACTTCCCGGATCCAAAATGGCATGTTTTTTGCCCCTGGATTAGGTTCATCATTATAGTCGCTGGTGTCACTTACATCCTTGTCGCTGACCTCTACTGGTTGCGTTCGTTTGCTCTCAATGCCAAACCCACTTTGTTGTTGTTGTTTCTGCGCCGCGTTGATCATCATTCCTCGGGTCTTGTTCCGCTCTCGTTTCTCTTGCATCCTCTTCCGCATCTGCACAATCTTGTCGCGGTTGGTTCGGTATTCCAAGGCGAATTCCGCGATGACTTTGAAGACATTCATTGGCTTCAGGTCCTTGATTTCTTGCGGACCGTAGCCCAGATACAACAGGAAGGAGTTCCACTTGAAGAAGGCGTAACGATGCGCTCGTTTTAGGTTGTGAATTCGCTGCGCCACTTCGTTGAGATAGTCGGTCACCTTGGTCTTCATACTCGAGCTGTTGTCCTTGTTCGCGATCTTGGCGACGTAGTCGAAACAAGCTTTGCAATCCTGCTCCATCTTCTTCAGGTTGTCGTGAACAGCGTCGAAGTCGAGCTGAAATTTTGTTGATGACAAATTATTAGGTCGTCCAGAAAGTTCGTTCGTTTTTTTATTGCTTTGTTTTACGAGGATTGTTTGTTGTTTGGCAAAGGGTATATACTTGTTTGATACAGCCAGTTTGTAGAGGAGAAAAAACTGTATCGAATAAATATATTCCATTTGCCAAAGAACAAACAATCCTTGTAAAACAAAGCAATGAAAAAACGGACGAACTTTCTGGACGACCTAATACGTATTCGAGAGATCAAAGACAAAGCGGAGGCTCACGAAGCTCCCTCAACTTACTCTAGAACACCTCGAGACAGCGCCAAACTCGCTGTGCAAGTCTGAGGACTCCGGTACCCGATTTAACATCAATTCCGCGGCGTGGTAGGTCAACGGATACTTGTGAACAGCGTCCTTAACTTCCGACGCTCGCGACAAAAAGTCCAACTGGAACGCTTGAATCTAAAATACGACGATATTGCAGAATCGAGAATACGAAGCTTACTTCAGTGCCATTTAGGGCGTTTCCGATGGTTAACAACAGCCCCATGACTTGTCGGAATGTCTGGCTCTCCTCCACCTCCAACATGGCATTCTTCAACTCGTTCAAACTCTCGGAAACATCCGCCTCCATTGTCGGGTAATCCAACATGAACATCCACAGCCTCAGACGCTCCAATAGGCAGTCGATCTCGCTCAAGGACAACATGAATTGTTCAGCCTGTCCTAACGGCATATCGGGATGTTCGGCTTGCTTTTCGTGGATTCGTTCCACCTCCTCGACGGTTGGCATCATAGTTTGTAGGATCTTTTCGATGGCATCTTTGTTCAAGACGGCCGAATCGAACTTGCGGATAGCCGGAGGGATGGTTGAGATCGGTGGGAGTTTAGTGAGACCAATGTTGATGGCCTGCAAGAGTAAAGCTTTCATGGCATGGCGTAAGGCATTTTTGACAAGAGCTGCAACTCCCATGGGTGGCAAAACTGTAGTCTGGCAGGGCTGGCTACAGAACCCGATATAGTTTTTTAGTCCTTTACGCAGCTACATGAGCCGGGGTACTAGACAGACGCCTCAACCAGGGGCCAATGCGCTATCTGAAAGTTTGCTGAAAATCATAGGGCGCAGCTCGGAGAACTTGCACGGGCGCAGCTCGGGTCTTGGGCGCAGCTCGAAAGCTAGCCGAAACATAGCTCCGGCGAGCTGCGAAACGTTGTTTTCCGAACTGCCCCCGAGATGCGAGCTGCGCCCGTACCAGTTTTCCGAGCTGCGCCCTACCATTTTCAGCTAACTTTCAGCAAACTTTCAGATAGCGCATTGACCCCAGCATTGCGGACTGAGCAAGATGAGAGAGGGAATCGAACCAGGATTGAGTCGCACGCTCACCATCCCGTCTCATACCTCTGCGCTAAAGCAGGAGGCGTAAGAGGGAGCTTATATCGCGAGGCACGTCAAACTGAGATAAGCTAAAACAGTCCGGTGAATGGATTGGCAATTTGCCAAAAAAAGACGCGAAAAAACGTTTTGTCGAGGGAGAAATGGGGAATTTTTGGGGCGAGAGAGTACGCTTTTGCGTGTCTTTTTTCTCTCTTTCTCTGCGAAATAGACGAAGTGTAAAAAACCGATAGCGAAGAGTCTATTCCGGTAACAGAACTCCTCAGTTTGACGTGCGTCGCACTTGGAATACTTCCTTGTCAGCTAAACCTTATCCTAGCCGTCCGATATCATCCTCGAAGGACCTCGCGAGGTCCCTTCGGTTGTTCTAAAAATAAGTATTAGAAATTCTCACCTGTGACCGTTTGACGGACAGGACCTGCAGCACTTGGGGCTTGTTGACCTCTCCCACCTTCTTCGTCGGCAACTCCTTCTGCTTCTGTTCGAACAACTTGGTCAGGTTGGTGACGTCGATCTGCGGTTTCTCCACCTTCTCCCAGAAGTTGCCTTTGTTCTGGAGTTGCGGCACCGACGCGAATGCGTCATACTGCGCCGCCTTCCAATGCAATCGCACCGTTCCACCCTTGTTCGCGCCCTCGGTCATGCTCATCGACATGTTGCCGTTCTGCTTCCACAGAGGTGGGGGCGGGGGAACGCCGCCGCCGGGTGGCGGAGGTGGTGGGATTGCACCGTACATGGAGCGGGTGCCCGAGTTGCGCTCCTGTTGAGCTTGTGCTTGTCGCACAAGGATCAAGGGGTCTTGCTCGAACTCGGCCAACGCTGAGAAGTCAATGTCGTTGAAGACCATGGGCTTGTTTTTCACCTTTTCGGCCGCTTCCTTCCAACGAATCTCGGATTCGGACTGTTTGGTTTCGAGGATTCCTTTGCGGAATGTGGAGCCGGATTCCATTTTTGCTGCCTTTTTCTGGAAATTCGAGATTTTAAGTTGGATTTTTCGGTGGTTTAAGGCTAGTATCGCTATTTTTTACGTGACTGTTTTGTACCATACCTTCAAAAGCGCTGCAAAGCCTCCTTGTGCCACCGTCTCATCGTCCGAATCGTCCTTCTTTTGCGTTAACACCGGCTTCACGGGCTCCGGCTCGGGCTCCTTCAAAGGCTCCGGGAACTCCATTGTTTTGTGCTCGGTGGGCGAGAAAATATGCGCCGGGATGGCCGGAGGCGGCGCCTTCGGCTGATGCCTCTCATCATCGATGTTCTCTTTCTCGTCATTCGTCCCCGTACTACTCACAGGGCTGATCATCGTGGAGGGTAGGGGCGGGGGCGGCGGTATCCTCGGACTGCTCGGTATCAGTTTTTCGTCCTCGTAATCTTTGGGCGGATATGTGATGTTGTTGTTGGTTTCGATGCCATTCGTTTGATTGGAGCGCCAAGAAGGCTGTTTGGGGAGATCGAACTGGAATAAAAAGTTTAGATCGGTTTTAGGGGGGTTTCAGAAAATTAAATTTTTGATATTTAAAGGAGAATATAATAGAAAAACACCTTGGATTTTCGATTTTTATCAGTCAATTGATCTGATTTTTTCAAATGACGTCACATTTTCATCATTTTGGACAGATTTCAAGCGTTAAAACGGAATGCCAAAAATCGCGGGAAATTCAAAATATGAATTTTAAGGTTTTGTCCATTCCTTAAAAATGTAGAAATGGGCTTGAAAATCATACTGACTGGCTCTTTTTTCAATTTTTATTGCTTTTAGCCATGATAAAACACAATGCCAAACGTGGCGGGAAATTTGAAGTCTTACCCGATGATTGACTCCATTTTGGATTCCATTGCTGTAGGGCTCTTCCGGCTGTCGTTCGAAGCTGTTTTTCTTCTCCATTTGTTGTTGTCGCAGCTCTTCGGCCTCCATTTGTCGTCGGCGCATCATTGAGCGTCGATCGTTCCCGTTTTGAAGGTTGTTTTCGGTGGCTCGTTGCATCGCGTGCGCCGCAGCGGTGCTGGGCTGAGAATTGGTGGTGGTTCCATTTCTGGAAAGGCAACAGTTTGAATTTTGGAGACAAAATTAAACCTTTGGAAGAATTCTAGAAATTCCGTCATCATGACGGAATAAATCGGTCGTTGTATAAATTTGAGGGACATCAATTTTTTAACACTCGTTTTACGTGCTTTACAACTCATTTCCGTCATGAAAGTCCAAAATTTTTAGGCGAAAAAGATGTCATGATGACGGATTTTCTGGAAATTCCTCTAAAAATCGGATTTTTGGCTTAAAATCTATGTAATTTTGGGTGAACTCACCTCATCCGGACCAATTGTGGATCACTGTCGTCGCTCTGCATGGCGGCGTCTTCCTTTCTCACCTCATGCTCGTAATGTTGGACTTGTTGAGTGAGCTGGGGATCCTTCAAACTGTACATCTGTTTCATGGCCTCCTCGAGGCCGAGGTTCTCCAAACAGTCCACTACGTCGAAGAAAGTGTCCTAAAACATTCGTTGACGTCAAAAAACATGTATGAATTTTGGATACTTTTTGATACTTTTTGGTACTTTTGGATACTTTTTGATACTTTTGGATACTTTTCACGAATTTTCTCCAAAAATCGATCTTTTTTCTTCCATCATGAATAAAAAAGTTTTTTTTCATGGAAGTTGAAGAGAAAATTAACGTACCTGGTCGGGAATTCCATTCAAAGTCTTATTTACAACAGTCATTCCCAAAATCAGCGTCTCCACGTCGCTGGCTTTCTTGTCGCAAAGGATCTTCATCAGGGATGACCATTCCGGACGTCCTGAAACGATTCCTCGTCAATAAATGTAAAATTTTATAAAATTCCAAAAAATCCGTCATCATGACATGAAAATCGCAAAAGCTTTGATTTCTAACTGGAAAATTTTTTTCGACCATATGAGATATTATGAAGATATTTTGAAATCGAAAATTTGAGATTTTTGGTTAATTAAAATATGTCATGATGACACATTTTTTGGAAAAGTGTGAACTTTCACTCCGAATTTTTTGATGCAAGCCAAAAAATTTGCTATCATCCATTCTCTTTTTTCAAATTTTTTGAAATTCCAATATTTAAATGTGTCATGATGACGGAATTTTTGGAAGTTTTGGAGTCCTCAAAATTTTGAACAAGGCGCAAACACATGGTCAAAAAATTAAGAAAAAGCCTTCAATTGGATGTGAAAAGCACCTACCTTTTGCCTTTTCGACCTTGCTCAGCGCTGCGATCAACAGCAATGCATTGGATTCCGTGTATTCCACAAAAACCAGCAACAATTTCAGCGCTGTTTTGACCACCAAGCGGTACTGAAAATTGAAAAACACTCATTTTGGGGTAAAATACGAGCGTTCCATATTGTGGTGTATTAGCGGTGTACACAAGGAAAAATTAGCGGGTTATTTTATATTACACTAGACATTAGATGGAAAAAAGATCAAAAAATCTAGTTTTTACTGCCGCTATCGATGTAAAAATTTTTTGAAAAGCAGAATAGGATATTCTACGAGTTCTAGAAAAATTTTAGATCGCGTTATGCAGAATTTTTTGAATTATTGCATTTTTAAATTTTAAAAATCTCGTTCGAAAAAAATTGAAGAAAAATTGAAAAAATCAATTTTATAACTTTATAAGGCCACAATAAATTTTTTGGACCGCGTTATGCGGAGACAGCCGAAAAATTTCGATCGGAAATTTAAAAAATCTCGTTTTTTCCCAAAAAAGCTTTTCTGTTAATTACAAAATAGTCCAAAGAGGCGGGAGAACTCTCTCAGAGCCACACAATTTACCCATTCTTGGCGATGCTGGGTCATTTCTTTAAATTCCTCCTCAATATACAACTAAAACAACATATAACATTGGACAATGGACATGGACGAAAATAGAGACTGAAATTTAGAGAACTTACCGGTGACTCCAACAACTCATATAACCAACAAATTGTCGCATTATGGGCAATGATTCCGTTCATTCCATCCACATACAACATTAGTTGCCCCAGGGCTGAAAATTTGAAAAATTTTAAAAATATCGAATCCAAAAATTTGAATATTATGTATACATAGGTTGATTGTGAACCTTTAAATTTACCAAAAAATCCATGGTAATGACAAATTTTTTAGTTTTGAATGGACTGCACAGTGCAGTAAGAAAATACAAAAATCTGCACTGTGCAGTCAAAAAATTCGAAAAAATCGCACTGTGCGATTAAAAAACTGCACTGTGCAGTCAAATAAACTGCACTGCAATCAAAAAAGTCAAAAGAATGCACAGTGCAATTAAAACACTGCACAGTGCGATCAGAATAAACTGCACTGTGCAGCCGGGAAATCTGCACTGTGCGACCAAAAAACTGCACGGTGCAGTGAAACAAACTGCACAGTGTGATTAAAAATCTGCACTGTGCAGTCAAAAAATTCGAAAAAATCGCACAGTCCGATCAAGAAACTGCACTGTGCAGTCAAAAAAGTCAAAAGACTCCACAGTGCAATTAAAAAACTGCACTGAGCGATCAAACAAACTGCACTGTGCGGTAAAAAAATTCGAAAAAATCGCACAGTGCGATGAAAAACTGCACAGTGCGACCGAAAAACTGCACGGTGCAGTCAAACAAACTGCACTGTGCAATCAAAAAAGTCAAAACATTGCACAGTGCAATTAAAAAACTGCACAGTGCGATCAGAATAAACTGCACTGTGCAGCCGGGAAATCTGCACTGTGCGACCAAAAAACTGCACAGTGCGATGAAAAAAGACGCACTGTGCAATCAAAAAAACTGCACTGTTCGATTAGAAAACTGCACAGTGCAGTCAAAAAACTGCACCGTGCATTCAAAAAAAATTTTTTTTGACTGCACAGTGCAAAAAATTTGAAAAAGTAAAAACCCTCAAAATCTTCAAAATTCATCCCACTCACCTCTGAGAATGTGATTTTGATGCGTTTGATCGGATTCCCGGCCCAACTTTATCAAACAATCCAGGCCTTCGTTCTGGACAAACTCATGAACAAGGTCCTTGTCGTCTTGGAAAATCTGCTTCAACGAGAACAATGCTCGCCGCTGGTCTCTACCCGACATGTACAACAATTTTTCTGAAAAATCGGAGGAATGGAATATATATTTTTGTGTGGAGAATATTAATTTTTGTCATGGATAATATAAAAATATATAGCATAATTTTGGCAATAAAAATGGAGAAAACTGTGTTTAAAAATTCACCGGAGCGTTTTTAGAGGCTATTTTTGTGATTTACAATGTTCTGGGGTCAAAAATAAGGGTTGTTGCAGAATGCCAAAAATGGCGGGAAATTTGAATTTTTGAAAAAATTGAGCTGAAATTGCAATCAGAGCACTACAAAAAGACTATATAAAGGCTAAAAAATTTTACTCCGAAAAAAATTCGAAAAAATTTTAAAAAATTTCAAAAAATTTCAAAAAATTTTAAAAAATCCCAAAAATAAATTTGCGAAATTTCCTCAAAAATACCGAAAATCCAACCTAACTGAGCAATAACCGTTGCATGTGACAACTATTCGCGTGTGAAAATAATATTTCCGACCCAAATTTGCCCCCCTGAAAAAGTAAAGTAGGGCCACTTGAAAGCGGCTAATTACTGTTATTTCGAAAATCCCCCGAGGCAAAAAACCCTCCACGAAACGGAGGGGCGGTAAAACATTAGGATTACTCGCAGAATTTGCGGGAAATTACTCACCGATTATGGCTTTAACCCGTAGCTCTGGCTTCTGGCGGAGCACAAGACTGGAGCGGAGCCTGAAAAAAAGTTTGATTAAAAATTATTTTTTAGTCATTAATTTTTTTTTTAAATTTTTTGATGTTTTTTGAGACTTTATAAATTTTGAATTTTTTTTGCACAGTGCAAAAAAAAATTTTTTTGATTTTGCACGGTGCAACAAAAAATTTTTATTTTTTCAGATGACTGCACTGTGCAAGAAATCAAAAATACATTTAAAAAAATTTTTTCACGGTTCAAAATACCGATTTCGATTTTTTTCACCGCTCTGCACCGTGCAGAATCCACAATTTTTGACCTTCTATTCTTCGCACAGTGCAAGATAATTCAGCTTCAATTTGTCGCTGTTGCCCACAGAAGACCTCATACTTTTTATCGCATTCCCTTTGCACAGTGCAAACTCCCATTTCTCTCCATTTTTAATTTTCGCACCGTGCAGTCGCATTTTTAGCCTATTTTTCCCGGCGCACTGTGCAAAAAAAACTTTCTTTGTCAAATTTGTCGGAGTTGCCCACAGGAAATCTCAAACTTTTTATCCCATTCCCTTTGCACAGTGCGAACTGTCACTTCTCTCCAATTTTAATTTTCGCACCGTGCAGTCGCATTTTTAGCCTATTTTTCCGCCTGCACTGTGCAAAAAAAATCTTTTTCGTCAAATTTGTCGCCGTTGCCCATAGAAGACCTCAAACTTTTTATCTCATTCCCTTTGCACAGTGCGAACTGTCAATTCTCTCCAATTTTAATTTTCGCACCGTGCAGTCGCACTTTTAGCCTATTTTTCCCGCCGCACTGTGCAAAAAACATTTTTTTTGTCAATTTTTCGCCGTTGTCCTAAGGAAATCGCAAACTTTTTATCTCATTCCCTTTGCACAGTGCGAACTCCCAATTCTCTCCAGTTCTAATTTTCGCACCGTGCAGTCGCATTTTTAGCCTATTTTTCCGCCTGCACTGTGCAAAAAAAATCTTTTTCGTCAAATTTGTCGCCGTTGCCCATAGAAGACCTCAAACTTTTTATCTCATTCCCTTTGCACAGTGCGAACTCCCAATTCTCTCCAGTTCTAATTTTCGCACCGTGCAGTCGCATTTTTAGCCTATTTTTCCCGGCGCACTGTGCAAATCAAGGAAAACTCGGGAAAACCCCTCGCACAGTGCAAATACGATCTTCAGTTGTTCATAGTGTGACTTCTAGTACCTTTCCTCTTCCTGTGCATCAAATTCTTCTTGCATTTTGAGCTCCTCCTCCACGTCGTCGACATCCAATTCAACTCCGGGCAAAATACTCTCTTCTTTTTCGATTTTCTTGCTTCTAACTTGATTTACATCTGATGCCAAGGGCTTTTTTAGACTCTTTTCATCTTGAGAAGTCAATTTCTGATCATTTTCATTGCCATTCACCTCGTTTTCCTCGGTTTTTGGCCGATCTTCACCTTGTTTTAGGTCTCCCAAATGTTTGCAGTTCTCATTCCGCCAACGTTGATGGATTTTCCGATCGCCTCCACATTTACAGGACGATTTGCGACGAGCCAAACGGTTTGTGGACTCTTCGATCAGCTTTTGCCGATCATTTGGCGACTTTTCGGATATTGTTTTAGGTGATGATGACATTAAATTTTTGCCCTCCTCTTCATCGCTACGCAACTTTTTTGGGTCCTCATTGCCAACAACACTATTTGACGAGTCATTCTTTCGAATGGGCTTGAATTTTGAGGTATAGGAGGTGAGCGATGTCAACGGCGACATGTTGAATATTGAGGTGGCCTCCTTCAAAGAGCTGGCCGCAAAACTTGGACGCTTCTGTAAATCTTGATGCTCAATGGCCTTAGGGCTTGTCAGCGATACTGGCTGATAGTTGAATGTTGATTTTTCACTTTTCTTCGATGAATTCGAGCTCAACGAATCGTTGAAAGTGAAGGGCTTGGGCAGGGTGAACAGCGCTTCGGAATCCTCTTTTTTCTCGACGCTGCGGCTCTTGAAAACATCGTCCTTGATTAGTTGAGGCTTGTAGGTCGAGGTGAACGGCTTGTAGGTGAATTTGCCCACTGGTTCCTCTTTATTTTCCCTCGGGGCATTTGACTGGTAACTGTTGAAAATCGACTGAATTTTCGGGAATTTGATCTCGTCTTGATTTGAATTTACTGAGTCATCGTTGAAATTGTCCTTTACTCGCTGATTCATCGATAATTTCGCGGGAAGAGTCGAGAAATTCGACAAATTTGAAGGTTCGTATATTACACTAGGCTTGGTTGATGGAAAATTGTCGATTTTCGAGTCTTTAACAATCCGATCTTCGGTATTTCGACTAAATGGACTCAGATTCTCTCCATTCTTCGCTATTACACTTGATTTTCCCGTCAAATCCATCGATGAATTGGTCGATGAAACCCCGAAATTCGAAAAATTTGATGGTTCATATAGCGAAGTAGGTCGATTAAATAGTCCATTATCATTTTTAAAATGATTAGAAAGCCTGTTGTCGTCTTTTTGAACAAAAAATTTGGATTTCTCATCATTTTTGGATATTACACTTGATGGTGAATATATTGAAGTAGGTCGGTTTTGGCTGATATTTGAACCTGTTGATCTTTCCTTAGCCTCTGTAGAATATTTCTGGCCAAATGTAGGACTATTCTCTACATTTTTTGATATTACACTTGACTTCATCGATGAATTCGTCGATGAAATTGATGGCGAAAATTTGGCGGTTCTCATGTCATACAGTGACCCAAGCCTTTGGACATCTTTTTTATCGTATTTGGAGCCCGAAACACTCATATTTTTCCGATTTACCGTCGAAAATCCCGAATTGTCATCATTTTTTTCATTTTTCGATATTACACTTGAGCCGTCGTTGAGCAGGGACCTCAAAGTTCGTTGAGAAGTGGTGTTGTCTTTGCCATTCAAAGACTTGATGGTCTTCTCACGTTCGTCCACCTTCAAATCGCGTTTCCATCGGGGTTTCCAGTTGTTTTCGTCATCCACAATGGCATCCGAGCCGGAAAACCGAATTGCCTGAGGGGATTTGTCGGTTTTCACGTCCTCAAGCCGTTTGATTGGCTGAAATAGGTAGCCCGGTGAGCTAGGAGGGCTCTGGTTGCTGGTTGAAGGGGAGATTGAGGGCTGCGACAGAGGCTTCGATGTTGTAGTAGGGGCTATATTAAAGTAGCTGGAGCTCCTCGAATTCATCGGTTTAAAGGGGTAATTCGTCTTCCGAGAGTCCATAGAGCCTTGTAGATCATATACAGAGCCAAATTTGACTTCATTTCTTGGCTTATCCCCGATTTTGGACCCAATATTATACTTGCCTCCAGCTCTTAAATTACTATTTAAGCCTCCATTACTACTAATTCTGGCGTCATTTTTCATCGTATTCGCCGGTAAAGAGCTATACAATCCATTGGCACTCAAATTTGAGCCATTTGCCCCATCTTTGGCGCATTTTGCCTGAGGCAATTTGAAGGTTTTCGTGGCTTCAAAGCCATTTGAAGGCGGTCTAGGCCCATTTGGCGGTCCATCCAAGTCATCAAAGTCGATGGCGTAGCATTTCAACGCGGGCTTGGCCATCTTTCAGTCCAATATATTACACATGACAGCTCTGGGAAGTTTGAACAAGGCTGAGGGAAAATAGAAATTTAGTAAGTTTACATAGCTTGGACATCGACTAAACGGAGGAAACACGCGTATTTCGGGGGGAAACATGGATTTTTACAGGCTGGATAAACATAATTTTATATTATATTATACTTGACCGGGAGAAGAGAGAAATGGCTATAGCTCGAAGGAGAGGTCGCGGATTTGGATGAAACTTGGAATATATCTGGAGTGGGGCTCTGTGAGACATTTGGTATAATTTCAGATCGCGTTATGCAGAAATAATCGAAATATGGCAGTTTAAAAATCAAAAAATCCCGTTTGTTTGAGATAAAAAATTCTTTCGGGAAAAGATAAAACACGTTTTTTCAAGGTCTAGAAAAAAATTTCAGACCGCGTTATGCAGAAACAACCGAGATTTTTGATTTTAAAATTTGAAAAATCCCGTTTTTCCACAAAAAAGGGAGTTTTCTCCCGAGAAATGCCCAAAAATGAACTTCTTCATCCTCAGAAATAATGAGCGAGCGGGATTACGCAAGTTTCATTAATAAAAATTTCTGAACAAGAGCTGCAAAATCCCCTTCGGAAATCATTTTTTCGATCGAAAAGAATGATGACACGCGCAGAAAAGGAAGAAGTTATTGTTTTTGCCGCCGCCACAAATGATAAGCGAGAAAATTTTGAGCTCATCCCATGGTGGATGATGGTTTTTTTTTTGATTTTCGAAAAGTTTTCGCACTGTGAATAAAATTTTTATTTCTGCACCGTGCAAAATTTAAAAAAAAAAGTTTTGCACTGTGCATGATAAAAATTTTTTCTGCACTGTGCAAATTTTCAAAAATTTTTTTTCTGCACTGTGCAAAATTTTGAAAAAAAATTAAAAAAATTTTTTGCACTGTGCAAATTTTCGAAAATTTTTCTGCACTGTGCGAAAAAATGAAAAATTTTGCACAGTGCAGTCAAAAAAATTTTTTTTTGTCGATATCTTTTTGAATTTTCGGTGGAAAAAAATTTTTTTTGGTAGAAATACTTCACTCTGCGATTAGAATCGACTGTAAATTTTTTATTCCAAAAATCAAAAAAAAAATCGAAATTTTTTAAAACTTTCGACATAAAAATCTCGGTTATTTCTGCCCATATCAAGCTGAAAATTTGGAATCTCTCTCCAAAAATTGCTATCTAAATTCCATCCAAGTTTCATCAAAATCCAAGCAATAAAATTTTTACGCCATTTTTTGACTGCACTGTGCAATAAAATTTGTTGCTAAAATTTTTTGCACAGTGCAGAAAAAAGTGGTAAAAAATGACGGTTTCATATTTTTTAAGCATCAAAAAATAATTTTAAAAAATTTTGGCTTTAAATTTTTGCACTGTGCGAAAAAAATCCGAAAAAATTTGACCGCACTGTGCAAAAATCAAAAAAATTTTTTTTGTCCAAAAATTTTTTTTGCCAAAAAAATGTATAGTAAGTGATTTTTCAATCAAAAAAAAATCGAAGACCATCGAAATAAATTACGAACCGCTCATTTAAAACAGCGAGAAATCAAAAGTCGCGCACAAAATTCCCCCCAGAAATCTCGTTGAATCGGCGCTCGAGAGAGTGGGAAACGAGGAGCTCAGTGTGAAACAAAAAATCGAGTTTCGCCCGAGAATTTCCATCGAGAGAAAAAACCGCAAGAATTATATAATTTGGGCGCTTTTTTCTTCCGAATCCGCGCCGCGAGATCTGTGATTGCGCCACTGTAATCTTCTGCTTTCCAATTTTTCCGATCTCTGCCACTTTCCATTTCACTCACAAAGATGGATTTTTACATTGATTTGCGATGAAAGGAACAGGAAAAAGTGAGATCTGTTAAGGCGGGCCAAAAAGTCTTGACATGTCTGCACAGTGCGTCGTCGTGCATGAAATTTGTCGCGCGGCGACAAGAAACATTTACGGTGCAATGCGACACCGCACAGTGCAAAAAGATTGTTTTGAAAAAGGGTAAACAACGCACAGTGCGTTCTTCATTCGCACCCCGCCATACCTTTTATCGCGCGACACCTCGTCGCGAAACCGAATTCATGCGCCCGCACGGTGCGAAAACATGTCAAGACTTTTTGGCCCGCCTATTACGCTTTTTCAAAAGTGCAGACACATTTTCCGGCCGTTTTTGCACCGCACAGTGCAAGTTTCGTGTTCCCCGCGCGACGCGATCCTTTTCGAAACATTTTGCACTGTGCAATTTCAAAAAAATCGCGCCGGCTCCGTTGAGAAAAGCTTGCGTCGCAGCGATATCCGGTTGCACAGTGCAAAAGGTCGAAATGCACCCCGCAAAAGGGAGTTTTGTGCACGGTGCGGCCCACGACAAAATGTGTCTGCACTTTTGAAAAAGCGTAATAGTACTAGGCGGGCCAAAAAGTCTTGACATGTCTGCACAGTGCGCCGTCGTGCATGCAATTTGTCGCGCGGCGACAAGAGAAATTTACGGTGCAATGCGACACCGCACAGTGCAAAAAAGATTGTTTTGAAAAGGGTAAACAACGCACAGTGCGTTCTTCATTCGCACCCCGCCAAAGGTTTTATCGCGCGACACCTCGTCGCGACACCGAATTCATGCGCCCGCACGGTGCGAAAACATGTCAAGACTTTTTGGCCCGCCTATTACGCTTTTTCAAAAGTGCAGACACATTTTCCGGCCTTTTTTGCACCGCACAGTGCAAGTTTCGTGTTCCCCGCGCGACGCGATCCGATTCGAAACATTTTTGCACTGTGCAATTTCAAAAAATTCGCGCCGGCTCCGTTGAGAAAAGCTTGCGTCGCAGCGATATCCGGTTGCACAGTGCAAAAGGTCAAAATGCACCCCGCAAAAGGGAATTTTTGTGCACGGTGCGGCCCACGACAAAATGTGTCTGCACTTTTGAAAAAGCGTAATAGTATAACCTATAGGCAATTGCACTGTGCGACAAAAAAGTCTTTGTTATTCGCACAGTGCATTCGAAAAAAATGTTTGTTTGCACTGTGCAAAAAAATTTCAACTTTCGCACAGTGCATTTTTCATTTTTATAAGTTTGCAAAACGCACTGTGCGGTTGCGACAAAAATTCATTGTCATTCGCACAGTGCATTGGAAAAAAAAATTTTTGTTTGCACTGTGTAAAAAAATTCAACTTTCGCACAGTGCATATTGCACTTTCCCACGTTTACAAAACGCACTGTGCGCTTGCGACATAAAGTCTTTGTCATCCGCACCGTGCACTCGGAAAATTTTTTTCTGCACTGTGCGTAATCAAAAAGAATTTCAGCTCTCGCACAGTGCATATTGCACTTTCACATGTTTGCAAAACGCACTGTGCGATTGCGACAAAAACTTTTTTTCATCCGCACAGTGCATTCTAAATAATTTTTTCTGCACTGTACGTAATCTGCACGGTGCAAAAAAATTTCACATTTTTTTCCACGCGCACAGTGCATTTTGCATTTTCCGAAGTTTACAAAACGCACTGTGCGTACGCGACAAAACTTCTTTGCCATCCGCACCGTGCATTCCAAAGATTTTTTTTCTGCACTGTGCGAAAACCTGAAAACCTGTTGTTTTGTCGCGAATGCACAGTGCATTGTTCAAACTGAGAACAAACAAAACCAGCGACACGCACTGTGCGAAAACAAAAGTTTTCTTTGCACTGTGCAATTTCTCGCCTTTTGCACCGTGCAACAGGCTTTCTGGGCGGTCGCTCGCACCCTGACTTCTTTCGCACAGTGCAAACTCCAAAAATCAGTCCGGCGACTTTCCGGAAGACTCGTCTGCACTGTGCGGTCGAAATCAAAGCCTTCGAATGGCTTTGCACGGTGCGGAAAGGTCTCAAAGTTTTTCGCACCGTGCGGAAAACAAACCTTTCGAATGCACGGTGCGGATGGCAATGAATATTTGTCGCAACCGCACAGTGCGTTTTGCGAACTTGGGAAAATGCAAAATGCACTGTGCGCGTGGAAAATTTATTTCGAATGCACTGTGCGGTTGACAAAGACTTTTTGTCGCAGCCGCACAGTGCTTTTTTCAAATTTCGGAAAATGCACTGTGCGGGAGAAAAAAATTATTTCGATTGCACTGTGCGCTCAAAAAAAGTTGAGATTTTTTCTGCACTGTGCAGATTGCGCACTGTGCGAATGGAAAGAATCGAATTGAAAAACAGATAAAGAATGGAAATCCACCAAAATTACTCGATAAAAATTAGTGTCAACGCACAATTTCGCCCATTCGAATATCCGGAAATCGGCATGGAACTTTTTGACAATAGAAAATCGGAAGACTCCCAAAAATTAACCCCGTTCGTTCGAGGTCGGGGGAAATTATTTTTCTTTTAGAATCATGATGGTATTATTTTGATTTTATTTTCAAGGTTTTGCGTGAAAAATAAAAATTTTTGTTGTTTACTGGACAATTTAAAAAAAATTTTTTTTGCACAGTGCAAGATCTTCAAAAAAAAAAAAAAAAATCGCACCGTGCACGGAAAAAATTTTTTTTTGCACAGTGCAAAATTAAAAAAAAACATTTCGCACCGTGTATATAATATAATAATAATAAAATTTCCTTTTGCACTGCAGTGCACTGTGCAAAATTCCCAAAAAAAAAATTTTGCACTGTGCATGAAATTTTTTTTTGCACAGTGCAATATTTTCAAGCAATAATTCTTGCACTGTGCAAAATTTCTATTACAAAAACTTTCTGCACCGTGCATAAAAAATTTTTTGCTTTTTTATCTGCACTGTGCAGAATTTCCAAAAATATTTTCGCACTGTGCAATCTTTTTAAAAGAAAAAAAAATTTTTATTGCACTGTGCGCAATTTCCAAAAAAAGTTTCCACTTACATATCTCCGCGCAGGACGTCCAATTCGTCCGGCTGTTCCAATATCGACAGATCCGAGTCCAAATACGAACCGAGGTCGCCAGTTGCCGATGGACTCACTTGAAGTTGTGCATCGCCCGGCTGAAAAAAATTTTGTAAAATATATTTAAAAAATCGAAAAAATATTTTTTTTCGAAATTTTTACGATTTTTTTGCAAAATTTCAACCGCGTTATGCAGAGACAAAAAATTATGCGACATTGAAATTTAAAAAATCTCATTTTCAATTTTTTCGAAACTTTAAAAAGACAAAATTTACAATTTTTCATGAATTTTCCGAGAATTTTCCAACCGCGTTATGCAGAAACAAAAAAGTAATGAGACTCTTAAATTCAAAAAATCTCAAATTAAAAAAAATTTGAGGCTTTAAAAAGACTAAATTTACAGTTTTTCATGAATTTTCCGAGAATTTTCCAACCGCGTTATGCAGAAACAAAAAAGTTATGAGAGTTTTAAATCCAAAAAATCTCAATTTTAAAAAATATTTTAGAATATTAAAAAGACAAAATTGACAATTTTCCAAGAATTTTCCGAAATTTTCAAACCGCGTTATGCAGAAGCAAAAAAATTATGAGAGTTTTAAATCCAAAAAATCTCAATTTTAAAAAAATTTTAAGCTTTAAAAAGACAAAATTTACAATTTTTCATGAATTTTCCGAGAATTTTTCAACCGCGTTATGCAGAAACACCCCATTTTTTATCAAAGAAATGGTTAATTTAATTCGTATTTTACCCAAAAACCGATGCATAATGATGATAAAAATAATCGAAAAATGGCCCTTACCTTATGTGGAGCCCTCAATTTCCTGATAATATCGGGCATTTGTTCGCCGATCGCCTGACTCAACACCAGCGAATACTTGAGCGGGAGCATGGGCTGCCGATCCGACGTGGAGACGAACGGGTCCAGATCGTTGATGAACTGAATCCGCACGTCCATCACCTCCTCCTCGTCGCCCATCTTGACCGAGGAGATCTGAAATTTCATAAATATACCAATTATATTACTTTAGGTCAAAAAAAAAAAAAAAAAAAAAAAAAAATCACGAAAAATTTATTAAAACCTCTTTCATCAAATAAAATACCCCCTAAAATACGATCTAAAAAAAATTAAAATCAATTGCGACAAAAAATTATATTACTTTAGCCAAAAATCACCTTATTTTAGGCGATTTTAGCTCAAAATTGCTGATTTTAAAGCGAAAATCAAATAGAAAAGTGGCTAATCGAATAAATTAGACCAAATCTCAACGCAAGCAACCCGAAATGAGGCGGAATTCGACGAAATTTCTCTTTTTCACTACCTGTTTTTTCGTTTTCATCGACAATTTTGTTTTTATTTATCGCCTCGAGGCGAGGTAAACAATGTAAAAGGCGATAAAAGGGAGTGTTCGTCAAAGGGAATTGAAAATAATCGAAAAATTGGAGATATAACGGCAAAAATCAGCAAAAAAGTGGGAAAAGTCATCATGGATAATATAAAAATTTTTAAAAAAAATTAAAAAAAAGAATGTATAGACTTGAAAAATACTATTAAACTTTATTTTTTGTATTTTAGTTATTTAGTTTCCTTGCACTGTGCAAAAATTACAAATTTTTCAACTGCACAGTGCAGTTATTTGTTCTTCAAATTTTGCACCGTGCAGTTTGTAAAAATGGATGCCACATGGCAAAATATACGAGACATTCCTCAGAAAACAATATGATATCACAAAATTTTATTTTGGACCCTTAGGGGTTTCAAACCGGGCAAAAATCCCAACTGCACAGTGCAAAAAACAAAAACTCAAATTTTGCACAGTGCAACGGGAGGGTTTGGATGAGTCTTTGCAAAGCGTATGTAATTGCGACAAAAAAAGTTATTACAATGCCAAAAAAAATTTCTAACCGCCGCGAACGCCGGGCGATCCAAAAATATCAACTGCTCTGTGCAACCGGCAAATCCTCGATTTTTGCAAATTGCAAAGAAAAAAATCGGATTAAACTTGTTTGTATCGGAAGTAGAGACCTCAAGAAATAATGTACAGTATTAAAAAAATTCTTCGAACCTTCAACCAGTCGGATTCTGCAAAAATTCCCAATGCACAGTGCAATTACCAAATCCTTAATTTTCGCACCGTGCAAAGTAAAAAAATCGTATGAATTTTGTCAAAATCGCTAACAGAGGGTGCAATAAACACTTTACATTATCAAAAAAATTTTTTTGGAACTTTCAACCGGTCGAATTCCGCAAAAGTTCCGACTGCACTGTGCAAAAAACAAAATCTCAATTTTCGCACCGTGCAAAGAAAAAAATTGAATTAATTTTCTTCAAATCGGTTGTAGAGGGTGCAATAAACACTGTACAATATCAAAAAAATTTTTTGGAACCTTCAACCGGTCGAATTCCCCAAAAATTCCCACTGCACAGTGCGAAAAACAAAATCTCAATTTTCGCACTGTGCAAAGACAAAACTGAGATTAAACTTGTTTATATCGGTATTAGAGGGTGCTATAAACACTTTACAATATCGAAAACCTTTTTTGGAACCTTCGACCAGTCGATCTCTGCAAAAATTCCCACTGCACAGTGCAATCATCAAGTCCTCAATTTTCGCACCGTGCAAAGAAGCAAAATTGAATTAAGTTTTTTAATATCTGTTGTAGAGGGCTCAAAAAATAATATCCAGTATCAAAAAAATTTTTTGGAACCTTCGACCAGTCGATCTCTACAAAAATTCCCACTGCACAGTGCAATCATCAAATCCTCAATTTTCGCACCGTGCAATTACAAAATTTGATCACAAATCCTTTCAAATGGCTCAATTATCACCGCAACAACTTTTTTATACATTCACAAATCCCAAAAGCCAACAAAAAAAGGTCGCAAAGCTACTAAATATACAATGTTTGTGGATACAAAAGGCTTGTTTTCCCCGCTCCGACTATACTCTCCCCATTGTAAGGGTTTTTTGTCGTGGAAGAAGCGCCTAAATACGTTCAAAATACGCTAATCTGTTTTAGCCGAGCCCCCCAAAAGACTAACTGTTTTCGAAGGCGCAACGGATAATTGGAGGTTATTGAACAGGTTTATTGGCGGTGGGAACGGAAGAAGAATGAGCGATTTTTTGCGATGATTTATGCAAAAATCGCTAATTTGAGAGGGAATTTACGGTAAAAACCTTTGTTTTGGGTTTCGTTGCACAGTGCTATGAGTTTTTTCGGATTGCACTGTGCAAATTTTGTATTGAGAAATTTTTGCACAGTGCAAAATCCAAAAAAAATTGCGACGGAAAAATCCACAGTGCAGCGATTTTTTTCTCATTGCACTGTGCGACTTTTGTTTTGAGAAATTTTTGCACTGTGCAAAAAATCAAGAAAGTTTTGCGACGGAAAAATGCACAGTGCAGAGTGAGTTTTTCGGATTGCACTGTGCAAATTTTGTGTTCAAAAATTTTTGCACAGTGCAAATTCTAAAAAAAATTGCGACGGAAAGATGCACAGTGCAGCGATTTTTTTTTCTCATTGCACTGTGCGAATTTTGTTTTGAGAAATTTTTGCACAGTGCAAATTCTAAAAAAATTGCGATGAAAAAATGCACAGTGCGAAATCCATTTTTTCTCTCCGCACCGTGCAAACAATTATTGCGACAAACATCTGCACTGTGCCAAACCAAAAAAGTTCGAATGCACAGTGCGAAATCCAAAAAATTTGGCGAGAGAAAAAATGCACAGTGCAGCGATTTTTTTCTCATTGCACTGTGCGAGATCCGAACACTCCCTTTTGCACGGTGCGAAAAACGAACGCGACCTCTCACCGCACTGTGCGAAAAAATTCCCGCGACAACCGTCTGCACTGTGCATTCTCAAAACGTCGAACGCACAGTGCAAAATCTACGGGGTGAAAAACAAACCCGATAACTCACCGCACCGTGCGTTTTCCGTTTATGTGGTCTGCACTGTGCAAAAATTTCTTGCGACAAACATTTGCACTGTGCATTCTCAAAATCTGGACTGCACAGTGCAAAAAAATGTCAAAACCAGCAATACGCACTGTGCGTTTCCAAATTCCCCCTCTTGCACGGTGCAAATCGCCAAACCCCGAAACCCTTTTCGCACGGTGCGCTCTGTTTCAAAATTTACAAAAGAAAGGGGATAAAGACAAAACACGAAAAAAAAAAGAAACTTTTTGCCCCCGTTATGACGCCGGGATTCACTTTTGCGGCGTCACTTGAAACCTCCTCCAATTTCCCGCAAAAAGAAGATGCACTGACCTCGAAATGAGTTCGAAAAAAAGACCAAATGATCGTATATGAAAGTGGCGTTCCGAAGGTAATCGAAATGGAAAAGGACCCCTTCCCGACAGGGTAAACAACAAATGCAATTTGTGGAAGAGCGACAGAACACGAAAAAGTAAAAAAAATTAAAAAAAATATATATTTTTTTAATTTTCTGCACAGTGCGATGGTAAAATACGAAATTCTGAAAGTGCTCCATTTCTGATGAAACTTGGCAAAAATGAAGATTAGGCTTCCATAAGGCATTTTTGAAATTTTTAGACCGCGTTCTGCAGAAATTTATAATTTTTTTGTATTTTCGAGCAGAAATTTTGACAGATTTTGAAAATAGAATACAAAAAAGTAAAAAAAATAAAAAAAATATATATATTTTTTAATTTTCTGCACAGTGCGGTGGTAAAATACGAGATTTTGAAGGTACTTCGTTTTGGATGAAACTTGGCAAAAATAAAGAATAGGCCTTTATAAGACATTTTTGAAATTTTTAGACCGCGTTATGCAGAAATATTCGAGATTTTTAGCTCAAAAGTTCAAAAATTTTTTATAATTTTTTTGTATTTTCGAGGAGAAATTTGGACAGATTTTGCGATAGAATACAAAAAAAGTAAAAAAAAATAAAAAAAAATATAGTTTTTTTTATTTTCTGCACAGTGCGATGGTAAAATACGAAATTCTGAAAGTGCTCCATTTCTGATGAAACTTGGCAAAAATAAAGAATAGGCCTTTATAAGACATTTTTGAAATTTTTAGACCGCGTTATGCAGAAATATCCAAGATTTTTAGCTCAAAAGTTCAAAAAAATTTTTTTTAATTTTTTCGATTTTTGAGCAGAAATTTGGACAGATTTTACTTCAGAACACGAGAAAGTAAAAAAAAATTAAAAAATATACATATATTTTTTTTATTTTCTGCACAGTGCGATGGTAAAATACGAGATTTTGAAGGTACTTCGTTTTGGATGAAACTTGGCAAAAATAAAGAATAGGCCTTTATAAGACATTTTTGAAATTTTTAGACCGCGTTATGCAGAAATATGCGAGATTTTTAGCTCAAAAGTTCAAAAAATTTTTTTTAATTTTTTTGTATTTTCGAGGAGAAATTTGGACAGATTTTGAAAATAGATGTGAGTTTCCTCTCAAAAAATTATTTTTCAAGCAAAATCAAAAAAAAATTATCCAAAAATTAATCAAAAACACCCAAATTTTGATGAATTTTATATTTTTTACGGCAAAAACAACAAAAACAGAAGTGAAAAATAAATTTAAACCGCTTTTTGAACCCTTCGCGATAATTGTTTATCCATTTGGATACCCAGACATGAAAATTTTCCGCTTTGAACATCAAATTTTGCTCATGGATAACATAATTTTTGGTCAACAAACATGAAATTTTGCTATGATTGGGTGTGAAAAAGCATGTAGATACTGCTGGGATAGTAGAAAATAACTTTCAAAAAATTTTGACCAAGAAAAATCGAAAAAATCAGAAAATTTTCAATTTTTTCCAAAAATTCCCCCGAAAATTTGCTAAAAATAACAAAACCCGTCCAGAAAACACCCTTATCAGCTGCGGTTGACCCCGTGAAGCTCTTGGAACACCGAAAAAACCACAAAGATAATAGAAATATTACGTGTTTGGGAGAAATTCGATGACTAAATGGGAGGGAGTGGCGTTCCGAAAGATAA